CATTGCCATTAAAGTTGAGAGGGCCATTAAGTTGGAGTCAATACAAGATATGCAAAAGTCCTTCAGAAACTTCATAATTCATAGTTGTCCAGTTGTGCACCAATTGGATCTTTGTTTTTTCTCTCATATGGATACTAAGTTGCTCATATGCCAATTTGGCGGCTCGGAGTTATTTTAATAATTTGTCTGGTACAAGTTGACACACACACAGACTCCACGCCTTTCTTATCTGCTATTCTTTCTCGTCATTGCCCTCTACAAGTTCTAAATTGAAAAGAGTGTCAATGACTTAATCGCATCTGATCAGATAGATAGACAGACAGATAGACGATCTGATGTTAATGTCGGACTAGTGAATCACACGACGTTATAGTGGGCTCCGACGAGGTGATTACACTGCACACCCATTAGCCATTTAGGTATACAAACATATACACAGACACACACCGATAGAAGACCATCTCAGAATAAATGAAACGCGGCGATGGCAATTAATTCTCAGTCAAGTGGATGATAAAGACATTAATGGCAAATTAAACTACGAACAGCACGAGATGATACGAGAAGGGATGCGACGCAACGAGACGAGACGACGTGTTCAATCAGCACAAACAACAACAGTAACGGATTGTAGCATTCTCATTCGAATGCCAGGTCTGCACAGACACGTTGGCGACATTCGACAAAGACCAAAAATGTCGAGCAGTGCATGAAGACTAACAACCCCCCGCCCCCTTCTGGTGATCGTCCTTATATTATTGTCGCTGTCTACAATTCACAAGAATATCTTTCAATATTAAAAGAAAACGATGAAACACTGCTAATGCAACGAAAGTCTGAACGATTTGCAAAGAGACCAAAGATACTCCGAATCTGATTACACCATTATTAGATTTGTTTGCTGCCGCATTCATGCTAATTGAAATTGGAATTTGGCGATGAGCATTGGATGAAAAAAGAACGTCTCTTTGGCCATCGGTGTTAATGGCCTAATAGTTAAGTGCCAAAATCCGAAAATTACAAAAGGGACACAAAACAAAATTTAATGACGAATAGTGTTCTCGAAGTTCTCCAAGAAATGCAATATTAACTATTAATCAGTCCAAAAAATATTTAATTACCTTTGCAAATTAACCGGCAATTTTGAAGCTACCCAATAATCGATGAACACAAGAGATTTTATATAGTTGAAATGGGACCGCGAATGTCACCGAAACCATTTACAAATCGATTTCTTAACTCCTTCCTGCTGCCTTTACATCTTTATTGTGTTTTAAATTGTACATTAATTATATTCACATTAACGACTTGTACTTCGAGAGAAAAACATAGCGAAATAAATAATTTTATTTTAATTACATAAAGTTTTGTTTAATTTCCGCCTCATTAAGAATTCATTTTGAGTGAAACCCTTTTGGCGTTCTATTTTCAGCTTTCCCCACTTCTTTCCAGCCAGACCACAAATGGCTCAATAGAAAGTAACAACAGCCAAAGATAGCGAAGGCAAACTTAAACCGCAAACGAACAGTTAAAGATAATCACTTGAAATGAATGGGAAAACCACAATCTAACAGACGGACTCACGCTCCGACGGACCACCGACATTTGTTCGTTCGTTCATTCACTCACTTATCCAACATTATGATGTGCTGTGCTGTGCTGTGTTTTGTTTTGATGGCCAGCTAGCTATGCTCCCCATTTTATTCCATTGTATTATTAGACCGGCAAGGAGGGGGGAGGGCCAACTTTGTGAAACTATCATTAGAACACTTCATTAAAAAGTCCTTTATTTTTGGACAGACAAGGACAACAAATACAATGTGGGTTGCGGTTGGCTCACGTCAGGAAAAACGTTTTGACGGTTGATGTTCAAGGCTGTAACCGTCGTCGAAATAATTGGACACTGAAAATGAAAACATTGCTTCGATTGGTATGTCTTAGCGACTACTTTATATTCGTCGCTAACTTACCGACAAATATCGTTTAGTACCGTTATTTGCCGTTAATTCTGTCAGACACTAGCTCTACTGGCACATATTGGAGATGAGCAAAGTTGTAAAAGAGATAATCCGAGGGAAAACTAAAACTACACTTTTCTTTTCTCAGCCTTTTTAAACCTATATTGGCTAAAATATTTAATAAATCTAATCATAAATGGATTTATAAAAAAAACAATTAACATTGTTTTGTTGTTTTTATTTAAAGAAAAACCAAGAGAATTTGACATCAGCTTTAAACCGTTATATATAAACATATCAAATGATAGTTTTACATTTTCTCTCTCATTTGCAGTGGCTTGACAATTATGCATTTTCATTCATCTTCTTCTTGTTTCCCGAACTCATTCTTAAATAGCCAGCCATTATGTTAATCGCGGTAAATCCTTTTTTATATTTCCCATTACGACTCTTTTTGTATAGCCATTAAAACGTATCACCTCCTTTGAAAACCACCTACGCAAACTGTCATAAGGTGGAACAAGAGGAGTACAACAACGAACCCAAAAAGAAATAAAGAATTAATAACAAATACACAATTCATTTATAATCCAACTTTTTTCGGAAAGCATTTGCCTATATGCATGTATGTATGTATGTGTATTTGAGAGGCTTTCTGTGAGATACTTTACAGGTAGTTTAAACGGTGTACAAGTCTTGTGGTTACACAGGTGCAAGCACATATAGAGAAGGAAGTCAGAGGTGTAAGAGCATAGAGTGGCTAACAGAAAACGGCAAAGCAATTTAAAATACATAACATAAATCTTTAACGTTTCCGTCCAAATGTGCTAAAAGAAAAACAAAAAACAACACGGGGAAACACAAGCTGCTCTTGTGTGAAAAGAACGGGCGGTGTAGGAATTCGTGCTCGAGCAACATCACAGTTTGAAGCTATTTTTTCATTCCCATCACCATACCTATATCGACTTGATACCTTCCGAAAAAATATCCAGAACCCTATATCAAGCCCTTTGGTTTATAGAGCGAATGGAATAGACGGTATTAGCTCGTACTTTGTACTGCTCAATAAACGAAAATATATTCATCCCGCATCACGTTTACTGCATTATACATACCTACCCACTACCACACAGGAGGTGAAAGGATATCCCCAGGTTTTTCTTTTTGTTATTTAAATGTTGCATCCATCCTCTTTCGCGGTTTACTTCTTTCAAATATATATGCAAATTTCTTTTTCTTCTTCAATTCCGTTTTGTTTTGTCCGCCCATTAAATGCCATTCTCTGGCAACAATTACTATTTCAACTAAAAGACCTTTTGTTTTATTTCACCTGGCGGTTCATTCGTTTAGGGCCTCTTAAATCACCTGGGGATTACCTCAACCAGCATTCCATTTTTTGTTCGTTTTTTTTTTTTAATTTTCCACTCTAAATCAATTGTGGGAGGTCGGAGGATATTTGCTGGTGGTGATGGCATTTGTTCAGCCATCACTTAACAGCCGCAAGCCATGGCATAGCAGAGTCAATTGAAGCAGGAAGAGAATTTCAGATTTTTTTACAAATTCCACAAAGTCGAAATACAAATGAAATATGGTTCCAAACTTTATGGTTTTATATTGTAAACGTGGGCAATCCTCTACGAAGAAGACAGCCGATGACTTAAGCCAGCCAAATAAGCGCTTTATGTATTTCCACCTTTAGTCTAAAGTCTAGAGCGCCCAACAAGCCTATACTGGCTTTGACATGTGGCTATCGTTTCGCCACTCTTTTCAATCTAACCTCATCTTGGAGTTTTCGAATGGTTGTAGCTATCTTCTATAAGATGGCTAGCAGGAAGAAGATTTAACCGTGTCTTTGACATAAGCAGAACTTATTTGCTGTGAAGGGTTTCCTTTTTTTCTCCAATTTCTGTCAGGGGGAACTAAAGTATATGAAGGGGAAACTTAATTTTCTTTGAAGTCTTCGGCCGGTCGGAGATTTATAATACCAGATTTAAGACAAAAAATATTAAAAAAAAATAAGTAGACTCTACAGACATTTCCATAGTAACAGTGTGTTTATCCCAATTCCAAAATTCATTCATTTCAGATATTGTGTTGATATGAAATCTGTGTCATATGCATGGCTACCATCAGACAGCTATCACCTTGCGTTGTAGCAGATTCTCAGAATTGCTTAAAGAAACTTTATTTCTTTTTGTTCAACTACTGGGGATTTAAAAAAGGCAGTGAGTGATTTTAAGTGGCATCAGAAGTAACATACTAAGTTTTCTCCTCGCACTTAGCCAAACGTATTTGCTTTCCTCATATTTCGGGCATAAAAGCCACCACACACACTTCTATACATACAATATGCAGGCATGAAATTCAAAATCTAAATACAATTGTAGGTAAGTTGTAACTTTGTGGCCTGATGGCATTTGCCCAGAACCCATGGAAGTTAGAATTTATGAGATTTCTCTCTTGATGCCACTTGATATTGTTTGAAACTTAATTTATGTGTAATTTTATGCTTAGTTGTCCTACAGAGGCACACACATACATAAATCCCCATTAAAGCACTGTGCACCGAAAGGCGCAGCAACGTGAGAACGAATGAAAAGAAACACACTAAAAACTTAACTAAATCGATTAAACAGTACTCCAGGGACAAGGCGAACTTTTGTAGGGCAATGAAAAAGGTTTACAGACAGATGTTAGGTATGATAGACGAACTATTATTATTTGCGTACCAAGTAGAGATAACTTTGAATAACATTTTCATTGCGGAAGAACAGTGGATGTGCTGATATTGAAAATATTCAAAGAGAACTGAATCGAATCGAGGGAGATCCCAAAAAATTCAAACTAATATGGCTGTTTAGTCTCATGTGGCAGCTAATAAATGTGTCTTTGAAAATTTAATAAACTTAACTTACTGCGATACTATTTCCATTTTACATTGAACATCGTTGGTTATTTCACATCATTTGCGGTATCCTTGGCGCCATCATGCCAAAGTGTATTGTCTCAAATCCGCATGTAACTTTCATAACACTTCATATGTATATTTTTTCTTCTTAATAATAGAAAGAACAATTTATTCTTATCGATATTTTAATTTTGTACATTATACCAATTAAACGAGTAGTTTTATGGAAAGTGTTCAATTGATATGATCACGGTATTCATATTCAAAGTTTGTAGATCTTTGTCTTGCTTTCTCATTTACAATAAAAAACAAACACAAAACCTATTTTCTGGCTTCATATTAAAATTCTACAGCATACACAGTTTAATTGATTTGTTATTTGATCACAAAACCGACATAGTTCTTAATATTTAGCTAAGTTCGAACCCAACTCCAGATTGTATGGCGTACAATAACTTCTCGCGCATTTGTTCGACAGTTTTAAAGGGGGGTAATTTCAATAGGTTAGTACATGTGCTTGCCGTCGGTAGGCGTTCCATGTCGCCGGCGTTCTGAATAAAGAATGGCGGATCCAAATCCTGAAGTAAAAAAAAAAAATATTAAATCGTTAGGATTCTTTACAGTTTCCACAGACATAATACCTTAAATCCTAACAACGGCGGGCGTGAGCAACTTGTTACAAATTTCAACAATTGCCGCCTTTGCAGATCATCGAAACCTTCCAAGGCGGCCCAAAACGCTATTATTGATGGGTGCTCGGGACTATATTCGCCCCCATATTTACAATGCCTCTTGAGATCTTCCAGATCGATGGGTATCTCTGCGCCCGATATTAGTATTTGCAGTTCCTTGTTACTGAACATATACAGCCATTCAACACAAACAACATTCGACAGGCCTTTGCGGAATGCTATACAGTGTTGGCGTATTTGCTTATTCAGCTTGTAGTCTGCCATTAGATGAAGGTATTCCAAGCGGTTGGAGTTGGTTACTGGTATACTTTGTCCCTGGGGCTTCAACTCAATAACTTGTGTCTGACCAAACGAACTGCTTGCTACTGTAAAGTCCAAGTTTAACTCGCTAACATCGCCTTCGTAATCCTTAAGGTATAGAAGATTCTTATAGAGCTCAGGGTCCAACGACGCCAGCTGATGTATGTCGACGTCAGCATATTTTCCAGCCAGTTTTGTTAGGAAAAACTCCGCCAGAGGAAGTTCAACAAGAAGATTTTCGTAAATAGCTTTACCTAATATTCTACCTATGAAATAGTAGTGTTTTTCAAAGTCCGGCACCAAGTCGCTGACTGTGGGATTCGGATAAAGTTTATTGTCTGTTGTGACCCTAAAAATGGCAAAGAATCGAAATATATGAATATTCCTATCATACAAATAAAAAAAAAACGTACATGAAAAAGCCTCTATTTGGATCGAAAGCTGTTTTTATTAACTCTGAGAGAAATTCACGGAATACCCCGCCGCCATCTATGCCCGCCTCATCCAAGCCCAATGACGAGACGAATTGTACTCGGAATTTCAGACGTAAATCAGGTTCTGGATGTAAGAAAGATATTTCGTTTAAATGTTGTACCATTTAAATAAGTCCTCTTTTAAAACACATACCGTTTTCCGGCCTTAGTTTGTCATAGGCATCTTCGTATAAATGACTCCTTCGGACAGTCAACATTATTGAGGGTCCTTGCAGGAAAGCCTGCAAGTTGCCCTGCACTCGCATTTTATCGGCTGCTACAAGTCCCTGAAGAATGCCCACCCGTTTACTGAAAGCCACCACAAAGGGTATTTCTCTCAAAATCGTTATTGAGCGTATTTGCTTCGTTGACATCGGTGGACCGTTTTCGAAATCCTCTCTGGTGAAATCTCGAATTGGTTGAAAAGGGCGAATGCCCCGGGTACGGCTGCCTCGGGTTAATGGTAAATCCGTCGGTCTATCCAGTGGCAAATCTAAACGTGTCACAGTCCAATGCGAATCCGGACAGAAGCCCAATCTAAGATCTCTAGTATGTATTTGGTTCAACACAAATACAACCACTTTCAGTAGATTCGCCCAAATTTGCTTTTGTCTCATTTTAGTGTCGTCCGAATCTGAACGACCCAAAACAAAACGATAGTGCTGGTTTAGATTTGAACGCGTCTCTGGGAAAGCCAATTCGACCAGGCCCAAGGATATTTCTTTGAGTGTTTTTGAAAGTTGCACAATTTCGGATAGGGAAAACGGCATTAGACGGACATGAGTTGTGGCCTGGGGACTCTTATCTATTAGTAATTTTTCATCACAGAATTCATTGTCGTGCAGTGTGGGTAGTAAACGTCCGAACAATGTACAGAATGTTGCCAGTAGTGGGACAAAGGTTTCACTGCCAGAATGTTTTGCTGAAAACGGTAAATAGTGCAATAATTGGGACAATCAATAGCCATAAATGTATACATACGCACAACTCCCTTGGATATAAGTGTCAAAGGCGCATTAAATCCCTGCTGTTTTGATTGTGACACCAATGTAAACCACACAGCTCTTATAAAATTCGGCGTAAAAGAAAGGGTATACAATAACCTAAGGAAGACATATTTCGGAATTAGTAGTCCCTCGCAAACATCTAGCGGACTTACTTGTAATCGAACATGGCCATTTTATTGAATATCATCAAGTTGTGGCAAATTTCACACAGCCCATACAAAACGTCTTCGTCGTGCAAGTATTCCTCTATGTTATTCACAATTACCTGAACTCGCCGTCCCTCGTTAAGCATAACAATGCATTCCAGAAGATATTCCTTTTCTTTGTCGGTTATGGCAACTACTTGTGGCCCAAATTCGCCATCGGCAGCCTCCCTTCCCTGATAACTATCTTCGGCATCACTCTCGTCGTCGGAAGAGCTGTCTTCGCTTTCGTTTCCATGATGGCTATGATGATGTGCCGAATGTTTCAGTGAGGACTTTGGCAACTGCAGTATTTTCGTCGATACCTCTGAAATAATTTTGATGTAGCTGCTTAGCAACTTTTTGGTGTGTAGAGTATCTGAAAGAACGAATACTAAGTATTGGAGCAAGAATTTTATTCGACCTGATAGTACATACCCAATTGTTTACGGTCCAACACAAGCAGTGAGTGTAACAAAAATGTGCTGAATATGGTTTTGGATCTATTGTTTCTGCATTTTTAGACTTGACATTGTCACTGACATTTGTCGTTGTACTCGAGGCACCAGTGAATGTGGGCATACTTCTGGCATCGACATCCATTTTCTCAGGGACCTCCGATTTGGTATACCTCTGCAGTGTTCTTACGATGAACTCAAACGGAAATTCGGCACAATCAGCAAAACAGGGTACAAGAAAATTGCGTATGCAATCGGTGGAAGGCAGCGACAATATGTGTCTGCTGAACGACAAACACACGGTGTAGGAGAACTCAGCTTCCGAGTTCTTGGCCAGTAGTAGAGGCCTCAACATTAATTGAAAAATAGCCTCAGAAAACTGATTTGGAGGATGAAGTACCTCTCCGTCCAGTGGAGGACACTTAATTTCCAAAACGGTACGTAATCGTTTGTAGTACTCCCTTCCAATGAGATATTTGAAAACCAACTCTAAATAGGTTTTTATCAGATCTTCATTTTCGACGTAACGTTCTATTGACGTTTCGGCAGTGAATGTCTCCAACATTCTCAAGGGTATAGCTTGGGAAGACTGTGAGTCGGTCGTCAGCTGAACTATGCATAGATCCAAAAGCTTCTTTAGGCGATGCAGCCACATTTTGTCTGTGGTCGAGTTTTGCAATATTCGGGCGGGACTCTTCAGTATGTGCTGGCATACTTCAATCTAAAATCAGGGTCAATTAGTCATCGTGGCACATGATGCAATTTCTGTTCCTACTTACCAAGCGTTCGCAGTCTTTGGCTTCTCTCGTGTTGTAAAAGAATACCAAACGTCGCAATAAAAACTCAAGATTCTCATCTTGCTGCAGCTGGGTCCGATGGGTCTTTAGAAATCCGTCGAACTCCTCGCGTTCGTATCGTTTTCTCCTCTGACGATGGATAAATGAACGTGAATATGACTGCAGTACAATAGCTCCGTTTGTCTCGCGGCGTAACTGATTGCGTTTCAGACGTTCCTCCGCAGCTTTGCGAATTATAGTTTCCCGATCGGTGCTGTTCGACACACCGCCAAGGCTCTGCTGAGGTTTACGACGATACTCGCCGTCAAAGCCAAACATATTTGTTTTTCAACCGTATCCGTGAGAGCTATTGAAATACTGCCTCCTGGTTGATTGATAGATTAATTGGAACAAGAACCTATCCAAGTGGAGTCTGGGTTTTTCTTTTCGACTTTCACCCGTACAATTAATACGACAGATTCCAGGGCTATCGAACGTAAAAAACTTCAAAACATTTTCTAGTAAGTAATGAATTATTAATCTATTATTTAGTTAATATTAAGACAGTTATTTTAGGCAAAACTTTTTTCCTTTATGAAAACTTTTTTCTATTTTGACACTTTAGTCAGCATGACAAGTATAATATGCTGGCTACAGAGGTACGAAAAAACCCAACTCTGAAGTGACTACGAAATGCACGCAACGGTGTATACTAATCGCTCAGCGAGTCTAAAAACGATTGTTGTAGCCCTTCTTAGTCTCGCAAGAAGAAGAATGAATACCATTTATTTTCATTTGTATTCTCAAAAAAAAATAAAACTATTTGGCGATAAGGATTTAACTCGTTCAACCAAATCATTCCATCTATAAACGAAACGGTCCATTTGTCTGTTCTTAAAACGAATGTGAAAACTGGTAATCTAGCATTAAAATACCAGCGAAGCGACGTCAACAACAACCTAGGAGAAAAGAAATTACAGCAAAAATGCAAATTGTTTTGGTGTTCGACGAGTTGTAAAGACAGGAAGTGAAGTGATGCTAAGATAAATAAAATAGCACAAGTAAATTAGGCTTTATCAGAAGCAAAAAATATAATAAACTTTAATTGAACTGAATTAAAGGGCGTTCGAGAGAAAATCAATTGAAAAATCACGTCATTTTCTTCGTCGTAAGGAGAAAAGGAGACTCACAGTAATCATTTGTGTTGTGTGTTTGTGTGATCGTGTGGTAACTTAACTCACTTCACTGTGCTGTGCTGGGAACAAGAAAAAATGTTTGCAAAATATTGGAAGAAGCCAAGGAAAATGTGAGAGTTCAAAACATGAAAACGTTAAAGTATCAGTGTCCCTTGTACAAATAGTATACCTAATATTGGTTTGGCGAAAATAAGAACAATTGCAATTGAGACATTGTCTGCTTCAAGTAAGGAACGCATTTGTGGCCTTCCCGTATACATCATGATGACCATCGACGAGGAACAGCAGGCTTTATTGAAACGTGCTGCCGAAGAGCGCGAATTGATATTCAATCGATACAGTTTGGGCTTGGATCCCAGCAATCAAGTGGATCCGTGGGAAAATCCCACTTATGAAATATATCACATAACTGATAAGTAAGTACCTATCTAGTTTGGAATTGCTATGTTGTAGGTGATTAAGCGTATTGTACATATACATAGGCAGCAATTCAGGAACTGCCATCAATAGAGGGATAAAAACCTATATTTCCGAAGAAAAAACAAGCATTGGGGTCAGGTCTTGGTGGTCTGACACATCTAAAAATGGATAAAATTAGACTCAAATTACATCCTCGCGGAGTCTTTGTTCTATTTTATACTCCACATTTTTAAAATTGCAGGCATATAGGAAACAGATATTGACATGTAATCCAGCTTGATACAGTTTGGGCTTGGATCCCAGCAATCAAGTGGATCCGTGGGAAAATCCCACTTATGAAATATATCACATAACTGATAAGTAAGCACCTATCTAGTTTGGAATTGCTATGTTGTAGGTGATTAAGCGTATTGTACATATACATAGGCAGCAATTCAGGAACTGCTATCCATAGAGGGATAAAAACCTATATTTCTGAAGAAAAAACAAGCATTGGGGTCAGGTCATGGTGGTCTGATACATCTAAAAATGGATAAAATTAGACTCAAATTACATCCTCGCGGAGTCTTTGTTCTATTTTATACTCCACATTTTTAAAATTGCAGGCATATAGGAAACAGATATTGACTTGTACTCCTAATTTAGATTAGATATTGCCTATGATAGTTATTTAATAAAATAAAATTCCTTAACCTTTTATAAAATAGGTATGGTTTTATGCATGACTCCCGCCTCCCAGACATACGCGATGCCCACGAAGTGCAAAAGACCAAAATTGAATTGGAACGGGATAAGAAGTGGGTCAAGATGATAGACAAATGGAATCCGCACCACGAAAAACTGCGTAAGCGAGTGTTTAAAGGTATTCCAGACCGTATGCGCTGGCCAGCATGGAAAAAATTATTGAATGTTGAGGAAACAATGTCTGCAAATACTGGCGTTTATGCCAAGATGCTGGAATTATCTCGCAAATACTCCACAGAAGTCAGACAAATCGATTCAGACGTCAATCGCCAGTTCCGTGATAACTTAGCCTTTCGCGAACGATACAGTGTCAAACAAGTTTCACTGTTTAATGTTCTAAATGCATATAGCATATATAATCCTGAACTAGGCTACTGTCAGGGTATGGCATGTGTTGCCGGTGTACTGTTGTTGTATATGCAAGAAGAAGAAGCATTTTGGGCTCTAAATGCCCTCATTGTAAACGAAAAGTATGCCATGCACGGTCTATTTATTGAGGGGTTTCCCAAGCTGACGCGTTTCTTGGAACATCATGACCGTATAATGTTGAAAATAATGCCAAAATTGCACAAACACTTCATGAAACACAATGTCGACGCAATACTTTATTCAATCAAATGGTTCTTTGTCGTATTCGTGGAACGGGTAAGTGATCCATTGTCCCCCTTGCAACCGAAACCATTTTCAATGGCAATCTGTTTTATTTCAGATACCATTTAGCTTAAGCTTACGTGTCTGGGACATTTTTCTTTTGGAAGGCGACCGTGTTATAACAGCAATGGCTATTACAATACTATACCTGCACAAAAATGAACTTTTGCGTCTAAAAGATATGGATTCGATATTGGAATATTTACAAGTCAAGCTACACAAGAATTTCGGTTACAACGATGACTTTGCCATAGAGGCCTTAGAACGAGTGATGAAGAAATTGAAAGAGCATAAACTGGATGTTCCTCCACCAGCAAAAGTCACAGAATTCCCTACAAAACCTTTGGGTCAATTTGTCGAGGCTGATATTGAAAAGAAAATTGGTCGACGTCATTCAGAATATACGGACACAGAAAAGCAGGTTATCAATGATGTTATTTTGAGGTAGGTGGCTTATTGCATTTAAAAATATATTTAATATTTATAAATTAATCTTCCTTATTCAATAGGCAGGAGCAAAATGCCATGGAAGTACAATCTACAGTATCATATGAAACATCAGAGTGTGCCACGGGTAAGTTATCGTCACAAGCTCGACAATTGATCTATTCAGCTTGTAAATAAAGACAACGCTTTCTTCCTACTTGATAACATAATCCTATACTAACAAAACTCACACATTTCGCACCTATTATTATTTGTTTGTATATACAAAGTAGATAATCTCAAATCCAATATATCTGGTAATATAGAAACATACATATAAGCATCCATTTTCATATCGTCTATAGTATTTGTCAAATTATGCATTCTTTTTTAAGTGTTAAATTCTTTCCACATAGTCTAAAAATGCGTGTATGACCATTAAATCTCACTCGGTGGTACTTCGTATACAGCATGAACATAAACATAAAATCTCATGTACTTTGGTGTGGATTTTTTTATTTTCTCAAGATAAAATAAATTTTTGTTTGTTAATTAGTACCACTTTTGCTAGCATCAGATCTTAAGTTAGATAAAAAGATAAGATAATAAACATAAACCTCGTCATTTGTATGAAAACAGTTGGGACCATACAACATTAGGATGGAACAATATAAACATATATTTAATAATTTATATTAGATTTGTTACAATACTAATAATACCGCAAGTTTCCGCAGAAGCTCAATGGCACTTAAAGGAGGGGATATTTTAGAAAAAAAAATGTTAAAACATGTAAACGCTGTAATAGTTGCAAAACTAGTCATTACATAAATGGTGTCGGCTCCTTAATACAACTCGTGTTTTTTTTTATACAAATAATGATGTGTGGAGAGAGTACAAGGCGAAAGATATACTTATAATTCAACGGTGCACACATGCGATGTACATAGGTATTAATAATAAGCAAACACCCTAACTCCCTTCACTTGCTGTAGATACAAATAACTTCATATTCATTGCATTGCCTTACCATATCCTTGGCAGGTTTTAGGTTAGGAACTAGCCGCATATGACTTTTTTTAATCCTTGTTATACAATTCTATTTTGTTCTGTTCTGTTTTTTTTTTTTTCTTCTTCTTTTTCTGACGTCCTCTTTTAATGTTCCGGTGTCTGTCCCCAAACCACACATGCTCTTTTATAGGTGATGCATATTCCATGAAAACGTATCAAAGTATCACTAGTTTAGCCACTTCACCAGCTATTAGCAGTAATTCATTATATAGTAATGGATTTTTTGTTACAACAACACCACCTCCACCATCTAAGACAACGACGTCGACCACAATGCAAATCAGCAATTACAATATAAACTCATCATCCACTACATCGACAACAACTGGAACGACGATTACAACAAATAATTCGGATGCAATCGACACAGCAATGGAAAATGTAAAGAGCACAATAACTGCTCAAAATAGCTACCGAACGCCGAATGGCGATCATCATTCAATTGTTTGCAACAGTACAACTGAGAATGTCAACGAACTAACCGATCACAATGATATTAATATTCTTATTACAAATTACGACCAAAAACTACTAAAAGTACACGTTGATGACGATCAGGGTGATGAAGATGACGAACTGAGCGTAGAAAATACTCGCCTTTAAAAATAAAAATACTATTATACCTATATATACATATATCTATACATATATTAAAGTTGATTTTTAGCCAAGATTATTTGTAGAAATTAAATTGTATAATCCCAATCTAGCTTCTTCATCGTTGAACGAATGTGTCAATTTAAAAGAAAAAGAAAAACTTATCCTTTACTTGCATTTCCTCTCAGCAGCATTTTTATTAAGAATACATATTTTCTTATTAGCCACAATGTATCTAAATTATCTATCTGTATTCCATTGACATTTACAAATAGTAAATAATCTTTATGAAGTAAAGTGTTCTACTACTAAATACACTACTTTTGCATGCGTTTATTTTTTTTAAATTTCATTTTCTCAGAAATTATGTATCTCAAGACTGTATTGCTGCCAATTGAAATTGTGTTGAAGTAGTGTATTTTGATTTATATACCAGAATTATGTTATTTATTATTAACCCACATTCCTATACCATCCATATATTATGTAACCCCTGTTCTGCCTATTATTAGTGAAACGATTTCGCATAATGTTATCTCCTACTTCTTCTTCTTCTTTATATGCTTACTTTTGTGTATAGTTATGAATTAAAAGTTATTATTTTTCATATTTATTTAATAAATTTTTTTACCAACACAGAGACCTGATTTATTTTTGTTTTTTGAGAAAAAAAAAGCATAGTTTGCTGGCTAGGCACTCTTTTTAATAACATGCCAACATTAATAACTTTGAAGAATTACTTGTTTCTGCAAAATATTAGGATTTAAAAGTATTGCATGTTTTTTCTTGTTTGTTCCTCTTAAACAAATATCACAAAACAACAACAACTACTACTACTACAACAACACACAAAAAGCGTTTGACCTTTACGATTCTGCTAGTAGCAGGCTAACACTTGATCACACAGACTCTCGATCGATGCGTCACTTGTGAACACTAACACCCACTACCAAGCAAATGCAATATTAACTGCCATTGAATAATTGGACTTTACCATTCAATAATATTGGCTCTTCTATTTTTATGCTAAACCAAATTTAAACCCAAATTCGAACCCAATTGGATGATCTCGGCTTATCGAAATGAACTAAACCTATACTACTCTTATCGATCCACGAAAAATGAATAAACAAACAAACAAAATATAAATAAATATATAGTAACATTAACTGTGCCCGAGGATAATCATTCAATAAGAAGTTCGCTTGCAGGTACCTCAATGGCCTCTCATGGTTCGTCGGAAACCTTCTCGCTGGAGGACAACAAGTAAGTTCTGTAGAAGAAGTAACCGGCACAAAATACAAGTCTCTGTGTTTTAGCATCCATCTGAAGACGGCAAATGCATTGCAAAACACACCACAGCGTGAGATCCTTATGGGCACCTGACGTCTACCCCCAACGCCGCCAATTCACAATCCAGTGAAACAGTGTTTTTCGTCCCCTGCTCCAGTGGAAAATGCGAAAAAAGCGGGTGTTCGGTTAGCTGCCACTTCAACGGAGACGTCCTCAGTGGATTCTTTGCACAACTCTCAGACGACTCCCAAACATGACGTTGATTTAATGATTGAGGCTGCCACACCCACAACACCAACTTCGAACACCTTAGTAGCGACGTCGTCACCATCAACAAAATCATCACCGGTGCAAACTCCAACGCCCACCTCTCATTTATCCACCTTTGCGATTGGTTGAATATATGAAGCTTAAATTGTTTTCTTTTTTCGCAGACCCAAATGAACTACACACATCGACATCCTACCTTTATTGGCAATAACTAAACCTTTTGAGATATATTTTTTTAATAGTAGTCCCAGTGAAAGTTCCCATTCCCAAAGCTAAACTGACATCCTCCAATTTTTGAAAAAAAAAATTGGCAAAACATTAATAGTTTATGTTCATTCGGAGCTGCACCCAAAAGAAATCCAAGTATTCGTGTATATATGTGTACATACATGGGCGTAGGTATATGTAACTTAGTAATTTAAGGTTGCCTTTAAAATTTAAAACATTCGTTTCATTTCAAAAGAAAATTGTTAAATTGTTTGTATTCTTAGCTTGAGTATTTTCTAATCTTTATTAAACTTTTATACGCAACACAAGAAACTCCCCGCAGAGTAGCACCTAAATGACCTTAAACTAAGTTTGAATTGTTTATATGAATTACATTTATGGCAATGCATTTACGTTCTATATCCGTAAGACAAAATATCCTTTCAATATATATTTCAAAATGACCTGAAGGCAATTTCCATTTTTCTGAAATTTTGAGAGTAAATACGCCTCAGACGTCGCTCTTCAACGTAACACGAACGAACATAAACGTATGTATTTACAATGTAAAAACCCATATTTATATATATATATATTTCACACCGAACTCCGAACTTCCCACCACTACGAACGACTATTTGTTAAGTTTGTGGACAGAGGAAGGAATAACACAGCAAATTATTATACATTTATCCTGTTGCGTCCAATGAATTTAGGTATATATATAAATATCGTAAAAACTGTATAACTTCGAAGTAAAAGGGAAAATATATATTTAAACGAGAAAGCTACAATAAAGACAACTATTGAAATAAACTATCGTTCATTTGTTTTCACTTTTCTTGCTTTTGGCACTATTCTCTATTAGGGTGCCTAAGTCCTTTAATGACACCTCTCCCGATCCTCGTGGCAAGGGGGTTGGTTGGTTGGGCCCTGGTTTCCAACCAACAAAATATATGATTTGAAATGTGGCTGGCACGCCCTTATCATTGCCATACATTTCCTTATATATAGCACTGGCTGCCAGCATTGTGTCCCTGTTTAAGTGAACGGGTCTGTTGAAGGCTGCATTGTTTTCGGCCATACCTTTGAGGTCGTGCATTAGCTCAAACATTGTAGGATAGCCAATGACGATTTCATCTGTGTCAATGGTAAGCATTGTAAAACCGGCACGATTGAGAAGCGATCCAATGTCTCGAATCTAAAGAAATGTCAATTAATTCAAGAAAACGGTTTCATGGAAACGTCACCTGTGTGAATGGCGAGATATGTGGCGCTATTCCACCCTTCCTCTCGAGTTCTGCCAGTTGCAGGGATGACCTCAGCTCGTACAAGGTGTCTCCACCGAACATTGAAGCAATAAACACGCCATCCTCTTTTAGGCTTCGAATAACTCTACCGAAACATCCTGGCAAATCATTAACCCAGTGCAGACTCAATGAAGAAAGTACCAAGTCTAAGGAGTTCTCTGCAAACTGCTAAGCAATTCTCATTAGTGTTTAACGGAGCGATATAAAGACCTTACATCCCACTGCTCTTCGTCGATTTCTCTTTTCGCAATTTGCAATCCTGGTGTCCCTGTTGCCTGCGAAAGCATAGTGGGACTGATATCACAAAGTGTCAAATGTTTCACACTCTCCGCCAAAATATGTCGGGAGAGAAAGCCTCGATTGCAACCCAAATCCGCCGCTGCTTGGAATTCCCGTTTGATATCGAAAACTCTATCAGCCAGTCGGTATCCAATTTCTTCCTTGAGGTAGTCATAGAGTTCAACATCAGGACTGGACAAAAAATGATTGTCGTTAACAACACACAGCAACAATCGTCGACTAATAGCGTTACCTCAATGCTGCTCGTTCCTTCTGCAAACGCTTCGCATTTCTATCAAAAATCTTCTGATACGAAGGTTGATTAGAATATGTATGTCTTTGTATCGCGGATGATAGAGTTACACTTCCTATTCCACTTGCCCTTTGTAAGAGTTTCAAACAATTCATCTGTATTTTGGAAGCGTTTTGCAAGATTCCCACCATTATTATATATCCAGTCTCTAAAGTCTCTAACCTTCCTCTAAATTGCAAAACAAAAAATCATAAGGTTCACAGCTGATTCGTCTAGGCATTAGTCGAGAAGGGAAGATAAGGGGGAAATATCTGTCAAAACAAACACACACACACAAATGTACATATTCATACATGTGAGCATTGTTTATATTCTTGGTCCATCAAAGGTTGTTTTCATATGTCGTCAGTAAATATTTCGGCACAACGCCGGCCGAATGCTCCATCATCAGTACCATAAATAGTTAATTTAAATCAGACTATAGGTGTAAATTTATTTCGGTTATTATATATAAAACAAATCTCTTATTCTAAATAGGTAGTGGATGAAAACGTTATCTATTTTTTGACCATTTTTAGTTTTTCCGAGCCCATTAAAATCGTTTTGTCTACTTCGGATAGCTTACGTTTCATAGCAAACGGATTAACAGAATTCAACGGAGTGCGGCTCAATGGTTTCATGTCCTCTGAGGAAACTTTCGACAGTTGCGACTCTGAATCATTTCCACTGAAATTCTCCTGCGATGCCTCGGACGAAGGGGTGGCTAGCAGGGAATCATTTGTAGACTTTTTATAAAGGGGCGATGATGATGGAGAATTGGAGAATGCAAATCGCTTTAGTGTAGACTTTTTAGTCGATCCCAAATCCATTGATTTCGGTGCTAGTTTGTTCGACGATGAGGAAGAGCCGTTCTGGTAGGCTTTGAGCAGAATCAGGGGTGACGCCGGCAAAGATTGTTCAACTAATTGCTCTTCCTGTTCCCGCGACTGCTGTTCTTCCTCTATTTGTGGTAAAAGTTCTGATAAACGATCTGATAGATGGATTCTTCCCAACTTGGTGGCATACTTTACAGCAAGCATTAGCAAATCTGTGCATGATATGGTTTCAATGAGTTCTTTTGCCCGCATTTCCATTTCGGATCGGCATGCCAAGGCAAACAGTTTTATGGCCGTCTCTTTGATAGTCTTCTCAGCGTTGTCCATCGACATCATTGATGCCCTTAGCATTGAATCTTCCAAAATAGATTTTTCGTTTTCCAAATCACACAATGGCAATTGAAGTGGCAATTCTTGAACCATAGGTCGTGGATTCGTCATTGGATATGAAGTACCGCGACATAAGACAGCTTGTAGAATCTGTGACCTTTCCGAAAGCGAGATAACAAAGTAATTATTGGAAACGCTAGAAGATTGCTTCATGGTGTCACACACCGGATACCAGCAGTTAGATTTCACGTTAAACAACTGCACGATTCCCATAGAATCACTAAAGACTGGCGAACCGCAGTCTGAAAAACCCAGCCAAGATAACTGTCTTTCCGGAGTAAGTGGCAAAGTGACGTTTTGGCACTTTAGTCGCAGGCCACACGTTTGGAACAGCATAGCTTGAAGATGTTGCTGTTTGGCGCTAGGAGTCGCGCTATGGTAGCACACCAAAATGCGATCTTCATAACCCGCCATGCAGACAACAGGACCCGGTATTGATACGACTTCTCGCTGAGTGCCCATCACTGTAAATATTCTGAGGAATTGTGCACTGGTTGCCACGGCCAACATTCTAGAAGATGCACACAATGCTTCGACACTTTCACAATCTGGTAATTGAACAGACCACTCCTTATTTCCAGAAGCTGCCAAGGCTATGCAAACGATTTTTGAGGAATTATCAGCCGCCATCGCGAGAACAGTAGAACTTAAACTGGCCATATTATGGTTGTTATAGTTAGGTATATGTAGAGAATGGTGAACGCTTGCGTCGTGGAATTCAACATCTATGGCTCCGTCAGCTCCGTCTGTATGAAGTGTTACAATGCCCACAGTATTCCACGCCAAATAACGATGTTCTAAATGGGCCGGGGTTGAGCCTGGTTGGAATGGCTCTTGTTGTTTGAACATTTTTGGCATTTCATAGCCTGCTATTGAAGGTGTTGCTGATCGTACGTCGCCAATGGAATCTTTTGTTTCTTCGTCGTCATGTGCACTGCCATTGGTATAGGCCATTACTTTATGCTTCAGCTTTTCAATTGAAACCACATTTTCATCGTCTTCGTCGTCGTCATCGACACCATTAAGAGCCCCGCCATCAACTTTTGCTTCTTCATCAGCAAATTCTATATCGCCAAAGTCGTTATCCATTGTCATGGCATTTTCATCTAAATCCGCGCCATCCTCCATGGCACCTCCACTGCAAAATAGTGTTCCCAACTGTCCGTTTGCGTCACAGTAGGCTAACTCGTCGTTATTTTTTGTGCTCCATGCCAGGCATGTTATGGCCTGACACTCACTCGATGGAGGTTCACACTTTTTACTCTGCCGTGTAGAGAAATCAAACAAGGAAATCTCACCCACATCGGTGGCAGCTGCTACTAATGAGCCATCTGTGGAAAACTGGCAGCAAGTGTAATTCCCTTTGGTTTTTTCGTCTGACAGCGTGTACAGCGTTTCCCAGCTACTTGTATTGACCACATATATTTCCTTTCCATTTGCATAAATCAACGAATTGCCGTTACGGGGCTCAAAGCAAGGCGTTCCAAAACATTTTGCATTTTCAAAACTGTTAGCTTTAGGCAAACCTGTTATGCTTTTTATTTCCTTTCCTCCACTTGGCAAGTCCCATAACTTTAGCACACCGTCGCCGCCCACTGAAGCCAAATAAGTACATTTGGGATGAATGTCCAGCGCAAGCACTGGCCCTCTATGGCCTTCCAAATCCAGTGGTAGACTTTCTCCGTCTTTGAGAACTTTTATTTTAGTATCCTCGGAACCCGCCGCCAAATACTCTTCTCTAACTTTCATGCATATAACTGGAGCGGTGAATCTCAATAATGTTCCATCATTGTCCATATCTGGGAACGTGTATGCCTGGACCGTATTTCTGTCGGTAGAGGCCAACAATTTATCCTTCTTCTGCGCCAGACACACTACAAATTCGCCCAAACAATTCGACGAAGGGTCATCGTCATCTATTCCTCGCCATTTCCGTGTATCTCCATCCGACCCACAGGTCAATATAAATTCTCCGTTATCCGTGTAAATTAAACTGGTATGCCCGGTAGTGTGGGCGTACCTCAAACTACTCCGTTCGTACATGTTCCAGCTCACCGACAGTTTCTAATTAATTTTGATTACAATTAAATTGAATTGTTTGCATTGGTTTTGCGATGTTTTTGCAGGGTAATATTTTTTGGCGCTAAAACATATGACAGCAAGCACTTGAGTTATGTGAATTGTTGGACAACTTTTTCTTCTTCTTCTTGTATCGGCAACTCATGGTAGAAGAATACAGGTAGGTGCATACACATTCGTGTACATTGATATGTCGAAAATACCAAAAAATAAAAGCTAATTTTTTTGAATATTTTTTATATGTTGCTGAGAAAATGAAATCGTTTATTGTAGTAAAATATTTTACATTCTTGTAGTTCTGGAACAAACAAAATATTGTCCTTTTTTTCTTGGATCCAATTTTGTAAAAAAAAAAAAACAAAACCAATTATTGCACTCATAAAAGTCTACTTGACACAATAAGGCTTCATTACAGAGTTGCATTGTTCATAGATATTTTTTTAAGTTGAGCAACCTTTCTTTTGGGTCATGGTATAAACTACGGCACGATTACAGAAGGTAAAACAAAGCTGCCTAATTATTTAAAATTGAAAACAAAGATTCAACTTCATAAACACGAAATGCAGAACGCACCAGTTATTAATTTTTCAGATTTTTCGTATAGTAAAGTAACCAGACACAACTATTATTGGACCGTGAGTTGTACTAATTGGTACCAGTCATAAAAGTACGTGACAATACAGCTCTGTAAGTTTATTGATTTTGGGTGGTGACTAACAAACGGACAAACGGCACACAGCTTGGAGTTTTTTTTTTTTTGGAGTTATTTGATTCAGAGTTCCCACATTGAGTGGAAATGAAGATATAATAAAGGTTAGATCTCAGCGAATCCCCATAACAAGTTAAAGCTATGTTCCTTAACTCGCTTCCAATTCACAACCACCTTGACCGCAGGTGCACCTGTCCTAAACAATTTAGTCATAATCATTATCATATATCCATATCTTCGTATCGCAATGAAATCACAATTACTTCCTAATATTTTCAGTCAATACAAAAGGTGAGGAAACGTTTTCGGTGTTAATCAGAGGCAGCCCCGTCAAGTTCTAGCTCTTTGCTGTTGAGACCGAAAGCGAGTGACGCATTGAAGATAAAAGAAAATCGTTAACCAGACGACAGTGTTAATAAAAATGGTAGCCACTCCTTATCTGTTTAACGAAATAGAGAGGATATTCCGAAATGTAAGTAATGATTGTTTTAGAACTAACCCGCGTATTCTAATCGAGAAAGCACTAGACCCCTTTGTATGCTATAGTTTTGGAAGCATTTCTCCTACTTTCTGTGATATGGCTATTGCTTTACAAGCGCAATGGCCGCCAACGGTTTACCAAGGAACAAGAGGATGAAATAATAAGTAAATACGAACCCGAGCCATTGGTTGCAGACACACTTCCGAACCATCCTCTGTTACGCACACGTCTGGTTCAGTCTAAAGTTGGCAAACGAATTGTCGTGGATGGGTATGATTGTCTTAACTTGGCCTCCCATAACTATTTGGGATTGCTTGAAGATAATCAAATACTGGAGGATGCGTGCAAAAGTTTGCGTAAATATGGCGTGGGCTCCTGTGGTCCACGTGGTTTCTACGGTACTATGGACGTTCATTTAGATCTGGAAGAACGTTTGGCCAAATTCATGGAAATGGAGGAAGCGTTAGTATACTCCTATGGATTTTCGACAATAGCGAGTGCCATACCCGCCTATTCAAAGAGAGGGGATGTCATTTTCGTGTAAGTTTCTCTTATTGTGTTGTAATGAGGGGCAACTTTGAATGGTAGCCATTTCTTTCTAGCGATGAAGCTGTTAACTTTGCTATTCAAAAGGGTCTGGATGCCTCCAGAAGCACAATTTACTTTTTCAAACATAATGACATGAATGACTTGGAAAGACTTCTGAAAGAACAAGCTGTACGGGATGATAAGGTACCGTCATGCCATGCATTTACATGGAAATGATATAATAGTCAATATTTTTCGTAGAACCCCAAGAAGGCCGCTAAGACAAGACGTTTTTTGGTAGCTGAAGGCATTTATATGAATACTGGAGAGATGTGTCCTCTGCCTGAGCTGGTTGCTTTAAGGGCAAAATATAAACTACGCTTCTTTCTCGATGAAAGCCTAACGTTTGGTGTCTTGGGGAAGAATGGTCGTGGCCTCACTGAACATTTAAATGTAGATGTAAGTTGGTCTAAATCATTTAAGGAATAATGTGGTGCAAAGTTCTTTTTATTTAAAGCGCAACGAGGTTGACCTCATATCCTCTGGTATGGAGTGGGCAGTAGCATCTATTGGGGGCTTTTGTGTTGGTTCTAATTTTATAGTAGAACACCAACGTTTGTCTGGTCTGGGATACTGTTTCTCGGCTTCCCTGCCTCCACTATTAGCACAAGCAGCCATATCTGCTCTCAATCTCTTTGAAGCTGAGCCTAAAATATTTGAAGAGTTGCAAGAGAAAACAGCAATATTGCATCAAAAATTTTCACAATTTTCAAAGTTGAAATTGAGAGGTGCTGAGCTTTCGCCTGTGAAACATCTGTTCTTAACTAAAACTCTAGAAAACAACGAAGAGGAAAGAAAACTTCTAACAAAAATTGCCGATACAGTGAGTCACTAAAGCAATATAACAAAAATCGGTCCTCTATGAAGGCTTATATTATTTTTTATTTCAGTGTATATCTCGAGGTGTGGCGGTAGTTGAAGCATGCTACCTTTACAATTTGGAGAAACATCCTTTACGTCCAAGCATTCGTATCGCTTCAAACCGTCTATTGACTACAGATGAAATCGAGCACGCCTTTAATGTTATAGAATCTGTTTCGAGTAATCTTATTCAGTAATTCCTTGAAGTGTAGTGACTTTGCTACTGTCGTACAATACATATAAGTTTCCGCCTTATGTAGAAAAAACAATTCTATACCAAAGTATTTTATTTTCTCTATCAAGGTATGTGCTTTTGGTCATGTATATAACGATATACATTTTAAGTAAGCCTTGTAATTGAGTCAGAACAAAATAAACTAGTTACTGCTTGTTTAAATAACATACATATTTTAAATGAAGTCCATTAAAACTACCAAATAATATGCCTTACTTAAGTATATAAATAATATAATTCTAATTCCATTCGTATTTGCAAGTAAAACTGATGTTTTTAATCTGATAATGAATAAAACCCACCATATTTTTCAGTTTTACCACATTACATGTCTTGAAAAAAGTATAACCAAACCAATAACCAATTTGTGTTTAATGTTTATGTATCGTTAATTTTTATTTAGAACGCGCAATTTAAAAGTAAATAAAAAAAGTCTTATTTGAATATGCAAATTTCGATGGAATTCTTGGGAAACAATCTGATTTCACGCGTATTAGAAAATGCATGCAATTGCGAATTAATCGTATCAAAATGTAAACTGAATTGTTGAGAGTTTTATTATTGTGATTGAAATTTCAGTACGAACAAAAAAAAAGAAGAAATTCATAACGACTTTTGTTTTGCTTCTTTAAAAATGAAAAGAAACTGGTTTTTTTGTAAAGTCGAGCAAAATTATTACAAAATTGGTAGACAGATGCACTTTCTGTACCATGGTAGAAGAATACAGGTAGATGCATCAACGCTTGGGAACTTTGATACGTCAAAAAATTAAAATTTTTTTTTTTCAAAAATAAGTAGATTTGTGTATGTTTTCCTACACCTCGCCAATTTTAGGTTGTTCCGATATGCATTTTTAACAATTTTTATTTATTTAAATAAATTTTCATTCAAAAATTTCAATTTCAAAATGGGTTTGAGAGTTCATTGTCCCAGCAGCTAAGTCGATGCGACTACCTATAATCTTCTACCATGTTCTGTACACACCTAATGTGGCGTTTCCACTGCACTTGATTCGCTCTCTATTCGTTGTTTGACCCTTAACTATTCTACTTAATTCTTCACACAAAATTTCCTGAGCGAACACTCATATTTGTACATTGTTCAAATCAAATCACTCTCAGAACAACGAAAAAGTATGTCCCATCCCTAAAAAATGAGAGCATTTATCGAAAAAATAAATTATGACATTTAAAAATTAAAATTAAAAAACTTTAATGAAATTTTAAAAATTTTTGGGAAGACTGAAAATCATGAATGAAAACTACAATGTTGAATGGCGTATGTACATTCAAACGAAAGTACATTTTGTTTTCTCTTTCATTAGAGGTACGCATTTTGTCCACGAGTTGAAATTTCCATAGAAAACTGCAAACAAAAGAGGCAATATTTTCAAAATGTTTGTATCTGCAGAAAAAAACAACAATAAAAACAATAATTTCTTCTATTCATATCAGTGAGAATTGTATGTATTTTTGTATAAATTCCCATTCAAATCAACAAACAAAATTTTTGAAAAATGAATTATTTTACTATGAATTACGAATCGTGCCGTATGAACGGGTTAATTCGTGTACCTAATTCTGAGAGCGAACAACGTTGTTCGGTTTTCAATGGAAACATGCTATAATAAAAAAGAACAAATAACATAAAACTGTCAAAAACAGCTCGATAACATCGGAATCGATTTTAGATATGAAAAAATGTTATCGATTATTCGTCAACTTTCATCCAATATTTCCATATGTAAGATTATTTTGGTAAGCATTTAAATAAAAATAGTTAATCAAATATTGGCTATCATCGCTAGATGTGAATCGGGACATCACATATTAGAAGGTTTACTGCTATTGGCTCGAGGTCAATTCAAATCCGGGTGCGAGAAACAGGGTAAAAACAGCGGACCAGACGATTAAGAAACCCTATTTGCGAGTGAAGAAATTATTGGTTGTTCTCTATTTTGTTCTTGTGACCGCATTGACAAATTTATCAAAGGGTTAACAACTGGTTTGGTGGGCGAATAGACCAGCCAAGCCTTCGGTAAGTTCGCTGGAAAAATCTCTTTTTATATGTTGGACCTGTGTTATATAATTTATCAAAATCTATAACTCAAAGTGTCATCATTTTTACGCTCGCATACGTCACTCCTATGCTAACAACATTAAAAGAAATTACACAAATCGTTGAGGTAGGGCGTAGGAAACTTTTAAAGAATTCTGAAATTGGCACTTTGCTCCTCTATTAAAGGCACGAAAGAATTTTGTTATACATGCCTCGTTGTTCTCTAAATCGCTGCATGAAACATTAACGTAAATTATCGAGGATAAATCCCGAAAGCAATACAAACTCTTCCATTCCATGACCATTGTTTTTTTTTTCAAAAGGAACACCAAAAGGTCGGCCCACTCAATCCACTCTTAAACAAAAGGCGGATATACATGGAAAGAATTCGAAATGAAAATGTATTTGAAATGGATTTTTTACTAATATTTATTACTCAAAAATTCCGTTAAATTAAAGCTGCAATACTGCTATTTTTGACATGTGTATTTTGAATCCCTCTTAAAATAATTACAATAGTGTCAAGATTTACTGAACTTAGAGATTTAAAGTTGTTACAGAACTGTTCTCAATATATGCTCATTGCCATTTCGAAAAAATTATCACATAACAATTGAAGTAAAAAAGAAACGATTATAATGCATTTAACGCCATAACTACTTTTAAAATTGATCGGTAATGCTGCAGATATACTGATAACTATCTTGTAGGCTTAAGACTATTTTGTGAATTTACATTTGTAGCCACAATAGAACTCATAAATTAATCCAAGGATCGTCTACGTTGCTTGTTATTGTACCCACCGCTTTGATTAAGAACCTCGTTCGAGAGACGGGACAGCAGTGGCAGCTCTCTCATGGAAACGTTTGCCAGTGGCAATGGTTCGAGTTTGTGTAGTTTTTTCAAAGGCTTGACCATATGTTCCGGAGTAGTTGGCAAACTATTAACGCATGCTTCAGAGATTTGAATAAGAGGCTTTGGCGTAACTGGAGCCTCAGCGCCCAAAGAGTCTGGTCGCATTGAATTATTTGGGGTGTTTTGAATGTTGTGCTTGTGTAGTTCCGCCTGATTTTTAGCGCATTCTTTCAATAGCAACAAATGATCCAACTTGTCCACTGTAGCATTCAATTCATTTTCCCAGATATCATTTTGTTCCTGCTGACCATCTCCACCCTCAATTGGGCGAACTGCTAAAAATTTAACTTTTTGTCTCAGTATTTCCAAGTCCTTCTCGTCGACCACCTGTGTTGAGGGTTCTTGTTCGGTCTCTTGATCGTCCATTTCCTGCGATTTTATGACAACATCTTCGTCTTCATCTAAATCTGAATCCTCCATTGAAGCCAATGTGGCCAGAGACACATGAGCTGTTGGACCAACATTATGACAAGACTTCTTACTGGAACAAGGAACATTTTCAGATCTCTGAGAATGGGCTCCCAAAGAAGACTGGCTGTCGCCCAGAGAAGGATAACCGCAGTTGTCCAGCTCTTTATGGAAATCGGGTAAAGGAGGCAATTGCGTGGTAGTTGGCGAGTTCAGTTCTGCCCCTACACCTGGTTCCCTAGGACCTGGCGGGGGTGTATTCAGTAATTGTGGATAATCTCCTCGTTGGCGATGAATGTCGTCGCTAATACGTTCCAAGTTACGTAGGGCTGTCGCATATGTATTCTTTGCTGCTTGTACTTGTGCCTGCAGTTCTTCAATGCGATTTTTTTGAGTTTGTAGTTGATCCTGACAAATTTGTTTCTCCTCAAAATAGGGTCGGGATTTTGCAATACTGCGACGAAAGCGTTCTTCCAGCTGCTGGACTTTCTGTTCAGCCAAATGGAATATTTTTGTACGTGTTTGATGCTCGGCATGACATTCAGCCTTTTGTTTTTCAGCATCCATAACCTTTTGAGTGGCGTGGTTCAGCATCTCCTGCCAAGCATTATCGAATTGCCATTCGTGTGAATTTGACATAAATCGCTGTTCAGCCAGAGCAACGGTTTCCTTTGCGGCAGCGTGAATTTCTGGAAAAAAATGAAAATAATAATTTGGTTTGGAAATTAAAAATCAAAAGGGGAAATAACTAACCATTAGCTCTTTGAAATTTGACTGCGGCTTTTTGACATTCAATTTGTGCAGCTTTCGCCTTATCCAGGGCTTCATAATATGGCCTAGCTTTATCAATGCAGCTCCCCAACTTTTTCGAAGATAGTTTTAGACGACGTGTAGACTCATTCAACAATATTCGGAAAGTGGAATTGGCCTCCTAAAATGAATTATACATTACAGAGTTGATGCACCCCAATAAAACAATAATAATTACCTCTAATTCTATTTCCAATTTGTTGATTTCATCCGTGGCCGTATTAAGATTTTCCAACTCAATCTGAAATTCAAGAGAGTGTATTTGTTTTAACAACCCTTTCACTTTTACCCCTTCTCTTATTAGATTGCTATCATACACCGCTAGGCCATCAGGATAGTATATATGAACAAAGAAATAATTTAAGCAGTAAACATGGTATCATCAAGTCGTACGAAAGAACCAGCAAAGTTCGATTTAAAAAAAGTGCCGGTATGTATATAGAAAATAACATTCAAGAGTAGAAAAATTTATATGTCTTCTTTTGTTCTCGTCCCCCTAGGCCCGGGTGGATCGCGTAAACGTGAGTGGCTTACTAAGAACCCACAATGACTATGTCATGAAAGCAGCCGAAAATCTGTTCAAGGCCACCAATTTCCAAGATGTAATGCTGGAAAGCATGCAGTAATGTTCTTGTCATCCTACACTTGAGCATTTTGAGTAAGATTGTTTTGCTTTTACACATTTCAGGGCCAAATCATACCTGCATGAATTGGGTATTTTTAAAGATGTCAGTATTCACATTGATGTCAGTCGTGGAGAAAATGCCAGCCCAGATGGCTATGAGGTGACGTTCAAGGGCAAAGAACTGTCACGCATTGTAGGCTCAGTCGGCACGGAAGTTGGACAAAACGAGGGATCTCTACGAACCGAATTAACAATACCGAATCTATTCGGAAGAGGAGAGAGTATATCTCTTCAAGGTTCCTACAGTAGTAAACGCGCAAACGATGTTCAACTCAAATTCTGGAAATCGTATTTCCATACGCGTTTTGTGGAGAACAGACCAGAGTAATTATTTTTCAATCTTCCCGTAATGTTTCAATTGACAATCTAAATTACTTTCAGGATATCATTTTCAATTTTTCGACACTTGGACCGTTTTAATGTAAGTAAATTCCAAAACACAAATTATGGATGTATTGCTGAATTTGCTGTCAACACTCTGAGACCATTTGAGGTATGACATTTGGATAGTATTTATAAATAGTTCTTTAAAGATGTTACCTATAATTTCCAGCTAACTCACTCTCTGCAATACGAAGCTTCCATACGAGAATTGTCTTTATTGCAAAAAACGGTGCCCATGGCTATTAGAGAACATTGCGGCCCCAAACTAGCCTCCCTCCTTCGCTACTCAGTAATTTTCGATCAGAGAGACAATCCGGTGTTTCCCACTCAAGGTTTAATGGTTAAGTCTATCAATGAATATTGTGGTTTGGGTGGCAATGTAGCCTACGTCAGCAACAACACACATGCTGAGGTCAGCGTTCCCCTTTTCAGCGGCATTGTAGCGCAAGTGTGCGGACGTTTGGGTGTCATCAAGGAGACCAAGAAAACGACAGTATTGCCTCTGAGCAATTTATTCTATTGTGGAGGACCATTGACTCTTCGTGGCTTTGAATTCGGTGGCGCTGGCCCGGTGGTAGATGGTACTCCAATAGGAGCACAAGTTAGTATTTTCCGTAACCTCCAGTAGTTACATTCTAATCTGTTCCATCAATTTTAATATAGACATACTGGTCTGCTGGCTTGCACCTGTGGGCACCTTTACCATTTAACAAAGTGTTCAAAGGTTTAGCGGATAATTTCCGAACACATTTGTTTTATAACGTTGGAAATTTCAATACATTTTCGACAGGTAATTCGTAGTTTTATTTAACAGTTTCGTAGTTTTATTTAACAATTTAATGATGTCTGTCTTTTATTTCAGAAAACCTGCGTACGGCTGCTGGTATTGGTTTGGCATTTAAGTTGGCTGAACGGGCTCGAATTGAGCTTAACTACTGTATTCCGATACGAAAATGTATGGGTGATAAAGTTAACAATGGTTTCCAATTCGGAATTGGCTACGAATTTGTTTAAAAGCCCATAAAGTACAACAACAAAAATATATGCTTTCTTTTCGATTCTACAAAAATATAAATTAAAAGACGAATGCAATCAATAAATTTTGATTTTCAAAACTTAATCGGATTGCATAGCATCACGATTGATGTGCAACTGTTTTTTGTATTGGGTGCTGTACTATTGTTGTTCTTAGTTGATGATATTAAATATGGAAATAAATCAAGTGTTTTAAAGCTCTACTCAAATAAAATGGACTCAATACTTTGTTTTTAGGATAGGTCGGGAACATCACTGTGAACTCGGATCAATTCAGGACTAAAGAAGTCAACAAGTCCACACAATTAGGTGGCAATATTTATCGTTTAGAAAATAAATTTCTTAATGCTCAATTTGTAAAATGGCTTTCAAATTCATGGTATTTCATTCTGGTATGCAGGAAAAAAAATCTGACACGAGTCTGTCGCTTGGAATTTTTTTCCCCAAACCCTGTTGGTGCTATTAATTTAACCAACGCCTTAAATTTTTGTAATAACTGCCGCAAGTTATTTTATAACAAATTTTAGATCACATATTTAAACCTTCTTTTCCTTTTACGATGTGCAAGACTTTGTTGGGCATCAGTATGATAACAAGGGAATAAAACGCATCTGTCTCACCTTTATTCGCGGGTCCAGCTCGCTTTCGTCGGCCATTGTTGACATTGTACAAATTTATTTTTTTTTTTTCTATTTTTTTATGTTGCCTCACACTTTTCATTCGCAGACGCAAATACTGCTAAAATATAAATTACACGCTTGTTTTCTTTTCTCAAGGGCAAACTTGAACAGATTTGAACTTTTCTATTACATAATTAAACAATTTGATATTGATGATCAACAAATTTTGATTAATTTGAGATTTAATTAATATGGAAAAATCTTATTAATTTTTCCCATTGAACTCGGGTCACTAATCACTGAAAAACGATATCTGGCTGTTGTCAATCACTGAAAGATGATGACGCATAGCTGCAATTCGCTGAAAATTGATAACATTCAAAATTATAATTTGACAATTCAAAGCGAGCAGATGAGTTAATAGCCCGATTATATGTAATGGCTGTGTTCCTGTAGTTTTTAATTCTCTTAAAATATAACACAAGTTTTAAAGATAACTTTGTGATCTTTGTAAATCAACCATGGCATCATGGCTCTGCATATTTATTGAAATATAAGAAAAGAGATGTCAAAGCCCATTCGAATCCTGCCGCGGTTTTCCCCTGTAGTTTGACATTAATATGACAGGCCACGATCCCAAGCTGCTTATGATATGTCAAAAATTTTAAAATATTTTTCAAATATAAGTAGATTTTTATATGCTTTTTTACATGACGTCTATTGGAGGTTGTTATAATATGCGTTTTCCAATTTTTTTTTACAAATTTGGATATATTTTCATTCAAAAATTTCAATTCCAAATTTGGTTTGACAGTTCATTGTCCCATCAGCAGTGTCGATGAGTATAACTGTATTCTTCTACCATGGTATATATACACAACCAAATTGATGTTGCAAAACAAGTGTTTATTAACATTGGTGACGGTGTGCAAGGAAAAGAATGCATCTCCCAATGAATTAACATTACCAAACACAATTCAAAGTGTTTCGTTATTGTTCAAATTTAAACGTAATTACTGAAACATTTGCGAATTTAGAGTGTACCGCAATAACAGTGTAAAACCCCAGTGATGTATTCCGTTAGTATGTAGACTCCGCGCCAAATTTAAACAAATCCGGTGATTTTTGTATTGTAAATCTGCTTGAATAAATAAATAGACTGCTAAATCCACTAGATTCCAAATGCCATTGCCAAGTTTTTTATCTTATCGCACAAATCACAATAAATTTGTTTATTTCACACTTTTTAACATTTCTCTCATTTAAGAAAAAAATGCCGAAAATCTAATTTCAAAGTAGATCAAATTCAACATTGATAGAGCTTAATTTTTCTTTTGATCTCTTGAAAATTTCAAATGTTTAGATTTGACAAATTCAAAATTGCATATTTCAGTTGTTCTCGGATGCCATAGTGGGGAACGATATGTCGAATTTTAAATAACAATTGACAATTATAATTGGTATGTCTTACAAAATCCTTAAAATCCTTTTATTTATTTACTCCTTAAGAAAGGCTGGTTCATTCCAAAAATCAAATATCCCATTAAAAGGAGAATTACATTGGGCTAAGATCATGAGCGAAAATTAATTGTAGACACCCACTGCCACCCACCATTTCTGATACACTCCCTACACAAAGGGTTATCTCCTGAAAATTAATCGACGGTAGTCGTGATTGTATAAAAATAATTCTTTGCACTACTTCCATCATCTATACACTCCGTCCGATAACTCTAATTAAATGTTTATACCCTCAGACTTCGATTTGTGTTACCGTTAAAATTCCAATCTCTCTTTAGTTTCTTTTCAACAGGCTTGCTATGACTGTTTGAATGTAATAATAATTAAATATTTACATGCACATAAATACATTTAATTAATGAATAATTTCTTACTCTATTTGAAAACTCTAAATATCCATTCGTCGCTTCATATATACATTCATAGTTTAATTCAATAAAATGTTTGAAGTTGTTTCAAAGTTAAATTGGCAGTGACCGTGAACAGGGAATAAGCTTCGACAAAGCTTTTGGGAGAATACTGAAAGAGGGTTGTTCGTTGTGTTACAGAAATGAGCTCCAAATTTATTTCATTCTTGCGAGCAAAGAACTTTCGATTGAAAAGTTTGACTTGTTTGTTGGTCAAACTAGCAAAACCCAGAGTCATTCAATCTTATTGGCGAATCAAAATAAAAAGGTGGCGAAAAAATGAGCAACGTTTAGTTGTCGGATGTCTGTTAAAGCGAATTGTGCTCGATACTCAGCAAAACAAACAAGTGAATGTAAAAGAACGAACGTAACAATCGGAACACGACAAACTTTATATACACTGTCTTCTCCCGTTTATGTTATTTATAATAAAAAAAATAATTAACAATTTTAAAGTTTTAAAGCATAACAATAACTGTAGAAGTGGCGTTGCATATAAAAACAATGAAACAAGTGAATGAAGTTGAACAACGACAACAACATACAACAACAACAACAACATTTGTCATGGAAACAACGAACAACGGACATGAAACTATGATTTCCGACCAGCAACAGCTGATGAGCCACAGCAGTGCCACTAACGGCAGTAGACTCTCATCCAAGACCAGTGGGCTCCATCTAAGTTTCGTTGGCAATGCAAATGAGAGTGTTGGGAGTGCATTCTGTAAACAATGTCAAATTGGTAAGAAGTCAGTTGTTAAATTTGCGAAAATATTTCTTTGCTAAAATTGAAAGTAACATATTAATAATAACGAATGAGGATATACAGAGTTACAAATGTGTTGTATATTAATTTGTCAAAGATTGATATTAGGATGTTTCAATGGCAACACGGTACAATTGCACAAGTTGGGGTGGAACACAAACTTCTAAAAATTATGCAACCAGACGACATTTTTCATTTTCCTCGTAATTTTATAAACTTACTTAAACTGTCAGCGTTTATTCGCAGCGTCGACAGTCTGATATTATGAGAAATTTCTCGCTAACGACTTACGTCCGCTATATTTTTCACGAGGCCTATTAAGTAGCAGAATTTAGGCGAGAAATCGGTCGTATATCGTATTTAACGATAAATTTCCTTTTTTATTCTAAATTGTCTTTATGGTCTCATGTCCGCATTCAAAACGTGGACGAAGGATTTAAGGAGACGTCATCTTTTTAATGGCTGTTCAATACGTCCCTATACGTTTATCCATTGCAGATAGGTATATCAATGAAACCTAAATCCACCCAAGCTTTAAAATAAATCTAAGATTTATATCAAAAACATTCTATCCGATAATTTTGATTTGATGTATAAGAAAATGCATGCCAAATAAGTGATGAAAAACAATCACAAAGTAGTTATGTAAACGGACTTTTAAGCATTCTAAGACAAAACGTTGGGGTTGGTACTCTCATCGCACTTTGCTAGAATGTGATCAACTTAGTTGTTGTGGCGCGTATCGTAACATTTCATTTCCCAACCTAATACAGAACTTAGAGCTTAATTTGGTTCCAAAATCTATATTGTCATATGTATACATACATAGATATGTATTTCCACACTGGTAGTTCAGAGCCGCATTTATCCCTAAATATTCATTGGAATTGGTTTATTGCTGTGGAGTTACATTTTTGTTACACGTTCAAACATAACTCCGGTGGACTTCGATAATATGGATGACATTACTAGCGCAGAGTAACAGCCCCAATAACGTATTGGTATAGCGCAAATGTAATTCCTTTACGCTGAAACTAATATCTTACCAATTTTATTTCAAGGTAATCACTTCTAGCACATAGTATACTTGTAGTCCACAACGTGAACGCACATACGAACATGTATAGACATACATACCTACAACGACTGGTTTTTTTAACTTAATTCCACCGCATTAAAATAGTAGTTGTATCTACATACATATGAACGAACGTATGTCGGCAAAACACTGTTTGTAATAGAATTATTAATTGCTCTATTGGAAACGAGCAGAGGAACAAAATAGCAGAGGGTCCGACATTAACGGCATTCGGAAATGTTCCATGATCTTGAACATGGACCGATCCCCATGAACATAGCAAAGGATATATGTACTTGTGAATAACCACAAAGCACATATTGTCGAGATCACATTGCAAAAATATTTGATTTATGATGCAATACCAGTCAGATCAGCATCACCCTATCGTTTTTACCTGGTGGAACACAAGCCAAGCATAAAGCCACAGCGGAGTAAGGTTTCGTTCAAATACCACTACAAATTCTCGAAATAAGTGGCTATATTTATACGCATACCATCCGTAACGATTGTGTTCCGATTTCCACGTGGGAGCATTGAAAAGTGAATCCAAATGTTTAACCTTCATTAAGTGAAAGTTCTTACTGCATAAATCGGTATTGAGCGAGCTCACCTGCGTTTTGTACAACACTTGTCGATGTGGGAAATGATCATATTCAACTTCTCAAAACACACATATCTTTTTTAAATATTTCCGGATTTCTGTATCCGATTAATGATTGATTCATGTTTTTTAAGGTCCGCTCGGATTTGTGCAATTGCTCGCTTACTTCGAAAGAATTAGTCACCACTTTTGACATTGACATTGGAGTCTTTAAAAGAGTGAAATATAGAGAAGTAGAAATAAAACAAAAACCAACAACACTACACAAAAGCCTGGCTTGAATGCCTTCTATTTTCCCTCCCCCTTCCCATAACAATTGCAAGTCAATCCAAAGCCATTGAATGTCTGGCCGAACCTTCTATTGTTTGGTAATTAAGTTGTCAATTAAATCTCCATGTTTGAATGCATTACACTAGGTTCGTATACCCAGCTTTTATTCGGTCAAATCGTTTGGTTGTCTTTGATACCGCAAAATTAAACACAACAGAAAATAATTCAATAAGAAATTGAAGGCAACTTAAGCCGGACACATTTACGAAGGTTATCGCTTAAAATCTCAACAAAGGGTAATTAATTTGAAATAAAACAATTTTGTAATGTTTCGTGTTTGATTCTGCAAAGTAATTTTTGTTTTTTTTTTTTTTGCCTCATGGTTCCCAAATAATACGACTGGCTGTGTTTATGTTTATAACCTGCGTGGAGTGGGTCATCATATGGACATCTATATGGTGGACCGATAGTCATAGATATATATATCGAGGAACCCTAGGATCTCATTAATGTTAATCATAAAGTATATTCTCGTCAGTGCAATGTTCCCCATTTTTTCAAACATATCTAACTTTTCAGGTCGCCAACCGGAGACCTGGCACACATATGTCTTCGATTTAGTATATCTTTACGTCTGAAAATGACTTGCAAATGAAATTGAGAAAGACGAACTGATAGGAACATCAATATGTAAATATATATATATGTCCACGTTCTAAGCGCCTTTTTAAAAGCAATCTCGAGTGGGAAGACATAATCAGCGAAGCTGATAAGAGGCCCAAAAATAATAACAATATTGTTTTCACAGTTTCCCAACGTCGTGAGTTTGTAAGCAAATATATTATTGGTACAATAAAGCAACATAATACACGCTTCAGGCTGATTCGAAAGCTCAACAACCCAACGTTTGCAAATATACCCCAATGGGGGTGATTCAAGGGAACGTCTCCACAAATAAACTGCGCTCTAAGATGTCATGGGAACAAGCTTAATGTAAAAGGAGTAGCACTTACTCCGGGAAATACATTTATTTTCGATTAACAGGTCAGAACGTTTAAAAACTTCATATGAGAAAAATAAATCCTTATTTTAAAAAGTATTATTTTTTTTGGCCTTACCAGGCTCTCTTCTCTTTATTCGCCGTGCTAAGTTCCTCAACAATACTCAAATAAAAAATCTAAAACAATTTGCTACCATAGAAAACGAGTTTTGCTCCACAAAGAATGTTGTTTCTGTTTATCCGTCCATTAGAATAATTACACGCCAAGCTAATGGAGTGGTTTGCAAGACTATTGAAGCGAACCGTTAGAAGGTTTGCTCCATGTAACGTTAATTTATGACATTTTCCAGCAAACCCTGGAAGTATCCGGCAGTAAATGTAAATCGTAGCTACCACAATATTCGAGCGATAAGACAAAATAGGTATGATGTGGAAAATGCTTTCGGCAACAAATCATCCTGATGAACGCACAAAAAACACGCGCGTCATTGTTGGATTTTCCTGCCGGACAACGAGTCGGTATTATTTTCATATGCTGAGTGATCTGCTGATAAAAATAACATGGAAAGATTACAGGTTTCGGTAACATTGCGGTTAGGCACTTAGATGAGTCAAACAAAGTGTAGATGTGGCATTTGTGTACACATGTTTATGTGTGCGTACGTACTCATCCTAGACATAGTAGATGGGAGCTCTGATGGGGAGTACGTATTGCTTTTGTATACTTCTGGAAGCCATAAAAGTGGAGCCAAGCTAACTTTTAGTCTAATAGATTTTTAATTGATTTCCATTGTCGTCATTGTCCAGAATAGCAGTGAGAGATTTGTATGTATGTATGCCCTGTTAATACGTAATCATCTCACCATACGGACAACAGAAATCAATGCTTGTATGGGTGCACTTCTCCAACTCTTCGAGACCAATAAAAAACGCCTAAGATGTGCACCAATTTAATATAAGTTTGTAGAGAACTGTATGTAAGAATTAGCTAATTTAAACAAGAATAAATACGTTTTGTCATTGCTCTGTTCCCGAAAATGAAAGCTTTTACTACGATTCCTCCTTTATGAGAAATTGCAAAAATAGTAGATTCTTGCAACATAGCTCATATGTCCAATAGTGACAGTCAGCATTGAGGTATTGGAATCGTTTCCCGAAAATACGTTCTTCTTTATACATTATTTAGTTTGAAAGACAAACTGAATTCTTCCTACGAGATCAAAGGGTCCTTTTACTTGACATTTGCTGCTCTGCTTCAGAACCTGCCAGAATCTAATGTTCCTTTATGACCTCAAAAAAAAAAAAGCGAAACTAATAGAATCAATACTTGGTTTTGTCTTCAAATTTTGGGAGAGTTTTTTTTTTTTTTTGCGGAAAATACCACAATGAGTGGGTCATATAACGTACACCCGCTGTGTAAAGTTAAGAATCCCCTCCAGAGTAAAGGTGCGTACCATTGCCTTTAAAAGCTTTGAAAACGGATTCACCCAAAAAACCTACTTCTCGGTACGGTATAATTAGGAGTTGTTATCGCAGATTGGAGGTATTATATTCGCCTGCTTGCACATATCAATGTATGTATGTATACACTTCAACATTATCCTTATTTTAGGGAGGAATAGGACAAATAAAAAGCCAACAATAGGTATGTTCTCAATTACGATTAGGAGTAGTACATTATCAATCATCGAAGATATTCCCAAGATCTATTGCTTCTAGGTAGGTATTAGGTGAATAATTAATTGGCGAATTGTCAAAAGGTTGACTGCATTTGCCATGCATTTGTCGACTATATCAAATTTCACAACAAAACTAAAAATGCAACTTTAACCTTGTGGCCAGGCTAAAAAGAGTAAACCCGCTTCGATGGAATGCCTTCACGGGCTCACGACAGAACAACGCAGAGCGCAGAGTATAGAAGTCGGAATCAACAGACCATAAATGAGTTTGCACTCTGCAAATGAGACACACGAAGGCGCCTAAACCGAAATAGTTTCCAGAGAGCTGCTATATTTCCAGTTGCACGGGAGCACGTGCGCAACAAATTGAAACGTTCTTCAAGTGGCAATGGGCGCATTAGCTATTATGTGGGTACTAGAATTGCAATTGAGCAGCAAGAATAGTAAGCAGTTCAAAAAAAACTGTTAACGCGCTCTTGACACCGAGAAAGAACTTGGCGCTCTTTGTACACTGAAATGTCTGCCTTCTCTCTGCAGCGGAAGGGGATGGCAAAACAAACGCTCCACAAAGTTAAGCTGTTTAAAGCTTTAAATAAGGTTTTCCAAGTGGAGTGCAGACACCGTGAAAAGCAACAGTTGTGAGAGTAAGGGAAATAACGGTCACAGCCAAACGTCACGAGAGCACCAATTCTCAAGGTGAAGCTTTAAAGCTCATAACAGCCAGCTGTTGGCAGCGAAATACTGTAACTTGAAAACTTCTAAAATCAATTCGAAATTGTTGTACACCATCGGCACAACAGCACCTGCACCTAGTCGGCTTTAACGTCAGTTGGTGAATACTCATCGATGTGAAAACACGAAGTGCCCGCAGCAAAACGCAAACCCGTCTTAAAACGTCCAAGTGCTGAGTTGTTTGTCGGTCGGAAAAAAACACAAATTAAACCAAAACAAAATCCAATTGATAAACATCAAAATAGTCTTTATCTGCCCCACTTGCTAGAAGTGCCGTCGCTCCCTCACTATTGTGCGACCGACCTGTTGCTATTGGCTATTGAGTGTTAAAGACTAAAGGCAAATAAATAAATCCAAACAAACAAACGAACACGACATCACTTAAAAGTCCAAGTGATTAAACTTAGGCATTTTATTTGCAAATCATTAGTTGGAATTCTGTATTCCTTTCGACGTACGCACACACACAGCCACACACATAAGTATACACATATAAGTTGCTACTAAAGTCATGAGCTTTACACGGCAATTGTCAGAAATGTCGGCCAGTGAGTTGAACGAAGCCATTGACGACTCCAATTTCCCCCAAGCGCATATCCTATCACGTGGACGGAACAATAGCATCTGTTCAACAGGCTCGGCCTCTGGCAACTCTTCTCTATTGGATCGGAATTTATCACAAACGGATGATGCGTCGGCGGGAAGTGTTGCTGGCAATGTTGCAAACGAGGCACAAAGTGATGGCGCCGTAAGCAAGGCCATTACCAACCGTCCAAAACTGGTAATAAAAGCTAACGGTACAATACCAGAAAATGACTCCATTCGAACGCCGATGACTCCAAGGACATCAACCACTCCAGGTATTACCTTGCATTTTTTTTTAATTTGTAGAACAGGGTTTTCTATTGAAGATAATTGCTTCTTTCCAAAAGTTTTCCTTCCGATCAATGACCTCCGTTTCCGAGAGCAAGCCAGAGGGGTCTAGCTCTCTTCACACAATTTTGTTTTGGTTGTTTTATAAATCAACGACGACAATTATTACCTCATAAATTTGAAAACAGAAGTTATCGCAAAGCAAACCGATTCTTAGGGTAACTCAAATGACCGCAAATAACCAAAGACAGATTCGAATGAAATCTGAATTATCATTGATGGCCACACAAACAGAGCTGTGCATACGTATGTGTACACGCTGAGGACCGAAATTTAGACGAGACTGGCCAAACTAAGCAAATTAGTGTTTTTCAATTAAATTAAAGACAAGAGGAAATATTATTGATTATGAATACAGGTATATTTGAAGCTAGGATATTACAATTCATTGAGGGTGGGAGGTTAAGAAATGCATATTTTCGATGGTGGATGTTCCTTTGTACACAAGATATAGATATAAATTAGATGCCTCGGATGCAAGCGATATCGTTATTGGTCATTGTTGAATTCTGATAAGCGTCAGATTCCTATGACATCCAAAATTTGATAACTATTTTGTTTTTCTTTATTCTTTCAGGACATGAAAATTGCACATTCCACCACGACTTGGAACTGGACCATAAGCCTCCAACTAGAGAGGCGCTCTTGCCTGATATGGCAAGATCATATCGTTTACTTCTGGGCGGATTAGGCGAAAATCCAGATCGCCAAGGTCTGATAAAAACTCCAGAACGCGCCGCAAAGGCCATGCTATTCTTCACCAAAGGCTACGATCAAAGTTTGGAAGGTAAAATAAATGCTAAGCTATTTTTAGTCTTCTTCAACGAAATCATTGGGATAAGCGTATTGCTTTCTCTTTCATTGCACATAATTGTAGAACAAGAAATGACGAGCAGAACAAACTATCGCTGTTGGTATACACATGTGTGTATGTGTGTGCACATTTTACTAACTGGTTCTTCGCACTTCATGCCCAATCATTAGGTCTCGATAAACGTCATTGTAATTAGCCAACTGGATTTCGACAAAACTGAAAAAGATCCCCTCAGTCAACTGGCGTTTCAAGTGAATCACTTTTGCACATGCGTTGAGAATTGTATCAACTGGATTTTCCGGACGTAAAACCCCCTTTGCGTTTCTTAAAAGGGTATAATCGTTCGCAAGAAATCGCCAAGTGAAATCCCCAGCATCCACACCTGTTTCTGTTTATTTGCTTGACGAGCTGACTGTTGTCTGGTTTTCAGGTTGAGATTGAGATTTTTAAAATGTTAATTATGCCTGTATTAAGCTGGCGGTTTCCGTGGACCGTTCTAAATTTGTTTATGTATTTTAAATTAAGTTGTTTATTATGTATTTGGAACTGGCATGTTATATACATATACAATGACATATAAGAAAAGTATACAGGTATATATTAGGATGACTAGGCTTTTTTATGTAAGTGTGTCAAGAAGTTAACGGAATTTTTAGCAATATTTTTTACAATTTTGTCGATTATAAATTTGTGATCGCAAAAACACACAATACACAATTACACACTACATAGACATTATTTTATGAATGTTGGTATGCCAGTGTATATATAAACACCGCACTGTAGATGAATATCAGCTCTTCGTCGGTAATAATTTATTTTTGGTATTGACCGCTCAAACATTTGCTGTTTTAACCGGCAACAAGTTGAAATAAAAAAACGAGCTTTTCCCCTTCAGTGTTAATGGCAGGCACTCACCCGTAAAACGTTCACACATTTAGATTCATTGCTTGCGTTTTCAATTCCATCCACCAGCAATGAGTGTTGATAGCTAACATTTCCCTTTGCCAGTCATAAATCTCTGCACAACCCAAAGGATGTTTTGTGATGCTTACAAGGAATGAAGGGTCACATTCATGAACCACACTCTCAGATGTATAACAATGTGTAGCTGCGAATGGGGTTGGGTTGGTAACTTTAAGCGTTTCCCCTGCTTGACAACTGAAGACGTCGCATTATGAATGAAAGCCAAATCTAAGCATCGTATTATTTCGTATACATTAAATTTCTAGGAATATTTGTGTGTATACATGCATACATAAATACATACATAAGAGACTTGAAGATGCAGAACATATTGTTATTTTAATACACTACGCCACATTGTGGTACAGGGTGTTCGGGTCTTCCGTCTTTTTGCATTTCTTTGTAACATGTAAAGAGAAAACGAGATGGGCCTATAGTTCGTTTTTCTAATCTCCATTGAATCAAATTCTGAGTCGATTCATGCATGTCCGTATTTTTGTAAGCACAGTTCAGTTTGCATTTATTGTACGATAGGATGAAATGTTTAACAGATAATTTGTTTGGCCCCATTACGAAATCTTGTTAGTAGCTTGGTAGGACACATCATTGATAAATATTTAATTATTTTAGAGAATCATAACATCTTAGCTGCATTCTCTTAGCATAGATTAAAATGATCAGAACTTGTTCTTACAAATTGCGTTGTCAAAAACAATCATCGAGTTTTGTTTTTAGACGGAGCCAGATAACCTCAATTTATGTACTCGATCTTCAACTTTAATCAGATACTCGATTAGGAGCCGTGGTATTAAGGGAATTTTTGTCACTATGCTGCAGCAATATGTCACAATTTGCAGAATTGAACACCTGCTAAGATATGAAATAAATGAATGTAAATTACTTTCATTTATTTATTGCAGAACGTATGTTTTCCGAACATATGAAATGATATATTTGTGTTGCCGTGAAAACCGGTCTTCCGATTGATGTTTGTGTAATTGGGAACTGTAACAAGTTTTTCTGTGCATAAAATTATCTAAAATGTATAAATATACAAAGCTATGTACCTGCATACATGCCAAGACTAGGTGCTAGGTAATTAATAGATGCATTAATGATGAATAATAATTAATTTAATACACATTTCATAAAGTTTCTTTAACTTTTTTGAGTCAGGACATGGACATGCACTCTAACATTAAAAAATTCAACATTTTATGTGGGTTAACCAAATGTTGAAGATTCTCGCTCGTAAGGCATAGAGATGTTGAAGTTGTTGCTCGTTTTAATTTAAATTTCAAACCACAATAACATGTTTTGACGTTTCCGTTTTTTGGGAAATTTTGAAAATTCACTCTCTCGGTAGTTTTGCATTAAAAATTTAGGGAAGGCAGCAAATGTGGACTAAAGAAATTTATTGAACATGCTTATTTTTCCATTAACTTTTAGATGTATTGAACGGTGCGGTATTTGACGAAGACCACGATGAAATGGTAGTTGTAAAAGATATTGAAATGTTCTCCATGTGTGAACACCATTTGGTACCTTTTTATGGAAAAGTATCGATTGGATATTTGCCGTGTAATAAAATCTTGGGCTTAAGCAAATTAGCCAGGTACGTATCAAATATGTCATCCGTTCAAGTAGACAGGCTTCAATAAATATTTCTAATTAGAATTGTGGAAATATTCTCTCGCCGGTTGCAAGTCCAAGAAAGGCTCACTAAACAAATTGCCGTTGCCGTTACACAGGCCGTTCAGCCAGCAGGTGTCGCAGTCGTCGTTGAAGGAGTGTAAGTATATTATGAAATTAGTAGAAAATAAATTGATAACTCTGCTCCATACAGATAATCTAATATGTGATCTGTTTGACCACATTTTACACCAACTAAACTCTATAGGGCTTTCATAAAGTTACCAACCCATCTTGAATATAAACACATAAATATGTTAACATACATCAATTTGAAGTGCCATATAATAAATATAATTTTTTTTCTTTCAGACATATGTGCATGGTGATGCGCGGTGTGCAGAAAATAAATAGCAAAACGGTTACCTCTACAATGCTGGGCGTATTCCGCGACGATCCAAAAACAAGAGAAGAATTCTTAAATTTAGTCAATAGCAAATAAACCATGAACAACATTCACACAAATATTTTCCAAAGGAAAACTACCAGCTTCCTCTTCAGTCGATGGCCTATTATCGTTATCAAGGAAGTGTAATAAAAAATGTGTTCCACAACTAATCCAGTACTTAAATGGCAAATGTAGCTTCGCACGAAGAAGGAAACATCCCCCCCCCCCATTTGTTATAACTAATATTGTCGTTTTAAAACAAACAAATGGTTACCGTACAAATGTATTGATAATCCAGCTCTATTCATACAATACTACTCGAAACAAACAAAAACCATACAACAATCTACCAACTATTTGCAAATGTACATCAAATCGTCATAAGCATATTACCTTTATTAAATTAAATTATTAGGAGATAATCGAAATATTTTTGGAAAAACATACATATATACGTCATTGTTACCGTGATGGAAGCGGTCGTTATTTAGGGTACTGATACCTACTGGGTCCAATAACTAGTTGTAAGTTGCAGAAACGGAAATATTTGTTAGTTTTTATTTATCCGAACACTTGAACGAATTTATTTTTTACTTTTTGTATTTGGTGCCTGGGTAGATTAAAAGAGTAATTGTTTTGTATCTTTGTTATTGTTTATATTTTCAATACGAATTGTAGAAAATAAAAACAAATCTCATTTCCTTTTTTTGTAACCAAGTATAAATATAAATTTAATAAAATAAGAAGGAGCTAAAAGTTTCTACATCAAACCAAGTGTCAAACTATGAAAACGTTTTAGGGAATTTATGAAAATAACAAAAAAGTATAATCAAAAAGTTTACAATTTTTAAGAGCAAAACTGTTTTGTAACTGCGAACAGATGAGCTAAAAAATATTTCTTTTATGTATCATATATTATTAATATATACCTATATGTGTATTACAATAAAGATGTTGTTGAAAATGTAACGATTTGTTTTCACTTTACACAAATGGAAGGTAGGAATAAATTTTAGATATTTGGTCTGTTTGGTTACTTTTCGTGAAAGAATTGTGCAGCAACATCACTTTGTGGGAATAAGGTAGTTTTTATACCCTCCACCTTGAAAAGGAGGGTATATTAACTTTGTCATTCCGTTTGTAACATCCCTAAATATTTGTCCTAGACCCCTGAAGTATATATATTCATAATCAGCATAAAAGTCTAAGTAAAATTGACGATGTCAGTCTGTCTGTCTGTTGCAATCACGATACAGCGCACATTAGTTGTGTTCCAGTACTTTTTTAGTAGTAAAACTAGCAGAAGAGAGAACAGTTCGAAATGTCATTCTCATTTAGGTTTGCTCAAAAAATAAGGGAACGGAAAATTAGCAGAAATGCGATAAAGTGTCAAAATTCAAAATTCCAAAAGTAAACAGCCTAAATCGGACTGGTGAAACCTTACTGAAAAGAGCGCCAACATTTAAAAAATGAGTATTGAAGACGATAAGTTAAAATTAATAATTTATAATAATAATTAATAATCTGATTTCTCATTCAGCCAGTCCTCTTCACTGCTGGAATCATCCAAAAGTGAATACATCAGTTGCTCCATATTTTTTCTTTTTGCACCACAAATATTAGTTTTTCCTTTAGTTTTCAAGTTGATCATTTTCTTTATTGAAATGTATCAATACATTTTCAACCTTGTTAGCCCTGCCAATTAAATGTCAAATTTACAACATGCACATTTCTGCTCGGCCAAATTCATGTAGCTAAAACAAGCAGAAATGTGCACCACTCAGCGCCATTTTTTTCTCGAGAGAGCTGCAAGTTTTGCTAGTTTTTGGAGTACGGGAACGCGTTGTAGCAGAATTAGTGCTAATTAGTACTAATTTGCAGGTTCTGGAACACAACTATTATTTGACGTTTAGCAGAACAACTTGCATTGTATCTAGGATGGTTGGTATTGAAAATGCGATATATCGGTCCACGATTTGATGTAGCGCCCATACAAAATTTCCTCCCGATATTCGGTATTTTGATGGTTTTTGACTAATTTTTTCACGAATGTGTCTAAGAATTGGTTTTTGGTGGTCATAATGGGTTCTAGCTCCGGTAGCGAAACGTTGTGTGTACATGTCCACGTTTTGATATAACTCCCAAATAACGGTAACTCCCAATATTCGGTATTTTGATGATTTTCGCCATATATCTTCACAGATTTGGCTAAAAATTGGTTTTTGGTGGTCATAATGGGTTCTAGCTCCGGTAGCGAAACGTTGTGTGTATATGTCCACGTTTTGGTATAACTCCCAAATAACGGTACCTCCCAATATTCGGTATTTTGATGATTTTCGTCACATTTCTTCGCGGATTTGCCTAAAAATTGGTATTTGTGGGTCCTAATGGGTTCTAGCTCCTGTATAGGTCCACGTTTTTTGTATACCCGATACCCGTATCCCGATATTCGGTATTTTGTGATTTTTGACACATTTTCCCATGAATATGTCTAAAAATTGGTTTTTGTTCTAATGTTCTAATGTTTCCTTTACCCTAAAGCGGAGGCTATTAAAAGTTCGACCCGGCTGAACTTAATGTTTTTTACGTGTTATTTATAAAACTTTAAAAATTTGTGTTGCTTCCTTTCTTTCAGCTCTTTTAATGGGGGACAAATTGGTTTGTTTAGACAAATCAGCTGATTAGTTGCCAACTTCTGCAGGAATACCGTCTGTTTACTTTTTGCATTTTCCTTGCAAAAGAAAATAAAACTTCCTTACTCTCTCAGAAAGATGTTGCTGGACAATTCCTGCAGGAAAAGTAACCAGACACCCCTATTGTGAATGAACTCTTATTTTTAACATCAATTGTCTCCATTACAGCTTTTTTGTCAAATTATTGCTATATTAAGTTTCTATTATTGTACTATGAAAACGAATTGCATAGAACAAGTTATCTTGAATCAGAGTTCTATTTTATTCCTTCATTGATACGTGGCCGTTTGTTTTTTTTACGGTCTAGCATTTTTCAAAGACAGTTGGTATTTTCCAGAACTGCAAGAATGTTAAAGTTTTTACCACGATAACCGATCTTCCCTTTACAATATCGAAGAAAATTGTAAAACTAGTAGGTTCTTGTAGGTACTGGAACAGAGCAAGTAAAGCTTATAATTGTAGAAATTAAAACAAATATTTAAGAAATTAAACCAACCATATATTAGAACTCTCAAGCTGGCCTTTTTCTATGCAGTTTAATATTACAAGGTAAATTACAGGAAATGAAGAACTGGATACTCTTTTTGATGACCATTGGGTTTATTAGGTCCGGTGGGTTAATCTAGCGTGTTCAAATAAGCGCCGCTGCTGATGATTGTTTACGTATGTATACACAACCAAAAGAGAATTCAAAAAAATACCGAAAAATATTGTATCAAAAAATCTGATATAGAGATAATTGATGTTGGAAAACAAATGTTTGCTCACACTGCTGACATTTTGCAAGAAAAATAATGCATATTTCAAAATTTTAAGTTTTTTGTTATTTTTCGAATGGAAAGCAACGTCTTTGTGGAAACGTTAGTTACTTTGGAGTGTACCATGGTAGAAGAATGTATGTAGATGCATTAACGCTTGGGAGCATTAATATGTCAAAAATTTAAAGTGTTTTTTCAACAATAAGTAAAACTTTATATGTTTTCTTATACGACGCAGGTTGTAATGATATGTATTTTTCAACAATTTTTACAAATTTCAATAATTTTTCATTCAAGATTTTCAAATCAAAAATCGGTTTGACAGTTAATTGTCCCAGCAGCTGTGCCGATGCGACTACCTGTATTCTTCTAGCATGGAGTGTACGCAATACTAATCCGTCCTATAAATTGATAGTTGCGCCCATGGTAGAAGAATATAGGTAGACGCGTCGACACAGCTGCTGGGACAATGAACTGTCAAACCAATTTTGGAATTGAAAATGTTAAATGAAAAATTATTTAAATTTGCAAAATTTTTGAAAAAAAACGCGAATTATAATAACCTCCTTTTGACTTAGAATAAGAAAACATATAAAAATCTACTTATATTTAAAAAACATTTCAATTTTTTGACATATCAATGCTCCCAAGCGTTGATGCATCTACCTGTATTCTTCTGCCATGGTTGCGCCCATTCATGATAGAACAATACAGGTAGATGCATCAACGATTGGAAACATTGATATGTCAAAAAATGTTAAATGTTTTTTTCAAATATAAGTAGATTTGTATATGTTTTCTTATTCGACGTCATTCGGAGGTTATTATAATACGCATTTTTCAATTTTTCAATTCCAAAATTGGTTTGACAGTTCGTTGTCCCAGCAGCTGTGTCGATGCGTCAACCTATATTCTTCTACCATGCGCCCATTTAATTATTGCACTATTCATAATAACTAAATCTTTATTTATTTATTTATATATATATTTATTTATTAGATACTTTTAATGTAAATAATATTGCGCAATAACAAGGTGTTTCTGCAAATTTTAAAAACTCGATGTAATGTCAAAATTTGTTTACACTTTTTGACTATTGTTTATCTTTTGTTCTATGATTTCAATCACAATAATGCATTTTGACATAACATTTGGTAGTCAGTTGGATTGGAGGTTATACTTGGGTCATGGTAAATAATAAAATAATTAAAGTCGAAAATTATTTTTTTTTTTATTAAAAAATACTCCATTTGGTATTTCTTAACGTTTTCAAAATGTTCAGTTAATGTTTTTACGTGTCAATTGTGTCGTTGATTTCATTTTCACACCACATTCGTAAAAAGTTCTCATCTCTGTTTCGTACCATAAAATCATCCCTGTAAATTACGATGAAGTTGGCCGCAGCTATTGCTACATAACAAAAAAGCAGACGCGCTTGGCAAGTTTCGTTTTTTCGAGTTGTTAATGTTGGCGAAAAACAAATTGGTTTTGTGCGCAAATAAATAAAGACTGCAATTCTGTGGTGCAAACAATATCATTCCCGGCAATTTGGCGCGTTTTGTGAGTCAGTGTTTTTGTTTGGTTGTTCGCTTCAGTAATCTCCCAAAGCGTTGCACATTTCCCTTGCATTGAAAGAAAACCAATACACACAAGAAATTTTGGAAATTAATGCGTCCATCATGGATTTAGCAAACTTGGACAAGATGAAGGTGGTCGATTTGCGAAATGAATTGCAATCGCGTGGCCTGGATACCAAAGGAGTTAAAGCGGTATTAGTGGAGCGTCTACGGGCCCATTTGGAAGGCGGTAAGAAAGAAACATAGTCGTCAAACAAGCGCTTGCATGGAACATGTCTCCAATGACATGGTGTATTTCTACATTCTGGTAGAAGTGGTTGCCACATGGCTGGGCGGGTTATTTTGCGATTGGATCTATATTGATAGAGTTGCCAAGGAGCAAAAATTACAATTTAAGTTCGCGCATCTGAAATTAAAGACATGTGTTTTGTATAAAAAAATATGTTTTTTATATATTAGGGACCTACCTAATTGTAGCGTTGTGTGCAAATGAACGAGCAATAAATAATGAATTATTTCCTAGAAATGTCCAGGAAATCATTTTTAAGCGACGACCCGAAAATTCGGAACTTATTCTGCCGAAATAAGTAGCATAGGTATCATTATAGAACATAAAATTTCCTACCGAACAACCGACCATATGATCGAATTTCAGACGCGGTGAGAAACTATTATGGAGATCACAGAATATGTGATATTAAACCTATTCTTTCTCGACTATCTATTGTCATTGATTTGGCTGGGTGAGAGTCTGTTACTACTACTATTACATATTTTGTGAGCAAGACTGCTTTAATGATACACTATCCTAATTCCAGTTATAGTCTTAGAACCCGTAAGACTTAATTCTGTTTAAGTCGTTGACACACAATTTTATGGAAACCATGTCAATTTAATCTTTAAAGCCATATACAATAATGAAAGCTAAGTTTACTTGCCTTCTTATTCGAATAAAATCCGAAACATATATTTGGGGATATTATATATTCTGCAATAATTTAAGAACAACTTGTACATTTGAAATTTGTTTCAACAAGAAATACAATTTGAAAATATTGTTCTTTTACTTTATTTATTCCACATATATGTGTTTTTAGATGTTCCTCCTTCTCCTGGTACGCCTGGACGTCGTAGTCGCCGCACGAGATCAATGACTAGATCTCCGTCCCCTTCACCAGTTAAGAAAAATGCAGATGTTCTTGAGACCGTAGAGGAAGAGGTTCCCGTCGCTGAAGAGGCGAAAGAAAAGCCGGACACACCGCCGGAGAAAGATATCGACAGTCGGGAAGAAATAACTCCTGAAAAAGAAGATGCTGAAACGCACGATGCAGAGGACGAGGCGTTACATGAAAAATCAGTCGAAGAACCTGAAGATAAAACAACAAATGGATCGAATGATTCTGAAACAAAGAGGTCAGTAGATGAAATAAGGACCGAAAAGGAAAAGGAAAACGATGAAGTCGACCAGGAACAGCAAAAGGTTGGAAACAAAAATGAAGACCCTCCTCAAGAAAAAGACCAGATGGAAACAGATGAACATGCACCTGTTTCTAAGAATGAAGATCACGAAAAGGATAGGAAAGAAAGGTCCCCCTCAAGAGATAAAGATTCCCGTTATTCAAGATCTCGTTCACGATCTAAGACTCGATCTCCTACACGATCCCGTTCACCAAAGTCTCGTAGTGTTGGCGGTCCTAATAGTCCAAAAACAACTGAAGACACATCAACTCCAGAAGACGAGCCCACAATTGAGGACAAGCAATTTGGTTTAAGCTGGTGTAAGAGATTTTTAAATGAATTTCTGTGTTGTATTGTACCGTCAGTAAGAAAATTTGGCACTAACTAATTTATACTTCTTTTTTTAGACGATTCTGATTTACATCTACGCATTGATCCCGTCACTTTTACATCGGCCAAGCCCATCAATCACGATATATACGCGTTAGTTTGGTCTGGGGCTCGAACAAATTACGGCGTACGAGAAGGTAAAGTCTGTTTCGAAGTTCGCTTATCGGAAGAATCGAACATAGGGCGAGACCATACATTCCGTGACGAGCCTCACACAAAAGGCTTCCGTGTTGGTTTCTCAATGCCTTCATCTAGCCTTCTCCTCGGCGAATCAGAAAACTCGTTTGCTTATTGCGAATCAGGCCGGAAGGCAACAAAGGGAGAGTTTGTCGAATTTGCCCAACCTTACCAACTAGACGATGTCATTGGGTGTTATTTGGATTTGGAGAGCACGCCATGTACCATAAAATATACATTGAACGGTGAAGATTTAGGTGTCGCCTTCGAATTTGACAAGGAAATACTGGGCGATGACAATGCATTGTTCCCACACATTCTAACCAAGGGCTATGAGTATCAAGTCAATTTTGCTGATAACGATAATCTTTTGGTTAATTTGGAACGCAAAGTGCGAAAAAGGCGTAAACCAAAGAAAATCGAAGAGAAGAAAATTGAAAATAAATCCGAGTCCGACAGTCCAAGTAAATGCAAAAAATCGGAAAACGCCGATGAGGAGGACTGGGATAATGAAAAGCCTAGCGGAGGTGAAGAAAAACCAGAAAGCGAAGAAGGAAAAGATAATGGAGATGAAACAGAAGCCAGCAAAGATAATAAAGAAGAGAAATCAGAAGAAAATAAAGACGAGGAAGATAAAGCTCAAGAAGATAAAAAGACGGAAAGTAAAGAAATAGTCCCAGAGGATGTCGAGATGAAAACATCTACAGAATCTGAAGCTAAAGAAGAAGATAAGGATAAAAGTAAGCTGCATACCAAGCTATTTTTTCTTCAACTTAGTATTGTATGTAATTGTAACAATTTGACAAATTTTAGGCGAAACATCTACTGAAGACACGAAGAAGGAGAACACGGAACAGGCGAAAGTCGACAACAGTAACAAAGAAGATGATAGCGGTCCTTCGCCATCCAAACGCAAGAAATTGGACGTAGCCGAAGAAGAAGATGAATACGAAGAGGTTCACCCCATACCCCGCGAAACTATGACACTCCTCGATGGTTATGAACTGATTGCTCTGATTCCAGAAGAGAAATACATTGCCGGGCCACAAAGACCCGAAAGTCGAAAGGATTGTGAAGTTATTCTGATGGTTGGATTACCAGGTTCCGGTAAAACAACTTGGGTTTTGAAGCACATCGAAGAAAACCCAGAAAAGCGTTATTACGTTATTGGAGCCGATGCTCTGATTTCTAAAATGACGGTGAGTCACGTGCTAATGTGTAGTGTCAAAACGATCTTCATTTATACCAATACTATCGTATCCGTAGGTGGACGGAGAGTCTCGCAAAACTGTACATAAAGGCCGCTTCGACCGCATTTATGAACTTTGTTTCAATGTATTAACGTCATTGGAGGACATCGCCATAAAACGTCGACGAAACTTCATCCTCGACCAGGTAAAAATCCATTATAAATTAAATGTGCACGGGCTTAACATATTTTAAGATCTAACAAATTCAGTACATAACTATAGTTATGGTCACTTAACAACCTTGTTATCCCAACAGTCGTTTAGAAATGACTGCATCGCTCGTAGGTAAGTCCTAGTATTAAGTTGTCTACCCACAAATATGTAAGTATAAATGAATTCATGCGCATCGACGGACACAACGGAAAGTGTGAAATAATCCTACAAGTTTGATACGACAAATTATTTGGATCGGGCGGCAAATTAGCCAACTTGTAAGTAAAGCATTAAACTGTAATGTGACTCTCCTTGGAAGGAAGCAAATTGTTTGCAACCAAATTATTAAGCGCCTGCCCTACTTCATAGGTATGTGTAGACTAAGTTTTAGAATTAAGATATGGAAAGAGAGGGGGTGACCGATATTGTTGGAAGACATGGCAAACTTTAACGAATGATATCCAACACGAACTTAATTATTTGAAACAAAAATGTATGCCCTGCACATAACTTATCACGCAACGTAATCCATAACGTTGCCTTTACTTCTTTTTTATTAAAAACAAAAATGATACAACAACAACAACAAAACAACTACTAAACACGTACAAATGATCAATATTTATATCCCCTCCGGAAATGAAAAAAGGGGAATGCATATGCCTCTGTTCAGCGACGTAAAATGAAAGGCTTTGGAGATTTTAAACGTAAAGCTGTTGTTTGCATTCCCAATGAAGATGAATTGAAACGTCGTCAGGAGGAAAAGAAGGAAAAAGGACATACATACACATTGAGAGAATCGACTCTGCACAGTTTCCAAGGTAAATATATTGATGTTGATATTTCAACGACCATAACTTACACCTATCCCTATTTAAATAATTTACATTTCAAACATTAATTGTAATATTGTTGAGATACGTTTTCCATCGTCTGATGACAAAAAAAGTATTAAATAAATAGTAAAGTAGGTAAAAAAATTAATTGAAGTTACGCATATTAAAAAAAAAAATAGAAACACTCAAAAAGCGTCGTCTACATCCCCGTTGAAAACAAATTTGGGTCACTCATGCACTTATTCCATTCGTTTTTTGTTTGCAAACTTCAAAAAATGAAAATAAACCGATTTCAAAGATGAATTTTCATTGAAATAGGATATTCTACCCATGGCTTAATAAGAAAGGTTGTTCAACTTCAAATAAAATAGAAAATGCAGCTCTGTGCTGGGGTCTTATAGTGTCAAATAGAATTTTAAATATGCAACAGTTGGTTCTGTTTATTTATCATTATGTGTTTGATTTATCTTTCATTTTGTTAACTCAATTCTTATATTGGGGAAAACCCACGAAACAAGAATGGAATTTTGAGGCTATTTCACAAGATTGAATCTAAAATAGTAGACAATTCAGTTTTAGTCGAATATATGCATTTATTTTGCAACCGAATTTGAAATAATTTCAAATTATTGTATTTTTTATTCAAAACAATACACACACATACACAAAACGTGTATATGTTTTGACAGAAGAAGAGGGCACCAAAAGAAAAAAATGTATTTAGGGGGTAGCTTTGTTCTACCTTCTGTAATTGTGCCAGTCTAAATATCCACATTTAAATAGTATGCACTAGCATTGTTTGGTTGGGTAATTTTAGTCAAATATTTTGTAACGGTTTGAGGGTTTTTATACCACCCATTTCTTCAACAGATTTTTTAAAACCACATTTCGGATGAGAAATACAGGATTTAAATTAGTATATTCCTTGCGGGATTAGTAACGGTAGATATGACATGCATAAAAATATATTTTTTCAAATTGGTTTTTAAAAATCAACATCATAAAATTGCACTTGCGATTTCGTTCTAAACAATTTCAAATTCAACAATTTAGTTAATTTTTTAGAAACTATGTTTGTAACGCCACATACATTTATATCCCTTTTAAATTTCAGCTAACTTCACATTACCCTCCTTGGAGTTTGGTTGGTTCGACGATATTATATTCACCGACTTGAGTGGCGACGAAGCCAAAGAAGAAGTAAAGAAATACAACGAGAAGGGCAAGAAAGCTTCCAACAGAGATAAACGACAGCGTCGAGATAATTACGGAAATGACAACCGTCGACGCTACGATGATCGTCGTCGCTACGATAACCGCAATGAGAATCGCTGGAATGACCGACGTGCTGGTGGCGGAGGTGGAGGAAGCGGTGGCTATGGTAATAGAGGATACAATGGCGGAAATAGGGGATATGGAGGCGGGGGTGGCAGTGGCGGTGGTTACCGCGACGATAGAGGTTATGGAGCTGGAGGAGGAAATCGTGGCTACGACCAACGTCGCTACAGTGCTGGCCCACAGAATTGGGTGCAAAACAACAGAAATCGCTACGACGACCGCAATTCCAATCGATACAGCACCGGGGGCAGTGGAAACCGCTATGATTCATATGGAGGTACTGGGTCCCGCGATTATCGTAGTAGTGGCGAAAATCGAGACTACAGAGATAGGAATCGAGGTGCTGGGGGAGGTAGTGGTGGACGTCGAGATGGACACCGCTCGGGAGGTAGTAGTAATAATCAGCGGGATTTTCGGCATGGCCACCGCGGCGAAGATAGTCGCGGTGGCTCAGGCAAAGCCGCACCTACTTCATCTAATTACAAGACCAGTGCGGCAGGGGGAGGATCTACTTCATCTTACGAAAAGTACAACAAAAATAATGTGAGTGGAGTTACTGAATCGAGGAATATTTAGAATTCCGTTTCGAATCATCTTTTATATTTCATTTAGTCACAAGCTCCAGCAAAATACAACACACAGCAGCAGCACCAAACCCAGGCCCAGAACTGGCAACAATATAATCAACAACAAACCAGTGCAGTTGGACAACAACAGCAGCAGCAATATTGGAATTACGATATGCAAGGTAATTTTATAGCGTGCCCACCCACTAGTCTTGTACCGCAATATTTAAATCAAATTTCAAATTGTGTTCGTTACACCAACAGGTTACACCAACAACCAGCAGTGGCAATCAATGGACCCTCAGCAGCAACAGCAGTGGATGTCCTGGTGGCAGGTAAATTAGTTCGAATTACGAATGGAAACATTTGATTAAATTTTTACATCTAATTTTCTAGCAACAAGGTGGCTCGGGGAACAATGCAACTTCCGATCCCAATCAGTACTGGTCTCAATACTGTTACACAACCCCAGAAGCTGCAACTAATCCAAGTAACAAATAATGGCGCAAACAGCAGGATTCTTTGTTAATTAAAACAACACAAGTACAATATTTCTATCAAAATAAAATTTCCCAAATCAATAGCACCGGAGAAAAATCGGCATATTCGTATGAAGTCTAGAGTATATTATTTTAGTCGTATAAAAGCTATTCGTTCTTTCACTATGTTAAGCAAACTTTTTTTATTCCTCAGCGTTTTGTTTTTGATTCTTTTTTAGAAATTCTGTTATAGAAATTTGTTTTTTTTTTTTTTTTTTTTTTTTTTCAAAAAGAATATTTTCCCTTTATTAGACTTTTGTGTTTATACAACCTATATGTTGTCTATCTTGAGCAACTTGAATAAAATAGTAATAAAAGATTTTTACCTTTTTCAATTTTATCAGCGTTATCTAAAATTCGGTGTTTTTCAGCACAAAAGTTAAACCCATGTATTTTTCAGTGAATGTGTTACCGAAATTCGTCGAACGTACCAAATTTCAAATTAGTTGTAGGCAAAAAAGTACAAAAGAGTAGTAAAGTTCGGAAGAGCGATAACCTCCTCCATTGGGAAAAGAAGTAGGGGCATATGTTGGCTACTTCGGAATATTGTGCAAAAACAATTTTCTACCGTATTTCGTATTGGGTAAATCAATCGAAATGCCAATTAGGCAAGGGAGGCATCAGAAAGAGTTATCAGCATTCCGATAAGACTACAACCTCAAGGAGACGGCTTTACCGATACTTTATGTGCCTTTGGTATATAAGCAACGGATGCTGCGTTCATTCTATCATGGCTTTTAAGGGGTAAACAGAATGAGCACATTGGTATCGATAAATAAACCACAGGGAGGCGTTCAGTATCGATAATCCCGTATCTCACTAATTAGGGTTTTATCGATAATAATTGCAATTTAGTTTCTGTAGCAGTCAATACCATCCGGCTCCGTTGTCTTTTCAGGTCCCAATCGACCATTACGCTCTACACCTCATTCTGAGTCATACAGATTTTCTTTTGTTACTTTTTTTATTGACCTTTATTGTTCTCCCCCTATTCCTATCGTTTGGTATTTGTCGTATAGTTCATTTGGTTTGTAAACAAAGGAAGTAGAATTATTTTTTTATTTTTATAAAATTATTTAGTTTATATAAATATAGCTATCAAATAATTTCCTACCACATCTCCCACATTGATTTAACTGTGTTCCGATATTGTAATTTCCCTTGTTGAGTTGACACATTTACATTATGGCTGATAATTACATGCAGCCCGTTAACAATCATTTTGCGTTTGAGGACGTAGATGATAATGTGTTTTTGAGCAGACGGCGGACGAACAATGGAAACCTAGGTATTAATAGATATTCAATTGTTAACTACGTGTAACTAATTCCATGTTTTTTTTTTAAATAATTTTTAGACCATGTTAATAGCTCCGTGGATAACAGTATTGATCGTAGTCCAAGCTTTGAAGACAAACGTCTGCTGTCCTACCAAGAGAAACGTCGGGAAATTGAGAATAGGAGTTTGGAATCGACTCAAAGATCGTTGGGGTTGCTCTACGATACAGAACAAGTAAGTTTGACAATTACCAAGCAATGTAATTTAACATCAGTCCATCTTGCCCGACCAGTAGCCAGCAGTTACCGCCCATTTTATTAATTATTATTTTATAGATTGGAAATGATACGGCAGTAGAATTGGCAAGACAACGAGACCAACTTGAGAGAACCGACAAAAACTTGGATGATATAAATGCCACGCTGAGATACAGTCAACGTCATTTGAATAGCATAAAAAGTGTTTTTGGCAGCATCAAAAATCACCTGTTCGGAACTAGGGAGACGAATGTGGCGACAAACAATGAAAGGAAGTTGTCGACAAATGTGAATGCTCCCCAAGTGGTAACGGAAAAAGCCAAGCCCGTATCCTCGCCATCCAATGACTATGACCAGCATCCTATTTCACGTTTACGTGACGATATTTCTCATACAAAACAGATGACGTCGAATCGACAAGAAAGGCCCAGCAATCCATTTGAAGTGCAACTGGAAGCAAACCTAAATGAAATGAGTGAAAATTTATCACGACTAAAAGGCTTGGCGACAGACTTGGGTTCGGAGATTGAATACCAGAATGAATTGTTGGATAATATGACATACAAAGTTGAAGATGTTGATATGAAATTATCGCGCCAGAATAAAGACATCTCTAAGCTCCTGGGCAAGAAGTAGATTTTGTGTTCGGACAAGATATTGAAATAGAATAAGTAGTATTAGTAAACAATCGCCGCTTTAATAAAAAGTATTGGAATAATTAATTTATAATCCACTTGCTTTTGTTTTCCAATCGTTTTACCATGTAAGTTCAAGCAACGGTTCCCCAAATATTTGGTGAAAATTCTAAGCGGCGGCCGAAATCCACATATTTAGAAGCATTTCAAAATTTTAAGATAACTTTAATCTTAAAATAAGGTTTGTTCTCATTATCGGTGACCACACATACTCCTAGCATGGGTTGGGACCACCGGAGAACACCCACACTTCCATAATTATGACAAGTGTCTTTTTGTACTTATTTAGTACTTTTCATGGGTTAAAACACCAATAGAGTAACCATGGTACAATGAAGAGAAGGTAGGCCAACTTTGAAAAAATTGCACGTATGTTCTATATATCTCTAAAGGATTATTTCGCTACAAAAACTCTAGATTTTGTCAATACATACGATGAAATAAACAGTTTGAAAACACCCGAATCTGAATATTTTCTAAACAATTTTTTTGTTATTGAAAAGAAAACACATACATAAACAAATAAAGATGACATATTAAGCCAAGAAAATAAAAAAATTAAAATCATATGGTATCATAGCCCTACCTATCATTGTACCACGAGAGTAACTCTCTTTAAGTGGTAATAGTAAAAAATGACCAATTGCAACGCTATTCGCGCAATCTGGCACCTCTTAATGGTTTGTGTTACTTGGAATTTTCATTAAGTTTTCGATCTCTAGATACCTTTCTCAGTTGGAATTTGGACTTTCACTACTTTCACAACCTTCATTTAGTTATTTTCTGTTATTAGTTTTTGACTTGTTGCGCTACGATGATCAATACGGGCAAATTGGCTGGGAGGACTCTGTTTATAACTGGAGCCTCGAGAGGAATTGGAAAAGCAATAGCTCTTAAAGCTGCTCGAGATGGAGCAAATATTGTTGTAGCTGCAAAAACAGCTGAACCTCATCCCAAATTACCTGGAACAATTTATAGCGCAGCTGAGGAGATTGAGAAAGCCGGTGGAAAAGCCCATCCATGCATCGTTGATGTCAGAGATGAACACCAGATTCGCCAAGCCATACAAGAGGTAGGGATTGTAATATTTATTTATTAATCCATTTTGTAATTTGAAATAATTAAAAACGATTACAATTTCTTTATTGTTACAGGCCGTAGCCAAGTTTGGAGGCATCGATATTTTGATAAATAATGCCAGTGCCATTTCTTTAACACCCACACTGAATACGGAGATGAAAAGGTATGATCTGATGCACCATATAAACACACGGGGCACATTTTTGACATCGAAGGAGTGTCTTCCTTACCTATTAAAGTCAAATCATGCCCATATCTTAAACATCTCGCCCCCGTTGAACTTAAACCCCAAATGGTTTGCTCCACATGTGGCCTACACAATGGCAAAGTACGGAATGTCGATGTGTGTTTTGGGAATGGCTGAAGAGTTTCGGGATAAGGGCGTTTCAGTTAATGCGCTATGGCCTCGTACGGCTATACATACGGCTGCTATAGAAATGTTAACAGGACCGGACAGTGCACAGTTCTCCCGCAAACCTGAAATCATGTCAGATGCGGCTTATGCAATTTTGATAAAAGAGCCTCGTAATAATGAAACTGGACGCTTCTATATTGATGACGAAGTTCTCCAAGCTAATGGCGTTACCGATCTGAAGCAATATGCCTGTTACCCTGAGAATTCAGAAAAGTTAATGCCTGACTTTTTCCTGGATGATGTTATTCCCGAAGCTGCATCCGATAATACGGCAACGAGCAAAGATGTCGAATCTGGTGACATTCCTAATCTCTTCAATAAAATACAAACTCTGATCTCTTCCGAAATCGTGGGAAAAGTGCAGGCTGTATACGAGTTCAATATTACTGGAGATGAGAAGGGTACTTGGTTCCTAGATTTGAAAAATGGATCGGGATCATGCGGTCGTGGCTCGGCTCCCGTACAACCAGACGCAGTCTTGACCATGAAATCAAAGAATTTCACTGACATGTTCGAGGGAAGACTAAAAGCGGCCCCTGCCTTTATGAGTGGCAAGTTAAAGATCAGTGGAGATCTACAAAAGGCGATGAAATTGGAAAAACTCATGAAATCGTTAAAATCTAGATTATAAGTTAATATTTATCTTTTTATGTAAACATACTTTGTTTCAATGCATTTTGCCTTATATATACATATATACTGAATACATATATAAAGAAATAACATGTTATGACTGTCAATAAATTTATAAACAAAAATACCAATACCCATTCGTTGAATCATAAAATGATCTTTGCCCCGCATTCGATCGCTGGTGTAGAGCATTTCTCACTCACATATCAATGATCTATATTCTACTTGACGTATACTTGCAAGCAATGGAATAAATCACAATCTTCAAATTTTAATCAACATGTTTTGTTTTGTTTGGGTCAAAGTCCAATGTGTACTTCAAAATGTTTCATACGAAAACTACTTGAGTGTAATTGTTCAATGATAAAGTGAACTAAAGAAAAACATCTCTATAAAGCATAATCAACTTAATATATACAACAACAACAAAAAAACTCCAAAAACGTGAAGAGGTTAACACTCAAAGTCCAAAATATTTAATCAAATAATAACAAACATGTAGATGATGACGAATAGCAATGTGTACATGTATATGTGCGAAATTAAATGTGCCCACTGTATCGGATTTTGTTGCTACCAGTTTTTGTTTGTAGCTCGATTTCGATCTATATAAACCTTTTGTGCTTATTTTTATCTGCAATTGTGAATGGGTTATAAAGTGCCGGCGTCTCAACTAGTTCCGCGCTCTTTAGTGAAGATGTTCAATTTTCTCATGTCTCATTCGTAAACAACAGAGTACCCCGAGTATGCTTTCTTTTTATTTTTTATCAGGTATTCCTTTGTGGCCTTCATATTCGTTTCGTTGGGACGTTTTTCATTTTTGTTTCTAACGCTCGCCACGAACTAGTTCCGGGTTCTTTTAGTGAAGATGTTCAATTTTCTCATGTCTCATTCGTAAACAACAGAGTACCCCGAGTCTTTGCTTTCTGTTTATTTTTTATCAGGTATTCCTTTGTGGCCTTCATATTCGTTTCGTTGGGACGTTTCTCATTTTTGTTTCCAACGCTCGCAACGAACAACCAAACCAACGCGCTTGAAGCAGAGACAACAGAGTCAACCTGAACGCGGATACTCTGGATACTGTTTCCAATGGAGGATACTGGAGTTTGCAATTTCCTTAAGGACCCCCTGTCTATTAAGTAAGTACATAGTTGTTGTTGGCTGTATACGGGGTGTAAGCACTTCCCGATATCTAAGACTTGAGGGCTTCGGATGTTTACCTCTGTATAGGGATATCGTGATATCGGTTCAAACGTTAATGATGCACACTTTTCAAGAACGAACGGGATATAACCCTATAGCTGCTGCTGTTACATGCAAACGTCGCTGATTTAAGATTTCTTACAACATTTTAAGCACCTAGGATAAAGCCCGGTTGAGTTTCCGTTTAGCACCTTTCTATCAGATAAATTCGATACAACATATTTGGATAAAAGAGCATATGTATTTCATTTTTATACCCTCCACCATACTATGGAGGGTATATTAACTTTGTCATTCCGTTTGTAACTCCTCGAAATACTCATGTCAGACCCAACAAAGTATATATATTCTTGATCAGCGTAAAATTCTAAGTCCATTTAGCGATGTCCGTCTGTCTGTATGTCTGTTGTAATCACGCTATCTTTCGAATGAATTGAGATAGATGGCTAAAATTTTGCACACATGTTTATTTTTCCAGTAGGCAGGTTAAGTTCGTAAATGGCATGTAGGTCCACGTTTTCATATAGCCCCCATAGAACGGTACCTCCCGATATTTGGTATTTTGATGATTCTAGCGACCATATTCACGGGAATTGTTTCAAATTTGGTATTTGAAGTTCAAAATCGATACTACACCCTAAGACAGAAAATTGTCTGTGCAGGTCCACGTCTTCATATAGCCCTCATATAACGGTACCTCCCTATATTCGGTATTTTGATGATTTTAGCAACATTATTCACGGGAATTGTTTCAAATTTGGTATTTGAAGTTCAAAATAAATACTACACCCTAAGACGGAAAATTGTCTGTGCAGGTCCACGTCTTCGTATAGCCCCATAGAACGGTACCTCCCGATATTTGGTATTTTGATGATTCTAGCGACCATATTCACGGGAATTGTTTCAAATTTGGTATTTGAAGTTCAAAATGGATACTACACCCTAAGGCGGAAAATTGTCATTGCAGGTCCACGTCTTCGTATAGCCCCCATATAACGGTACCTCCAGATACTCGGTATTTTGATGATTTTAGCAACATTATTCACGGGAATTGTTTCAAATTTGGTATTTGAAGTTCAAAATGAATACTACACCCTAAGACGGAAAATTGTCTGTGCAGGTCCACGTCTTCGTATAGCCCCCATAGAACGGTACCTCCCGATATTTGGTATTTTGATGATTCTAGCGACCATATTCACGGGAATTGTTTCAAATTTGGTATTTGAAGTTCAAAATCGATACTACACCCTAAGACAGAAAATTGTCTGTGCAGGTCCACGTCTTCATATAGCCCTCATATAACGGTACCTCCCTATATTCGGTATTTTGATGATTTTAGGTACAATACCCACCGAAATTGTTTGAGATGTGGTATTTGAAGTTCGTAATGGATGCTACAGCCTGTGACAGAAAACTGTCTATGCTGGTCCAGGTCTTCACACAGCTCCAAATTAACGGCACCTCATTATATACGATATTTTGATGATTTTAGCTACATTATTCACCGTTTATTTCAAGTTTTGAATTTGAATGTGGTAAGGGCTTATGACAAACAATGGCTATGTATGTCCACGTCGTATAGACCCCAATTAAATGGCTATATTCGGTATTTTTAAAATTTTAACAGAATTTTTTAAGGATTTTATTTTTTAAAAATTTCCAAATTCGTTGCAAATGGTGGAGGGTATTAAAAGTTCGAACTTACTGCTTTTTAACTTGTTCTTGTTTAGATAGAGCAGTGCTGTTAAATATTTTCGTTTAGCTTATTGTGTTCCGTTCAATTAAAAATCACCTTTAAATATGAGTACAATATAATGGTCCTGAATGGGCCAAAAACCTTATCTTTTGTCTAAAATTGTCATTGTTGTTTTCAGTGATCTAATTACCAGTGGTACAAACTTTGAGATTAATACGAATTTCGATGAAGGTTTCACCAATGATATATATGACGAACTAAATTTAGGATCGGATGATGAACAAGACGATGATTCTAAAAATTGCATTGACCAGTCATTACTGGTTTCGCCCTGGACAAAGTCATTTGATGAGCTTAAACAACACATGCGACAAGTGAACGAAAACATGTGGAAAAAAATTACAAAGGTTGGTGATGAAAGCGAGGGGGTTGTGCCTCCTGTCAATGCCAGGGCATGTATTCGTTATAACGCATACTGGGAAGGGGAAGGCACACCTTTCGACTCCACATTTTTAAGAGGCTCCTCCTACAGCTTTTATACTGGACGTAACGAGGTTCTGCAAGGTTTGGAGGACGCAGTCTGTACAATGCACAAAGGAGAAAATGCCCAATTCCTTATTTCATATAATTTATTGTTTCGCGAAATGGGATGCCCACCGCGTGTAAAACCCAAGGCGGATGGTTTGTTTATAATTGAAGTGGTTAGCTACAATTTGATTGGAGACATTGATGCGGAGCAACAAATACCCGAAGAAGATCGGGACAAATATTCGGTGGTGATCGACAAAGTAAAGGAAATACATTTAAAAGGATTGGACTTTTTCTCCCAGGGGATGTATCGCAACGCGTGCAGAGCATTCGAAAAGGCACTCGATCTTCTAAAATTCAGTCGCTTAACCAGTGAAGAAGAGGAAAAGGCCCAATCAGCATTCCTCCTCAAGCTTTATACCAATTTGGCTGTATGTTATATCAAAGTGAATGCCCCAGCAAAAACATGTATAATGTGCAAGGAAATCAGGCACTTAACCAACAACAAACCTTCGTGTAAAGCACTATTTCAGGAAGGCAGGGCACTCCTTATGTTGGGTGAATATGAAAAGGCCAGGAGTCATCTGATCAAAGCGCAACACATGGAACCTCACAATTTAGATATTAGTGCAGAATTGAAACTCTTAGAGGAACGGTACAAATCCTATAAGGAAAGTGAGAAGAAATTGTGGACAAAAGCAATGGGATTGATAAAGAACGCTGACGATGAGCCAGTGAAAACTAACCCCAGTGACATTGATGAACTCGAACAAGAAATGTTGAACCTGATGATACACTTTAAAGACGACAACGATCAAAAGAGTTTGAAACTGCCTTCTGGACTAACAACCAAAGAAATTGAAACGTTAGATGGTTTGGCGAAACGGTTGGACCTAAAGCTAACATTAAATACATTGGATAGTACTCAATATATAATTACAAAGAAGACATGAACCCAATGCATTTCTACACTATTTGAATGTTTCTCGAAAGCTTTCAAACTAAAAATCATTCTTGAATTCTACTATTTAGTTTGTATTAAGAGGTTTTTAATCCAATGAAGTAATAAAATGAATTTTTTATGCCTATGGTTTTCTTTTTCAATAATAAATCTTAAAATCTTCATGGCTTACAAACCCGTAACATAATGGATATAGGGCTTTCCACAATTATGTAATCGGTTTGTATAAAATTCGTAAACGAGTAAAGATTTATGTTCTCAGTGTACAAATTGTTATACATCTTGCTCATTCATTTAAAATCATAAGTTTTTCCCTTGGAACTGGATAAAAATAAATATATACACAATTTATTTATGTTATGTTATATTATTTTATTTTATTCATTCTCTTCTTAAAGTTTCATGCAGATTATTCCCTGTTGCACAAGTGGTGGTTTCAACCCTGTGTTATTATAATTTTTTTTTCGATTTTATTAATAGTCTACTATGAACTTTGTTACACAAAATCTACTGTCTTATAGTACAAACACTGACGCGACAGACACGCCAAGGAAATAATGTGCTGAAAATAGAATTGTTGGGTTGGGATGGAGATAGGGGAGAGGAAGAAAGTACATACAAATTCTACAAGGCACATATAATTTTGTTGTATTTGCTATTTTAGCAGCCAATGCATAAATTCCAATAAATAAGTACGATATTAGACGAGAACTTAAGCCTATAAAGTATTCATGTTTGGTAAAAACATAGTCTAGAGTAATTATAAAAGCCCATGGTTTACATACATAGGTATTTTTACATAACATTATTTACATTTAAACTAGAACTAGGTATTGAAACTAAAAATCGGGATCGTAATCTCGCGGATAACGCGACCTGCCATTTTGATTGTTATACGTATACATCTGATGGGCATCCGCAAATGCATCAGGATACTGGAACTGGTGGCCATACATTTGCTGTTGGTGTTGTATACTAGCGGAGTATTGAGAGTGAGGCTGGTGCTTCAGAGAGCGCTGCAATGAATCTCCTTTGTGAGAGTAATTGTTCTGCGAATCGTAATAGTAGTCACCATGGCGAGTTGAACGCCAACTGTCATAAATATTAGAGCCACTGCTGTCGTGCAAGGAATTGGTAAATCGCTGAAGAGAAAACACAATGACATGATTTGGTTATGCGTCGTATCATTTCAAATTTGGATATAAATGGACATACCTTGGGCTTTATGGGTTGCTTTGTGTCGTTCCAGGCATCATCTATGTTATAGAAATCATCCACACCGTAATTGTCTACGCCTCCCATATGATTGATCTTTAGGTCGTTGATCATGTCATTAGTAAGAGGAATGGGTGCCTTCTTTGCCCTCTTTTGGCGATTGAGAAGCTGTGTAGTAAATAGAAAACTGTTGCAACAATCTGGATTCAAAGAGTTTGATTTGTAGCTCTAACTTACGACTGTAACGCCAAATATAACAACAAATGCTAGAGAACCCACGCCAATAACGATTACCACAATCGCCCATTGTGGTATCAATAAATCTTCCTCGGCGAATTCCACATTGGGAGTAAGTGATTTTGGAATAACTGTAGACAAGTTACATATATAAGGGATGCAGTGAATTATTTCGATGCCTCCGATTTGATGGATGTCTCTTACCTGAAAAATCGGTGGCAACTGGATCTATGATATATTTGCCCATAACAAATGATTGCTTGACTAGTTTTTCACCTTTTGACCCAGGGTCTTCATTGTCGTCGTTATCCGTTTCGTTTTCGGTTTCCGGCGGTACAATCGTCTGTGGCGTCAAAGCGTCATGGAATAGTTGCTTGATTTCCAATGTGTTAACGTCTTCCGTAACATTCGCCAGTTCAACGTAGTAGTCCACTAAAACACTGCCTTTGCTAAAGCTGTCTATACGAACCTTTTTGTACCACTTGTTTAGTTGGGGAGCCGTGGAATAGACTTCATTTAGCTGAATAGATATAGAAAATAATATGTGTGTCTAGGTTCTATATAACTAGAGTTTCTTAAACTTATACTTACTTGAGCTTCTACATCGCGGGCCAGAGTCTTCCATTCGACAGTGTTGTGATCCAGTAGTTCGGGTTTCCACGAAACGCCATCAATAATTTTGATGGTAGCTGCTAAATCACAGTCGGTGGTGCAAAAACCGGGTTTAGTTGGTTTTGGTGTGGTAGTTGTTGTAGTGGTTGTAGTTGTTGTTGTAGTCGTTGTTGTAGTTGATGACAGCAGATCACCCACGTCCACTGTGGCAGTTCTAGCCTGCTCCAAAAGTTTTTCTATAGAAATTGGTGTAGTCGAAGGAGTTGGCCATCCAGTGAACTCAGTTGTGGCGCGCGTCGGAGGACCTTTCTTAATGACGATAGATGGCGAATTAGATCCTTCACCGACGTCAGTAGATTTTGGCGTAGTTAGTCTATGAGCGCCCAAACGTTTATGGAATCCTTTGGGGAAAACAACCTTTAAGCCACCACTACCACTACCACCACCTGATCCACTTTCAGTCGAAATTGGAGGTTTTTCTGTTGTAGTCGTCGTCGTGCTGGTACTGCTTGTCAGTGACTTGGATGTTTCATTGCTGTTACTATTAGCTTTGAAGTCGGGAGGCAGCAAGGAGGCAACCTCTTTGAACTCGATCTTTTTAATTATGTCAACAGGCACCTGAGGCTTTGTTTCGGTTGACTTGAAATCCTTTGGTAACAACATGGATATATCTATGGGCTCAGGATCCGTTTTAATGCTGGGTTTTTTCGTTGTTCTCAGCTTGTATCCCGGTGGCAAGAATTTTGAAATGTCTTCCTCTTCTACTTTTTTAACTCCTGGTAGAGTTTGGCCCTCTGCATCTTTTCCATTCTCCTTCGTTTTAGTTTCACTCTCTTTGGGCGTTTCTGGGGTAGATGATGCTGGCGTAGATTCCGTCAACTGGTAACCTGGTGGTAAAAATTTAGATATATCATCTACCAAAGCTATGTCTGGCTTTGGAGTCGTCGATATCTGCTTATAGTCTTTTGGGAGCAGCTTATCTATGTTATCGTCGAATGTGATTTTGCTAAGGATGTCGTCCAAGCTGTTAGACTGTTTTTCCGTTGTTGTTGGTAATTTATATCCCTTTGGGAGAAGGCTTGCCAGGGAAACATCCTGAGCTGGAATTCCGGTGTTCTTAAAAGACCTACTTATGGTGGAGTTGCGTGCTGGCTTTCGGGACTCATCTTGCTCTTGCTTGGCATTTCTTTCTGTTGTTGTGGTAATTTTTCGGTCCTTAAATGAGACCTTTGACTTATTATAACCCGGAGGAAGCAAACTAGTGAGTTCGTCCATTTCAGCTTCATCGAAATGGTGCACCTTAACCTTGGGTGCCGATGTTGTTTTCGGTTGGAATTTGCGAATGTTTGGTGCAAATTTCGAAACAGCTGTCGATGTTGTCGGTTGAGTTGAAACGTCCATTTGGCTGATTATTGGGTATTGCCCAGCCAGGAGTCCACTAGATAGTTCTGATTGTACGCGATCTAATTTGTCAATGATGCTTTCTGTGGAAGACGACACCTGTGTTGATGATGTGTTCTCGGACGACTGTTCAATACGCACTGTGGTACTTGCTTCAGATTCTTCACTGCCATTGTGCTGTTCGGAGACACTGTCCTGATCTTTCTTGTTGGCCTTTGCCTTGGCATTTCGCTCTAATTCGGATAGAGATTTCTTAGACTCCTCCTGTTGAATGGCAGGGAAGGGTAAAAAGCGAGCACCGTTAATACTTCGGCTGGTCTGAATGGAAGCAACGACGACGTAGCCCTCGGTAGCGTTATTCTCTGAGCTTTCTTTCTGAGCAGGAGGCGTTGGTGTAGTTGTAGCTTCCCTTTCCGCATCGAAGTTTTCTTCAGAAGCGGGCGAAGATTTGGTTTCAGTAAAGATAGCCTCCTCTTCCATTGGGAGTGTAGTAGTTCTTGGTGTAACAGGTGGTATAATAAGAGTCGTGCCATTAACGATTGTCTTACTTGTAACAACTGTGATTACTTCTCTAATCTCTAGCTCAGGTTCTTCCGTGCTTGCTGGTGGTATTGTTGTCATTTGGATTTCTCCGCTATTCAATTGATCCGACTCGTTATATCCTTCAGCACTATCTCCTTCGTCGTCCATTTCTTCATATTCTTCTTGGTCGTACTCAGCACTCGTCTCGTTCAAGTGACCTTCACCTGCTGCTTCGGTTGTTGTAATCTCTTCCGTGGCAGCCACAGCCTTTTCATCATCGAGCGTCGGCACACGTTCTGTAGTAGTCGTTGTAGTAGTAACTGACATATCTACAGACAATGGAGCTGTTGTTGTAGTAGTAAGTGGTATTACTGTTGCTTGAACTTCGTCCTCATCCAGCTCATGGTACTCTTCTTCAGAGTCGGATGGCTTTAGGGTTGTATTCTCCAACTCACTCGAATCTACTAAAGTAGTATTTTCTTCATTGCTATCTTCGCCATCTTCCTGGCTTTGTGCATACTCATCGGAATAGTTTTTCTCATAATCCTCATCGGACTCTACTGCTGCTGATGTTTCATGTCCGGCTGTGTCGACCGTGGCATTTGTATTGCCAGCAGTTTCTGTCACACCATCGGACTTTGGCGTATCTGCTTCGGGTGGCTTATGGTTGAGACTCGCTTCGGCTTCGTGTAGCTGTAATTTCTCCAACACAACTTCCTTCACATCGTCCCCTGCGGTTTTATTATTTTCAGACATCTCTTCTTCGTCCTCATAGCTAGTGCTTTCATTTTCTTTGCGTGCAAGCTGAGTTTGTGGCAGAGCCGGCCTAAAGGGCGTCGACGAGGGGGAAATCTGCTGTTTCAGTATTTGACTTTTCAGTGGAATTTTAATACGTCCCGGCTTAGGCGGTGCATAAGGTTTCTGTATCTTGGAACTTTGTATTGGCTCATTCACTTCCCGACTAATAAAGGCAGGTCTTCGACTGGTGAATTTGTTTTGTGCAACCCTACTGAGCTCGGGGTTGTTGGAGCGTAGACTGCTCGGCGATGGAGAAGCTTTGAAAGCGTTCCTGTTGGAACCGAAGCGATTGTATCGTTTGGTGGACGTGCTCTCAGTCGACGTAGTCGGTGTGCTTGGTGTATTGGATTGGAAACGTGTTCGCGTATTGCGAAAGGGCGATTTTTGTGGTGATGCCGGGCCGGCTGGACTATCCGAAGAGTGCAAAGCAGGAACGGCAGGTCGATTGCGGTTCGCACTTGGTTGGAACCCTCCACTGCCGAACGGGCGTGCGGCTGAACTACCAAAACCCGTAGAAGGCAAGCGATTGGACGACTGTTTGTCTCCCTAAAATAGATGGACAGGTTAAAAATAAATAGAAGCAACTTGATTTGTTTTCACCCATTCGGAAAAATGTTTTTAATCTATGTATGTGAACTATTTCCGCCATACTCCCATGAAATTAATAGCCTTAATAATGAAGATGATGACTTCTAGCAGCAAATTTATACACACATAGATACATAGGTAGATATGAATGCATGCGCATGATTTGGCTGATTTGGCAATAACATTAAATGCAATGCCATTTCGGCTTGCTTGTGGTTTCACCAGCTCCGAAGAGAGCCGGGGACGAGGAGTGGTTCAACAAAACTTAAAAAACTAAACCAAACTATTTCGCCATTCTTAAGAAAACTGCTCTGGTTTCATGCGAACTATTCATGTTATTTCAATATTATTTGCGAAAATGAATGGCAACCAACAATAGTTCCAATGTTTTGAAATTACTGTTTTTTCTTCTTGTTCGTTGGAGCAAAACCTAAAATATTCCCACGTCCCACGGTGTTGTTGGGTACATGGATCTAATGCCGTTGTGCTTGTTGGCGTAGCGTTTGTGTATCTTTGCCATTACTCCACATTTGCTTCGCACTCTTTTCTTATTATTCGGTGATGGAGGTGGCGGTGGTGGCGGCAGCGTCGCTGTCGACGGCAGAATGGAAGTATGTATCTTTAAATTTAATTGGTGGTCTCAAATACCAAAAATCAGTTCATTTGTAATTCCAACAAACATCATGGAATCAACTAAGGCAGGCCGACACACACACACACACACACTAACACAAACACCACACATGTGATGACGAAATCAATGCTGGGAGTGACATTGCACAGAGCAACAGTTACATGAAAATAATCAAAACATGACAGCAAATCGACTCGGATGCACAAAGATGTAATAATTGCAGTTCAGCAGAAAGTGGGATCATTTCAAATAGCGACAAGGTTAGGTGTGAAGTAGGCAATTAAATTGGGGGCGTAGGTGAAAGTAGACGGTCGGGGAGATGCAAATACGACGAAATAACTTACCACGGACTCAGTGAATTGCTGAGCGAATTGTGTCTGTTGGTGAGGGATATTAGCTCTCTGGGGTACGAAACCGTTACTGGGTTTAAATGATTTTGCACGCACTGATGATGAACTACCCGTTGCAGGAACACCAAACGGCCTTGGCGATATGTCGTAGTAGTCATTGTTGCGATTATTCTGAAAAAAAAAAAAAAAACAGATTCATACCTTATAAATTATTTGTCGTTTCCATTGAATCAAAAATAATTCTGCTGCTGCGCAAAAATACGATACAATAATGGACATTCATTAACCACATCAATCGTGTCTAAATTATTGGATAACACCATGAGCGTGAGGTGCGAAAGGAACGTTATTTCAAACTGTAGATGAAGGTAATTTTCAACATTCGGTTTGAATCTAACCTTGTTTCTTAATTGTAACAAGGTCAATATGTTAAGATCACAGCCGAAGTGTGTGCGCACTAAAAATCAATTGATTTTCACAATTCGAACGTGAATTTTTTGACAACATGCGCAACTACGGAACTGTTTCGGACAGTTTCAAAAGTGCAAGAATGTACTGGTTTTCCTTTAATGATATTGAAAAGATGCAGAACTACGGGAGTCTTGCAGGTTCTGGAACAGACTAGTTATAAAATAAATCTTCATCTTCAATTTGACATCAAGCTTTGTTCTATACATCGACATTATTTAGTTCTACTTAATTGCCATTTTTTAAATAAAATTACCTATGTTTTTATAAAACCAACCTTGAGGGTGGTTTTGAGATGTCTTTGGTTTGAATAAAATACGTATCAAAGTATAGGTTCCACTCTTACCGTATATTGAGGATTGAAGGGCGAAAACGCTGGGGACGTCAATGGCTGACTCTGCGACTTTGCCTCATTGCCTAGGAATAAGATTTGCTCCTGATATGACCCAGGCTGACCAGCACCACTTCTGTATTGTCTCCCGTTCTGGTAGTGGGAAGAGGGAACAAAACGATTTTGCGTATTTGAATTGGACAAATAATATTCTGAAATGAAAAAAGGGAGAACAATTTTATTTTTTTATTTGTTGATAAAAACATATATATACATATATGTGCTTTCTAACTAGGCATTTCCGCCTCTCAACTGGAAGAATGTAGAACCTTCCACGGCAAAGTCTGAAAATAAATCTGTCATCAACCCCTCTATATATTCGTTAGAGACCGCATGAAGTCTGCCTGTCCGTCTTCTACAATCATACAATATAGATCTTTCACGTTACCTCCTGCCTATGGCCCCCATGTTATTCCCTTTTCCTAATTACGAACTTACATATATATAACAATCAAGGAAATCGTTTAGGGTTGTAACCTAGGCTCCACACATACTTAGCCGATCCGAGAGGAACATCCAGCCGAGACATTCAGCATGGTCTGGGACAAAACATTGACCTGCCCATACAAGTATTTTCACATATGTTTGCAGATACCTACATGCTTTCTGTATACATTTAGAATAATATTGCGGTGATTGCCGCCCTGTTTATAATAAATTCCGATTTGCTAAGCTGTTAGATTAGAAATATATTAACAACTAGAGCGTCTTACTTCACTGCTACCTGTGGCATTCAAGCGAATAGTCGACGCTTGTGGCCATTAATGCCCACAATTTGTTAGCCAAAGGAAGAGGTACCAATGGAATTTTCCGATCTAGAAATAGTTGTTTTAACCGAAACATTTCCATAGTGGCAAGTGAGCGGATTTACTCACTTTGTTGTAATAATTAATAATTTTACAAATACTTTGTTTTTCTTTTGTTTAATTTTTTGGCCGAACTAAAATAGCCCGTACATATTGAGCTTTGCTTAAAACATTCCCAGTGAATCAAATTTCAATGGAATGCCTAAAACTTGTTGTTTCCCATGTGTCAGAAGAACAACAACTCGATCAGTGGCATAGGCACTGCTGCACCCCAATACATGCGCTTTGTAACTGTCTATTGGTCATCTGCAAGGGATATCAAGTTGTAGGGTTGCATACATTACGATGCAGATTAAAGAGCGCCCTAGTTGGTTTTATAGCTTTGTGCCTTAGTGTCAGAAACTGGTTAACAACACAAGGCAAACTGGTGAAACATCAATTCTGCTGTCCGTTTTATTCCTTGTCCACATTGTACTGCATTTTAATGTCCAATTGTTAAGGTGTGCTAAGTGATTTTGATGATTTAACGACATTGTTCTATGGATTTGTTTTTGGAGTTCGTAATGGACGCCACCTCCCCCGGTAGCAAATTGTCTATATAGTTCCTTGTTTCCGTATAGCCCTCATGTAACGGCACCTACCGATAAGAAGGGGTAGCCACATTTCTTACAGAGATTTTTTGTTATAAGATTGTAGTCCTCAAAGAACACTTTATTTTTTTTTTCAGAAGTCATCCACCTGTGTCAGTATACATATGTATGTATGTACATAATAATTTTTCGTCTTTAGCTAATTTAGAAATGTTTGGTGTATTAAAAATATTCTTTGTAGGTATTTTACAAAATGCGAGGGCGTTGATTTTGAACTCAATGTTGCTAAATCACTTCGGAAAAGAACACAACACGACATATTTAATCTGTATTTCTAAATTAGTCATAGATACTAATATATACATATATATAGTTTTGTCTTTGGCTAATTTCCAAATGATAATTATTTCCTCTGCCTCCCTCATATATGTATTTTAAATTCAATTATGCCAGCTGTAGTCGCCATTGGTTTAAGTTTCTTGTTTGCTGGGGCTGGGGTTCTATTAAATTTACCTTAATTTCATCTGGAATCAGAGGAAAATTCAACACAAATTGCATGCCATGGAGTTATTACCTCCTTTTTATGTTTTCGCCTCACATGTACAGGGTGAGATAAAAAAAAAACTGCAACCAACTTCAGACTGCTGTTAAAATTATTCCAGTGACAGCTCATTATATTGTTTACAAGAGTACAAAAGCACTTTGGTGAGACTTTTCCAGAAAAAAGTTATTCGTGTCTCGTACCATCGCTCGTTACCGTGATACTGGTAGCGTAGCCCGACGTCAAGGAAGTGGACGGAAGGAAACAGTAACATCAACAGAAATGGTTCGAAAAGTAAAGCAGCGACTTGATCGAAACCGCGTCGCAGTGGCCGAAAAATGACTCGTGAGCTGAACATATCGCAATATTCCATTCGGCAAATATTGAAAAATGAGCTCGAGGTAAAGCCATTGAAATTCCAAAAAGTGCAAGAACTTAAACCGCAACGGAAAGAAAATAGACTCAAATGAGCTTAAGAGTTGCTTCGCTTGGCTGAAAGTGGCTCAGCTGCAAATGTGCACCTTCGGTGGGCCACCAGAACTGAATCGCCGGCCATGGTGATGGTGTGGACCAGAGATGGGATTGAATGCAATTTTTATTTTCTATGAATGCATTCACAAAAATAGAGCATATTGTTGTCATCTCACATCGCTTCGGAACAACAGCACACAACACCATTCTTCAGAAAAGAATGCAATGAAATCAATGCATTGCATTGCTTGTCATCTGGTTATGTCATAATCAAGCGAATAATCGTACTGTTGTTTGATTTAAGCATAAATGATTTTGTTAAGGAACATTTTACATCAAGTTCAATAAAAATCCTAGGCAACTTTTGTCATAATCCATTGCAATATTCAAATGTGAAAACTTCAAAAAAAACGGTGAATAATGTAGTTAAAATCAAATAAACCATTATATGGGGGCTATACGAAGTCCTTCATCTGCATAGACAATTTTCTGTCACTGGCTGTAGCATCCTTTACGAACTTCCAATACCAAATGTAACGGCTCTAAAAAAACAGTGTGTCAAAAGGCAATCATCTAAAATAATGAGGGCACTTTAAAGCAACGAAATTAGCTCATTTTGTCGAATAAATGCATGCCAATAGCAATGAAAGAAAGAATGCATAAAAAATATGAATCATTTCATTCCGAACTCTGGTGTGGACCGCCATAACAACCGATGGTCGCTCTCCGCTCGTATTAATCGATCGTGACATCAGAATAGTTACCGAATATTATTGCGAAAATATTCTGGAGGATGTATTAAAGCCTTGAGCAAAATACTGCAAAACAACATTCGGGCAGCGTGTGACTTTCATTGGTTTCATTGTCCGTTTGAAGGTTATAATTCGTGCCAAAGGTGACCAATTCGAACAAATCTAAATTTATTTATAAGTTTGATGCTATTTCCGACATTTTTTGCTTTCATTCAATAAAATTTAAAAAAAAATAGGAAAAAAAATCATGGCAAGTAATTCAGCAATGCAATCCACAGCTTAAAATCTCAAGAATGTTACTCAGATACTGGGGTGGGTGGATGGCATTGTCCCACCCACCAGTCGAGAAATGTGAACAACATTTTCTTTTGGAACTTGACTTTTTAGTAATAAAATAAAATGACCTTTATGGTTTTCTGACGTGCTGCGACTTGTACGTGCACCAACGGCCAAAAAAAAAAAACGTACGAAATATGGATTTGAACTAAACTCTAGCAATGAGTTCAATTTTGGTCAACAATTATTTATTCGATGGCACGTTGCATGGGTTTTGCTTTCACCCTTCCATACAGCGTTTTGCAAGCTTCCGCTGTGGGGCTATTACATGAAATTTGATAATTTTGCTCATTTATTTTCTTTTCTTTTTTTAAGTTTTAATTTGTTTGCTATCGACATGAAGAGCGGATATTTAGCCAAGCTTTAGTCATACAAAGCAGACTTGATGTTCTTGAAGTTATTTAAGTTTTATTTGTTGTTGTTGTTACTTTATAAGCAGGAATTGTAAGACAGTTTATGTAACTCCTGGTTAATAAATTCTCTGATCGATCATAGGAGTGTTTCTGTTCCATTACTTGATTGTCCACATTCCAATTCTGCTGGTGGTGTCACCAACAACTATCAGCGAAGTGGTAGTCGTCGCCCATGCATACATACATACATACAACCATTATAGTTCATATAATGTAGCCCGATATCTTTGCCAGCCACTCAGCAGCTTGTCGTTTCTCCAAAACTGGTTTGAAATGAATGCAAAAATCTCTCGTTTGTCGGATGAAATTTCAATGAAGTGATCGCTTACTTAAGTTTATGTTTTCCAGCGACTGAATTTGACTTCTTTCTAGAGGCACCAATGTTTCGTTTCGTTTCGTTTTGTTTTGTTTTGCTTTGTTTTTATGTCCAGCGTCGGTTTCTGTCCGATGTGATGTAATTTTCTTCGTTCGCATTATGTAGCCAGCTTGTGTTTGGAAATGGCCTTTAATTTCTTTGAACTTCCTCTGGGATTTCATTATAATTAATAACTCAAATAACAATAATGATGAGCATGCCATCATTAGACAGGCAGGCATTCCTACAAATTATGCGCTCGCTTCGTTCGCATCGTTATTGAAATATTTGGTCAAGCCAATGACATAATGAAATACTGAAGGCACACATAAATGTTTGTATGTATGTATATATGTGTGTATGTCTGCATATACAAATGGTTGTTTAAATATATTTTCGATTTTTAATCGGATGATTATCGTCTCTTAATATAAGACATGTAAACACTGCGGTACGTTTGACCGGGCCACGCTTTTGTTCAAAGGTTCAACTTTTTCAAAACCCTAAAAAACGGGGAACTCCAGCTACACCGTGAAACGGTGTGATCAATTGAAATATGAAATTAATTGATACTCTTTAAAATCGGGCGGTGCCGTTTATAAGGAAATATTTTTAGATAATTTCTTCATCCAAATTCCAAAGACTTTATACCTTTCTGCTTCTTGAACCGTAGAATAATTGCCACATTAGGTGCGTTTTCGGTATCAAGTTTTTCAACAAGTAGTTTGCCCCTCTGCAAAAAATGGAGATCAAATTTTGGGTGGGAAACTATTGCTCCCTTTCGATAAGAAAGCCCCTGATCGCCCCATTTAAACACCTAAAAAAACCCATAAACTTGATAAAGTATAGTTTTGAAACATTATACTATAAATGTAACTGAAACAAATTACGGCATGCCATGCTGCACTGACATTTGAGGTCTAATGCCCGAAAATCCACTGGCCCGTACATTTGCAAGCACTCAAGTGCAACAAAACTGAACCGTAGCTAACATAACCCATAATAATTGCGAAGGGTTAACAAATATTTTAGTCAAGTTGTTTGTGGCCCAACGACAAATCGCAACAAGTGTTTTATTCGATGTTTTGACGCTCATGGCAAATAAATTGTCAATTTGCTAATTGTTGTGTTAAATGGATGGAGGCGCGTTTTTGCTCTGGCTTGTTAACTGGCAACGGCGATAATATACTACCCCCAAAGCGTTTAAATGTTCACTCCAACCGCAGTTCATTTTACCATAACGAGCAGTTACCGTTGTTACCGTTAAGTTATGCCATCCGATTAGAATCATCGGCTAATTGGGGAGAACGTGAAAATCGTTTTGTGACATGAGATGTGCGAGTTGTTTTTTACTATCTAACGTTTTGTTGTGTCATGTTAGAGGAGACTAGACCCCATGGGTCTTCTTGGTGTGCCCCTAATGATATCGTCGGTGTCGGCAATTACATAATCTACGATTTTCCGTTTGTCAAGTTCAGCAGAAGAGCCATAAGCTGAGCTTAATGTTTGACAACGACAACTTTCATTTAATTGGTTTCACTTGACATTGCTCGCGCTTAACTTTCAGTTTTCTCTGACAGTAAGTGTTGCGTTTGTTGTCTCATTTTCGCAACGGACAATGTCACACGGTACCACAACAAGACCATGGCTGCGATTCCATTGTTTTAGTGGTACGAATTATGAATGGAAAAGGAAAACAACCAACTGTCATTTCATATTTCCTAATCAACGAAATGAAGAAAGTGAATTGTGAATGTACGGCTGTGTGTCACAGCACTGAACGCGATGTAGTATTGTTGCCGATAACAAACGACAACTACAAAGAAACATCTTTCAGAAGTTATGTAAATAGAGTTCTTTACGCAAACTCACAACTAGAGTCCAGTCTCTCAATCTACAGGCATACATATTTTTGAATCCCAGATTTTATCCAAGGATGTGATAAATTCAAATTTCAATTGATTTGTTTTGGAATATTCATAGATTTGAGTTGTTACAGCGCGCTACAGAAAAAAAAACAGTTAAGTTTCGGACAAAACAAAGTACAACTCTGAAGTAACTTTACATATCAGATTTTACATTTGCTACAGGGTAGGACAAGGCCTACATAAGTTCGGCCAAGAAGTCTACTTTTGACAACAATTTGCGACTTGACTATCTTTGAATTTCCACTCACATTATGTCTTTTGTCAGATAGATCCTTAGACCTTATATAGGCCATGGAGTAGAACTAGATAAGCAACCTCGTGCGATCATTTGTTTACAAAACAATACATCTGTACTCAATGTCAAAATGTATATTCGGGAATTCGACAGGGTAAATTACAGAAATTGCTCGGCTGGATATGCTTACCTGAAATGAGCTTATTATCCTAATCTCAACATGGTTTCGTGTTCAGAATATTTTTAATTGAAAACTCAAAAAACAATTTAACTATCGACATTGTAATGGTCCTGTAGTTCATTATTTTTTAATCGCTAATTTGTTTCTTCATTAAGAGTCAAAACAGGTAGAATGTTAAGGAATGAATTTATTTGATAATTTATCCGAATGCAACCACCATTTAGATCATAAGTTAGCAGATGTTTTCCCAACCTAACTGCAAATTTTTTTACATTTCCGAGTTTCGGGAGGCAACGTATAAGGACATTGTGAAAACGATTGATTTCAATGAGAATGAACAATGTCAATTCTGTTGGATAAAATCAAAATATGTGACCTTCGGTGGTACCGATTTATGGAGGCTACATCGTGTTCTCAAAAATTTACAATAACCCCCCCTAATATAACCCCCTTTAATGGGGGAGGGTGGGGGATTGTATATGAAAATAAATTTTCTATTCTATTTTCCCATTACCCAAATACACGCAGATATGAATGGAAATTGCTTTGACAGATCATAAACAGCACAAGGAAGATATTATAATTAGATGATAATTATTGCCTGGTATTGGTGTGGCGTGGGTAGGGGGGCAGTCGTTTCGCTTCATACCAAAATATATTTTTACACAATCAGAAACCAATACCGATGCAAACCAAACAACCCATTTTGCTTTCAAAGTGTTTTTCTGCAGCAGAAATGGCCAACAACAGGTGTCTAGATTTATGTAAGCTCTATCGGCGCAAACTAAGCCTGAATACTACCACCAAGTAGCTGCTAATGGCTACCCACTGGTGTGTTTCTTTCTTAGATCCAGAAATCGGCTTGCTCGATTTACAAATATGCTATGTCCAAATCGAAGTAGCTTAGCAGCGAGTCAGTGCTGTTGAAAACAAGAAAAACTCGTTGGAAAATTTGTTTATTTACAATTTTATTGCAACGCCATTCCGACAGCAACGTTTACAGGCCATTACATTGCTCGGCCTCTGGTTGTGCTGTGCCAAAAACAGCACACAGCCACGAACAGCTGTAGACCCCCATCTCAAGAGAAACGTACTGCACCCGAGGCTGTGGTGGGCTAGTGTTATGCTCTAGAAAAACCATGTCGGTGGTAAGCTTTTTGCAACAAATAACAGCCGCAGACATAGATGCTGGCAGCTGAACATGAGACTGATTTTAAACAGTTTTTTGTTCATTTTGCTTTTACTTTTCCTGCAGAAATATTGGTCTCATTTATATTATTCAGTTTTTGTTGTTGCTGTTGTTTTCTACTGGCTATCTCATGGAAAAGACTTGAACGCAAAACAAAAGACTTAAGACACGAACACCGAAAGAATTTTTAGCAGGCAATGAAGTAGTAGATTTCCCTCGAAATCCACAAATCCACGGATGTGTTTGAGATTGCACACAACCACCGCGGAAGCGGAATTGAAATTAAATGTCAGTCAGGGACAAAATACAGAGATTATTTTTTTTTTCATAATTTTCTCGCCCCTCGAAGCTGGTGGCCGGCTAACATGCTATCAGGGTAATTTGATTAAATGTCATCCGAAAAAACCCTAACAATTGCAGTTGCATTGTAGCTTAAGTTGTCATCAGCTACCATTATTAGTAACATTTTATTTTCTAGTGGAGGCTTCATCCACCAGCGGTAAAATTCCAATAACAATTATTCATGGGAAACGACGAAAACAAAGACAAATTTTATTGATCAAGTTTTTGGTGAACCTTAAAAACGCTTTCAGCTAGCACTAAAACGAATTGTGGGCCGAAAATATTTGTGTTTTGCCGCAAAAAAGAATATCAAACAAACAATAGAGCCTCTTCTTCGAACGCTTGCCGACTTGCTAGCCAACAGCTCGAGCAAAGACTAAAGAAAACATTTGGTTTGTCTGCCACAATTGCCGTTGGAAACCTGTAGCAGACATCTAGCCTAAAGAAGAATTGATGCTATTGGAGCATGCTCCATAATTACTACACTTTACGGTTTTAATCATAGCGAACAAGTTGAGATGTGCGGCGGGACATAAGTCTTAGTTGCATTCGTTGCAATCAGCTTGTGCTTTCGAAAGCTATTTTGGATGGCGGACAAATTTGAGAAGAGCATCGCATAAAAGGAACGCTTGCGACACACAAAACGTGTGTTTTGAGTAAAACACCGTGTTTTATACATCTGCTGAGTCAAGACAAAGTACGTGGGAAATGAAAGCTTGAGCGAAGGAAGGAAAAGGCCTTGATTGGAGAAATAATGCAACTACAACTACAGTATTCCACATTACAATTAAGAACAAATAAGAAATTGTCTGATTGGAAAACCGATGCAATCGGGACGGTCGGAGCTCCCTCTAGAATTGGTACATTTTTGCATATTTTCTAAACATCTAGTATTTTGTCTGATGGAGAACTCGACGTGGTTTCGAAGAGCATTTCTGACTACGTCGCTGGGTTGAAAGAGACCGATTCTTTTCTTAAATACATATGTATTGTTCCGTGTTCCACAATTTGCTGGCGGTTAAGGACGTTAAAATGACCCTTTAAATAAAAAAGTAGTGTAATCTGTTTTCCTCAATGTCAGTTTCAACCCTAAACGTATTAACTGCAGCATTATTTGGAGTTTCGTTTGGTATTTATGGAATTCCATGATACACGGATCCGTGAGTTAACCACCACACTTTGCTGACCCCGTTCTTGTGTTCTACAGTCATAAATATTTCCCATTAAACCGACCCCAAAATCAACAGAAATACGTGTGACTAAATTATTTTGATTCTTCTGAAAGCGATTCATGCAAAATTCCATTAAAGCCAAAACAGAAACTCAGATACGCTTATCAAGATATACGCTTGCTGTTGTTTTTGTTGTAATTAAACAAGTGTAAGAGCCACTCACCTTGTGCGTCAACGCCAATAGCCATCAGTGTCGTCGCCAACATCGTCATCGCCATCATCGTCGTTAACCCCAGCCATGGCAGCGTTGCGGCCGCCACACACATCTTCACATTACGAAAAAGCCACCACCAACAACATGAAAAGTGTTGTTGGTGCGGTGGCTTTTTTATAGCCGGAAAAGTCATTATAAATATTTAACAACGAAGATTTCAACTCTTGAAGACGGCAAAAGAGAAGAAGAAGAGAACGGAAAAAAGAAATAAAAAACAAAAGACAAGTATTTTTTCTTTTTTTTTTCAGTTAAATGCACTGTTGAAGATTCATGTGGGGCGCTGCTAAATGAAAAAAAACAAAAAATATAGCTGTCAGCAGATTTGGCAGCGAATGTTTGCACTGCAAAAGTTCGACGGATGGCTATTTATTTGGGCAGGTACATAGGTAGCATTTTTCGGTAATTTTCTTTCATGCAGCGACACAATTCGGCTGTTTTTATTTGATTTTGGGATACAATTGACACCGTTACTTTACTTTTTATTAGACTATTATTTTCTTATGTTTTTTTCTGTTTTTATTGAATGAAACCAGTTTGTGTTTTGGTAGGTACCTATTTTTTTTTCTTTCCTAAAAATTCGAAATTGTGTTGTTTTTGTTGTTTCGCTGTTCACTCTTTATTCGCGTTTATGGGCGTTTTGCCATTTTGTTTTCTTACGTTTGTTTCATCAAGCACACATTTTTATTCATATTCCACATCCAATACATTTTGTAATTCACCTTGAGCGGGACAAAGCCGTTGCCAGTACACACAGACACACATACCTACATACATATGAATGTAGAAACATATCCATGTGTTGGTATCAGACATTCATTATTTCATCCACATGAAGTTGCTCTTTGTGTCAGGTTTCTCTTTTTCACAGTTGTTATTATTATTGTTGTTGCTGTTGTTGTTTTTGTTGCAGTTGTGATTTTGTTATTAGACGCTCATGCACAAGTTTGGATATTAATAACGCTATATGTACCATTTGCTGCTGAACTTCTCAACTGATATTTCTGAAAGCTTACATACCGAGATAGTTACATACAAATCGAACCAACCGATCAATCGACCGGGCCATAGACAACACTCACACACATACATACATACATACAACAAATCATATTTTTCTGTGATCTTAAAATAATTTCTTTTTTCGATTTTATTTTTTTTTCTACGTTTTTCTTCACTTGTCGCTGTTCGTTGGTTGTACGGCAGTGGTTTTCTTTGAGATCAAATACCAGTTGTCTGCCTCTGCGCGTTAAAGGTCACGCGTTGGCTTTTGCTATTTTATTCGCTATTAGCGCTCAACTTGCTTGCTCTTGCCGTTTTGACTTAAAACATAAACAGCCATAACGTCAAATGCTACGTCTGTTTGTTTGCCAGAGGTAAAACAATTAAATGTTAATGGTAAATGTAGCCAAGTATTTAGAATCAGACACAGAACAAAACCCGTCGATATCGATTTGTCATTTAGGTAGAGACCCTACCTGCCAATCCCCTGACTTAACTCAACAAGTTTCTTTGTTAAACAAATCTGGTTTTGAATTTGCGGCAAGAGACAGATGGAACGCGAAAGAAGGGTGACTAAGAGCAGAAATCCATTAACTATATGGACCAGCCATGTTTAGGGGAATGAGAATCAATCGTTTCCTAGCATTATTTAGGTATCAAACATAGATACAAACAAAATCGCTGGGGATTGAGGCTGAAGATTTTTTGTTATCAAACTCCTTTAGAAACCATTGGATTTTGCATTAGTCGTTCTCATCACAATACTATCCTCTATTAGAACACATTCCTTCTTTAACTCTGTAGGTATGCCATGAAATACCATGCCACATCATTTCATCTTGCCAACAGCTACAATCTCCTGTATTGAATTGGAGGAGTTTTGTGGATATTGGCGAAAGAGTGTAGGTAACGAGGCGATAAATTTTTAATATAATTTGGAAATATGGTACAGTCGGGCGGGTGCACTGGCACGGAACATAACATCATTTTTTCTCCTCTTGTAAAACACAGCATTTCCTTCAGAATCGCTTTGTTGTTGTTGTTTTCTTTCACAAAAGAAAGATTTAAGACACAAACATAGCCTCCTCTTTGCAAATTGCATCTTTTGATATCTTCATTTAATTTCATTTTTCGTCACAATAAACATAAGTTGGCATGTATGTATGTATGTACCCATGTCTTGAATTTATATCGGTATGTACACGGGGCGTATTTGTGGCTATGGACTTTTCACTAAGTACATGGATGCAACCCACTTCGAAATACATCCAACTGAACAGTCCGACTGGCCATCGTTGCCCATTCGAATTTCTTTGAATGCATTTGTTTTTTTTTTTTTTTGTAGTTTTTTTTTTTTATTATTCGCTTTTGAAGTGATTTTTATTCCGACATACGTAGGTATAGGTTTGGTATAGAAAATGAGGTGTAACACACTTTGCATATCAATCACTTATGGCTCGAACATCGGGGGGCATTTTACGCGATTAACAACAACAGCAACAAATGAAAAACACAGAAAAATATTTTCCAACCGTATTTGTGTCGCACGAAAAGGTACAATTTTTACGAAGTCATATCACTGTATTAAAGAAACTCACGAATACATTCTATATTGAGCGTGTGTTTGTGTTTTCGTGTGCTTGTGTGTGTGCATGTCATATGCATATTCGTGCACATGTATTGCTAATACCTCTTTGTCGATGTGTAAGTGCGCATGCGTGTAGTTATTTATTTTGTTAATTTTCTCAACCGACAAGTAAAACGTGAATGCTAGCTTTGCCGTCTAAGTTTTGCTCGGACCACCTCTCTGAAACGCGTATCACGACAGACTAAACTCAAGGTGGTTTACCAACTTTCAGTAAAAGACCAAATGTCTTAGACGTCAACACCAGCTAAAAACAGCAACAACCACAATCGCACAACCGCAACAACCGTAGCTGTGGATTTGCCACAGTCAACCAGCCAGCCAGCCAGTCAGTCGAAATACAGCGAAAAGAGAGCGAGAGCATACAATAACATAAACTTCGCACAGAGCTTCTCCATGGCTGTTCTTTTTTTTTTCAAAAACCTAGCGATTTGTAAGATACGTAGATATAAGAAGAATAAATGTTGCCGTCAAATCCGGTGTGACACCCACTGGGACCCTTACGGTTTCACAACTGCATCCTACTGTTCTCACCAGTAAAGTTTCTGGCTACGGCAGATAATTACCGATATCTTGAGTCCAAAAAAATTGAAATAGAGCCCAACTACAATGTCTTTAATATCTTCTATTTTAGGCATGCAAACACACACGCGCTTAGAGAACATCATTAAGGAGTTTTACAAAAATTGTGTGTGTTTTTTAAACCACATGTCCTCGATAGCCTATTCCATGTCCTCGATAGCCTCACGAATTCCTTCTTTGAGGTCTTGAATCACAGCCGAACTGTTGGGCCCAAATGAAGAAGTAGCAAGGTGTTAAATTATCACAAGATCTCGGGGGACAATTGCGATCACGTCTTCATGGAAACTATTAGTTGCTTGTAAAGAAACGTTGTCCCGTCGTTTATCCGAGACCGACCAAAAACAAATTATTAACCATCTCTCAACCCCACCAAACAGGTCACACCGTGCGGAGGGAAAGGCATCTCAACATTTTGGTTTTTCCTAGCCCCAGATGTGAAAAATTTCGCTAGTTGCGTATCCATCGTGGTAGAAATGGTGTCATTAGTTGAGATGAGGTTTGAGGGAATTCCAGGTAATTTTCATGCATTTCAAGGACACAATCCTCAAAGATACGATAATGTTAATGATTTTTGATGCCCAATTTCAAAGAACGATGAGGTATGGGCATACCTGGGTTCTCTACAACACTTTGAAATGCAGCAGCAATATTCTAAGATTTCTTGAACAACGTGTACGTGGCTTATTTTTCACACAACAAACTTGTTCCCAAAGCTCGTGTTTTCGATCAATTTATGTATTGAGTTCCAACAAGGTGCTTTGCGATGACCCAAAAATTATTGAGTTCTCAATTTAGCTGCCATACAACGCGTCATATCTTCATGAAAATGTGTCCAGATATCTATAGATCCCATGTATATATGATTCATCCGATTCAATATTTAAGTCCTCATAGCCGCAATATGCACTCTACAGCAATGGCATTTGTTAAAAGATATTAGAAACACCCCACATATATACATATTTCCCTCTGATTTGATGCAAATTATATACCAACTAGGCTATGATCGTCTGCAAGACTAGACGTTGGAAAACTACACCATTTATATGCTTCTCCCGATTTGATGTTTAGGGCATACTCAAAGTTATGAGAGGAAACATGCAGCACGAAAGATCCGTCAAATTAAGTTCAAATCGATACATGCATAGCTTTTGATCACCTTAGAAATCCCCAAAGTGCCCAAACTTCCAATTTAAAAAGTAGTTACATGGCGATATTTGTCATTCCACCCATAATTTTCTGTTTTCCTTTGAAAATTTAAAGTTCCTTTGACCTAATATTAAATCCTGCAGTATTTGAATGAAATAATTGGAAGTATGACAACCACCGGAAACACTGAAATTCGAAAGAAAGACACGGCCCAACATGGGGAGTATCTTATTGAGGATTTTTTACACAACAAAGATGTAGCGCCGTGGTTCCGAGGCACTTCCATCTTTCACTTGAGGGGTGCCAATCAGCTTTTTAATGCGATTCGCGACGACACGGAACAGAGGACGACCCATCGCGTGAAAACATGCTTGAGTTTAATTGGCCTGGAACCCATACCATCGTCGAGGGATCTCAAACTTATTATGGGCATGAGTCGTGGCAACGATTTAGCCTTTCTGTGGTTTCTAATGGAAAGGCACTACCGAAACCCAAATCCTAAATTTTACAATCTGAATGAGCAACTGATTTGTTCCGCTATATGTCATTTGGATATGATTACAACTCTTCGAGAATTGGATAGAATCCTACCCATAGGCAGAACAAAAAATGACGACAAGAATATAAGGGAATGTGGTATTTCAGACGAAGGACACTGTGCTGGGGAAGACAAATCCACATGCGGAAAGTTTGCAAACCCTCAACAATGTGGCCAACTTCCAAACAAGTCACAAGAAAGGAATACATCAGAGTATGGCCAAAAGAAAGAAAATTCCCAATCGGCACATAGATCCGGTCGTAAGTACATTCTGCCATATTTCGAGAAATCAATGAGGCCCCGGCCCTATGGCAAACCTCTAACAATGGACATGCCGAATTTCAAGGTGCAATTTAGAACATATGCAAAGTATGCGGACCCAAACCATACCGCCTACAACGAGAGCAATCGATGGTTTGCCGATTACGACTTTAATCCCGGCCGGCGAGTGGCCTATCAGATTATCCAAAATGCCATCGCTAATCTTTTTGAAAACTTCAATGCCGTTGGTTTGAAAGAGGAGACCGTAAATGTTCTCTGCGGCCATCATAAGATAATCAACGAAATCCGCGAACAGCACATGCATGAACACGCAGTACAACTCAGGGACCGGTGTCTTCAAAAATACTTCGGAAATAGAATCCAAATGGTCCAGGTATTCCATTATATTCTCCCTTAAGATCCAAAAAAGACTAATTGCAATAAATGTGTAGAATCGCAGGGAGCTTGTAAAATTGTCGCTTCGGAAGACAATTGAAGCAGAACTATCCAGGATGCAAAAACAATCTTCGACCCATGGAAAACAGTCTTGGCTGGCCGCAATTACTAGCGCGTGTGATATGGTAGACGTGAATATGGCGGAGGAATGCGGGAAATGCTGTCCAAAATCAAAAATTGACATTGGCAAGCCAACAGGTAGCGCTGTGAAAACCCTAATTTTAGAGCAAACCAATTTAGATAGACCCCACGTAGACTTGTTTATACATGGAAAAACACCATCGCAACTCTCTATATTCACCAGCAAATATATGAAAAATTATGATTTTAGTCGTGTTGGTGATACTCCCAAGGCCTCGCAGACATTCTTCTGTAGCCCCACGGAACACAAACCATTTATCTTTGACTATAGGAAAATATTTCAGAGCAAAGCCAGAACACGGAATGGAGATTGGGTTAAACAGGCATTCATTGAGGCCTTGAATCAAGACTTGTGCCTGCTGAACGATCTCCGAGAAGCTGCTTCGGAGCTCGAAATTGCTGCCAGTCAATGTGCCACCAATATTTGGCAAAGAAAGCTACAGAAATGCAACAACGAACTCAAACGTTCAGAAAATCGGTTGTCATCCTGGCCACTGCCTCATTATCCGCCCGATGGAGAATATGATGTCGAAGACAGAGCTCTCATGGATAAAATGCTGGCCGATGCATTCGAATACATGCGAAGAGATCCCAAGTTTGTTTTGGCCCAACTACCCGAAGCACATAAACTTCCAATGTTGAGAGAGTGGCTGGGCCGTCGATTTGGAAAAGTGTACACTACCAAAGACCGCTACGATTCATATCGTTATTCCTTGAAGGTTTTCCATGCCCTCGACCGGATGTCATTTGACTTCCCCACGCCTACTTCTGCACAGATTGGCCAACACCACTTTGTCACCTACAATTGCAAGAAGTATTTGGGACGGAAGGTATGTTCAGCTAATGTCAGAACGACGCTGGTTTAAAAGATGTCTCTAACTGATTTCTTTGCAGGTTAATGTCATTAAACGTCATTTTTTTCGACGCTTAGACAACGCAATAATGCGGCAAAGCCGGACTTACTGGTTTGCCATGCGTGGCTATCTATGTTCTGGTCCAGGTCCGCCGCGACAAACCTTTTTCGCCTATATGCCATCTCGTCTGAGAGACATACAAAGATTTCGCCTGTGGAAACGATCCGAGCATAGGCCAGACAAGGCTGCATGGGATAATAGAACCAAGGCCAATAGAAGTGCAAAATCAGCCATTTGAAGTCAGGTGTTAAAATCATTAGCGTTAATGCGTGTTCTTTCGATTTGTATTTTAATGAAAAAATGCAAATAAAATATTAAATGCAAATTAATATTATATTAAAAAAAACTGAGTTTACTAAATTTAATCTCCAAATGTTTTTTGTGCACTACCTTCTCCAAATGTGTTTTGTGTACTATAAAAATTCACACTCAAATCTCAGGAACTTCCTCATGCATATCTTATATATAAAAACCCTGAAGATCATTATTTTACTCCATTTTTATTTGAGAGTAAATAGCGGACACTTAATGAAACGCTAAGGCCTTTTTTGCACTTCTTAATTTCTGATCTTCCTTGTAAATTATTGCATTATTATAGGGGCCAATGACTACTTTTTTTCAATATTTTGAAGCAGTAAAAAGTATCAAAATAGGGTGGTTGTTAGTCAAATAGTAATGTATGCACTCACAATTTTATTACGGGACCTGGTGATAACCATTGACGAGATTACCGCAGGTACGGCTATGAGCGAACGATTCGATCTACCTTCTTTGATTGAGTTCCATCTGCGTTATTACGAGGAAACTCTGCCAAACGAAGAAGGAAATGACAAATTTGCGACATTTAAATACGAAAGAAAAATGCAACTCAATATCGATTAATGAATTATGCCTCCGTCGGGTATTGAACCTGGGACCTCAAACCTCCATGGCGAAATAAGATTTGCCCTAATGCCTAATACCTAGCCTACTGCACAATGTGGCTTACGTGCGACGAAACAAACACATGTACATCAAACATTCACCACTTAAACTTTTTCTAAAAATAGAAATCTACCACGCATGGTGAAATTCACATTATGACAGAGATGGAAAGGTGTAATGGCCAGTCGTCGTGTGTTGTCACATGTTCTTATAAAGAAGATGCCGTTTTATTTGATAAAGTTGAAGTGGTTAAATTTGACGTATTAATTTCAATTTATTAATTCAATAATTTGTAGCACAGAACCCTTTTTGGGCCAAAAATAGCATTACATAGTAACATTTCAAAGAAGAAAATTGTTTAACAACTATACTAATGTAATACATTACATTAGCCGCAACTACATTATGATTAAACATATAATTATAGAATAGGCGAACATTTGTAGAAGCAGCAAGTAAAAATGAAATAATATATAGCAAAGATAAGATTATGTAAAGTTAAAAATCAGTAGAAGGTAAATCGAAGCGCGTTATTTGAAAGCTAAAAAATACGCAGATCAAGAGATGGGTAGTTCCAGCACCTTGCAACGCAAATTACGAATAATAAATAGACTGCGGTTCAAATGGAGAAAAATAAAGATACTTATGTTTATTTTATTACTTTTCGCCACCGACTTGGCCAGGGTGCCTATGGTGCTCTGCCCACGGAAATTTTAATTTCTTGCACACTTTCTAAGAATTTTTCTTGAAAATCATATATTTCCTCTGTGGGAACCCCCAAGAATTATTTTGAAAGAGAGATATGACAACATCGGATGTTTTAGGTTAAGTTGCGACGAAACCAGATGAGCAAAAAAGCAAAAATATACATATGTATACATTTTGAAAAAATACATTTATTTTTATAAAGGGTATATCATTAAACCATAGAAAACTCCAAAAAATTGTTCGAAATATTTGAGGAAATTGCCTCGTCCTCTGTAGATCAGTGACCTAGACGCTTTCCTTATTACACGAAGTTTGTATTAGCGTTTTTAAACACTTCAGGAAAGCTACGATAACGCATATTATTTTTTGCCAGTTTGCTTTAATTCCAAAACAGCGGTTTCACGTACACCCGAAGAAAAGATTTTCTTTACTTTTTTATAAATCCGCAGGGAAAAGCAATATATTGAATTCGTCTTCAATGATAGAAACACTACTCCAAGTTGAATTTCGTTAATACAGAAAAAGTAAATATAACGTCAATTAAGTACAGCAGTATTTTTGCTTTTTGTTTGTTTATTAAACCAATTACATGGTTAAAGTTGGGATGTATCTTATAAAATTATTTTCCTTTCGATAAATAACAAAAACTTTGAAAGGAAAGTTTTACAAAACTTAGAAATAGTAATAATTTGAAGGCGAAATAAAGAGAAATGCCATGAAATTGAATATTGAATATCAACGTAACAATTTTCATTCAATGCCTAACACTGACGCGTATGTGTGTAGAGATTTGAATGTAGTAAAAATTTTCATTCCACACAAAACGTCTACAAATTAAAAATACATAAAATATGCTCCATAGTCTATAAAGATACAGGATACTGGGGACTATTATCAAACTGTATCTACTTTCCAGTCGTGAATTTTGAAACGTTCTCCAACAAACCAATATACAACGAGTGTTCATAGGCTGTTGCCAGATCCGACAATTTTTCTACAAATTCATTGCTGATGCCCTTCTCTTCCAACAGATTCATCAGCAAATCGTAGAGGTACTGAAATAAAAATAAAATCAATGAGTTTTGAACAAAACATTTGATTGTTGATTGCTTACGCCGTCTAGTACATCCCCAGCAACAGCATAAACCTTTTCATTCCATTCTCCTTGGTAGATAGTCATCTCGTCGATGCCGAATATATCATTGTACTCTCCTTCTTCGGGGGTGCCTTCCAAAAAGGAACACGTGAACGATAATGTCGTATTGCCTCTCACAATATCCACTTCAAACTGTGGTTTGCTTCGCATTTCTCCCAAGTCGGGTTTGTCAGCAGAGGGATTAATTTCGGGCTCCTCTTCAGTATCGACAGTATGATTTACATTGAAGTTAATAACAATCCTGCAAAGTTTGCAAAAATTATAACATGTTAGGAAATAAATGAATATCCAAAGTGGCATTTTCTCACTTCTCCTTTTCGCCCTGTTTGGTGAGTTCAATTTCAGCACCATCTAACTTAACTGCGAAGCCGTCCAAGTTTGTAGGAACTGTTTTGTTTTTCTGAGCTTTGCGTTCTGCCAAAATCTCTTCAGTCAAGAATTCAACCAATTCCCGCTCTCCTAAAAAAAGTTTAAAGAAAAACATCAGTACCGGCAATATTTCATCATTTCGATTCCATTGAGGTTATGTAATGCTGTTCTCTCAAAACACCGTCAATAGCTATTTCCAACCTACCCTTGGTGTGCATGTGCTTAGATCCACCACAGCCGCAACTACAGCTAATACTTGGTTTGGTAGCATTTAATATTCCTCCAGAAACTTGACTGTCATCGAGATTCTTTGACATGTGCCATAGCGTTCGGGTAAAATCGCGCTTGCCTCCGAATGCGTTCCTCAAAGATGTGGTGCTAACAAGACGCACAGCAACTTTGGCTAAATTGTTCATATTTTTTTATTCAATTTCTTTCAAGTAAAACAAAAACGCGAATAACTCCACTATACTAGTGTAGCGTGTCGGAACCAAAGTTATGCAGTTAATAGAAATCCAACTCGTAACCTCAAAATGTTGTTTTGACATTTCGATAATGTTATCGCAAGAATGATATCACTGCATTCCACAGTAGAATGATAGCATGCAATAGTACATACATTGTAAAAGAATACATGTAGCTGAATCAAAATTTGTGAGAATGGGTATATATTAAATATATCCAAAACTACATGCAAAATTTCAAAATGCGTTTGATCTGCTGCTGACGACCTCTTCATTGTGTCATGCAGATGGGCCGTTATTAAAAAAAGCTAGATGGACAGATGGGTGAACTTATTAATAAGATTTGATTATTGCAACAAACAGGAATGGACTAAAGCCGACAACATCTGACATTTCGATTATTCTATAATCGATTCTTAATATAACAATATAAAACACACAATTGGTTTCTTTTCTTTGAGAATTGTAGAATTGAGACTTAAAAGTACTATAAAAATGAATAGCCTGGGCGAGGATTGCAATGAACTTAAGCGCAAGTATGATGCCTGCTTTAACCTATGGTTCTCTGAACGATTCCTGAAGGGAGACAATGACGACAGCATGTGCGCTCCTATATTCAAGGTTTATCAAGAGTGCGTAAAAGTATGTATGTGCAGTTATTTATCTCCAATAGCCATTGTTATCTTGATTTTCTCAATTTCCAGAAAGCAATGGAGGAACAAAAAATTGAGTTGCGTGAAATCGAGGCTGACTACAGCACGGGCGATTATAATGAGAAACCAGAACATAGTAAAAGTTGACCTTTACTCGATAGCGACTTTGAGGGTGGATCCTTATCCCCTGGGGGTAGGCCTTCAAAAGCACCTTTGTCTCATAAGAGAGGATATTCAGTGTAAATTTAGTAAAGTACTTAAATGTTAAGCGAAATATCTGTTTTAAGTCTTGCTAGTTGATTTGATACGTACAAACACTTGCTTTTAATTATGTTTCTCCTATATATATTAAAATGGTTCCGTACGAGAATATAAAAGAATTCAACAAATATTTAAAAAAAGGCATTTTTATTGTCACGCAATATTCAAGGTTGTTATGGACATCAAAATGCTTGAAAGGAATTGACACTTGTCTTACCCGCTGATTTCAATGTAGGCATTCGGTATACATTTTCGCACAGTTGGGTTTCGCCCATAAACGTAAGTTCTTTTAAGTAAAAAGAGCGCTGGTCACAGGACAACTCATTGTGGCCAATTTTGTTACACAGAATGCAAACGATAATGTTTTCACTATCGGTTTCTTTGGGAGGAAACATTTGGTGCAATACCTTCTTTCTCCAAAAAAGACACCTCTTTTCCGTATGACCCACATTTCGACATATATAACACGTTTGGTGCTTCTGGTATTCTGAGCAATTGTGGCCCTCTTTTTGAGTGCACCTGCGACAGTTTCTGCAATGAACATAGGACGGTTTTACGCACAATCCACACTGATTACAATGAACATATGTTGATCCGTTTTTTGAAGGGCAGCATTTACATATTTCACAGTGCCTATTCTCCAAAGCTGTATATTTCTGACACTTGGAGCAATATTTATATTGCTCTTTAACAGGTAGCTTCAGTATGTCCAAAGGAACATTGGTAAATAGACGCACAGGAGATCCTTGCTTGCGTGCTGATTTCCCAATGTCGGTGTAAGAGTCGTGGTTGGTGTAGTTGATTTTATAATCCGACATCTGTAATGAAGGCAACACTTTCTGTATGTACTGAGCCAGGAAATATGGGAAAACCCAAAAAATAGGCAGTGGTTGATAAGGGATTTGATTGATTTTACTGTAAAGCTTTGATAGTTTATTCAGTGTGCTACCTATCAATTCCGTGCGACAGCCAAATGGAGGGTCAGTAAATATTAGAAGTCTTTCATCGCTATAATAACATACAATCAAGTTTATTTTAGTGCTAGTCTATTTCGCAAATTTATATTTCACTTGGCTATTTAATTGCTTCACAGACTTACCTCTGGCATTTGAGAAATTTGAAAAACTCCTGTTTTTGTAGTTCGTCGAAAAAGTGATTGTTGCACATGTTATACCATGCAAAACTTGTGTCGTCATAGAAGTAAATGAAACGATGGTCAAGATCCAGTAGATAACTCTTTACTTGATTCGAAGGTTTGGAGGAGAGATAACAATGTAATCGGGGAGCCCCCATACAAATAATTTTACTGTAAAACATAACACAATGTTCCTCACATTTTGACATAACTGGCATCCATAGTTACCTGATTTTCAAGTCGTGCAACGTATTCTCAAAGAACTGCAGCGACTTTTCATCGAAGAAATACTGAGCCTGTGCCTTATCATTGTTTAGGGGTGGTAGAAAGAGAGTGGGATCCTGTATATAATGTTTCGGCAAGTTTTGTTTTACATTATGATCGAAATGCTTGGGCAAGTCATCGTTAACTATCGCCTTGTTGCACGACAAACAATAGTGTTTCTGCGTGTCCTCACCATCCTCTAAAAACTGAACAGTCACATTAAAACGACTTGGAGATCTTCGCTGAACTAAAAATTAAAATACCTCCTTCCTCGCGCTTCGGTACAAAACAGTGGATGTGTCGTATTGCCTTCTGAAATGTTTTACATTTAACTCTGACGCAGGTACGTTAAAAGGGCACAGTTTTTTATCCCTATATGCCGAACACCCATAGTAACCATGTTCTGGTCCCTTGTCCTCATAGTAAAATAGAATAGTTGGCCCATGGACACATTGAGGGTGTATATCGCCTTCTTCGTCATCCTCGCACTTTACTACTAATCTGTTCTGCACATCTGGAAAAGTGGATATATTTATAGTTGCTACATGTCCAAATTTTAAAAAATACCCTCTCTGTCCAAAAATTCCAATTCCTGCTTCATTTTATGGCGGAATTGTCTTTTTCACATCACTCACACCACCCACAAGAGCAAAGCTTCAAATATTAAATTGGAAGTTAAGTTGACGGTCGGATTTGTATTAATGTTTTTTAAGTTTTCTTATTCACGCATAAACTCACACATCCACTTGCCACACGATCTGTCAATTAAATTTAAATTCGCTGCAACCAAAACAAACTTCAAAACTATAGTAGAAGAATACTGGTAGTCGCATCGCATAGTTTCTGGGACAATTCTTAAATCGAAAATTTTAAATGAAAATTTATTCAAATTTTCAAAAATTGTTGAAAATTACATATTAACAACCTACGTTTGGTGTCGTATAAGAAAATTTATAAAATGTACTTATTTTTGAAAAAAAAAAAAAAAAAACATTTTAAAATTTTTTACATAGCTACAATGCAGTAGAGCTGTTATATCATTGTAGAAGAATATAGGTAGAGGCATCAACGCTTGGGAACATTGATATGTCAAAATTGTTAAAATGCCTTTTTCTTAAATAAGTACATTTTAAAAGTTTTCTTATACGGCACCAATCGGATGTTTTTATGATATGCATTTTTCAACAATTTTTACAAATATCAAAAATTTTTCATAATTTCAAAGTCAGTTTATCAGTCCATTATCCCAGCAACTCCGTCGACGCGTCTACCTGTATTTTTCTACCATGTGCTATACAAACAAAAAATTGACAGCAAACGTATTCGCCCCAAATTTCTTCTGTCAAGGCGAAAATATTTATTTTCGCCTCAAGCATTAATTTTGACATTTCATTTAGTAAAATAACAGCTGTTTTTAGATTAATTCGCTCGAAGGAAGACCTTATAATTGGGCCCAAGGTAGATGTACTAGGTAATCGCATCAGCCCAGCTGACGGCACCATTAAATGTCAAAACGAATTGTTGTAATGAAGAATTCGCCCTAAATGAATGCAACAACAAATTTGTTTATGTTGTCTTCCCTAAAAGTACCTTTTTATAATATTTCAAATAATTTAAGAGTAAGTTAAGAGTGAAACCAGTAAAAAATTAAAAGAACATGAAGGAAGGAGGTTAGAATGGAGTGCAGCTTTAAGAATTAAGTTAGCCTCAACATCTAAGATTCCCAAAGCACATCACGGGAAGTAGTGCAAGAATTAGACTCTTGTCATTTGCAGTTCCGGAAAACTTTCGGTTTAAACCAGTAAAATATAGTCATTACACTGTACGACACGATTTTTCACCCATGATCAAACTGACAAAATTCTGAAAATATAGCTCAAAATAAAATACACGTATCTCCCAGTTTTTCTAGATCAATTCATTTAAGCTTTTTACGAGCAATTCAATTTTTGGAGTATTAAACATTAAAAATGCAATTTTTATAGTTGTAAATTAAAAGGTAAAACTTAACAGTTAAATTAATTTAAAAATTTTATACGTTTATTTTGACGTTTGTACATATCGGTTCTGGTCTCACGGCAAAGTGACCAACCTTTTTACACCGGTAAGCAGAGAAAAAAACTTTAAGATCACAACAATCATCCATGTGTGTTTCTTGTAGTCTATTGAATCCAAAATTATCTTCATATTTTCGTACGTTTCAACCATACAAGTTGCGTAAGCAATTGGTACCGATGGATATTCATTTCCAATATGAAGCAATACCGCCTTCAGACTAGTCACCGAAGAATCGATAAACAATCTCCATTCCTGTGCTATATGTGGATGACCAATTACTTTAAATAACGCATCAATATCATTGCAATAGCAAAACTGCTTTCCAAAATCTTCATGGAAAACAAAGTATTCACAAAATGGCTCTGTATTCCCTAGCTTACGTGCAGCTGCTATTTTAAAGTCGTTATCTACCAAATCTCATTGCTTTAAACGAGAACCCACTACCTCTGCCGACTCTTTTGACATTTTAGCATCGCGAACCATGTCATTAAAGTCCGCTTGTGTCACAAAATGTGCTGCTTCTGAACCGTATTCACTTGTCAAAAAACTTCAATTTCCTGGCAAGCTATATTCTTTTCCGAAGGAGCTGTTGGAAATTGTGTGCATCTAAATTGTGCCCTTATAACTGATTGAAGGTAAGGGTAAACAATTTTTAGCGTGTGTTATAACGGAACCCACGAGTCTCTGTTAAACAGAAATAACATTGTTCAGATGAGTGCTCAGTCCGTCGTAACCAAATTGTAGGCCGCACATATTTCATTTTATGTACAACCGATCCACTTTTCCATCCATTTAAACACCGATAGCAATAATTGCAGATTACTTCTGGCACGTACCATAGGTTTGGAACATATGAAACAACGAAATACTCTTCAACACCTTGCACCAGACTTGCATTAATACATCTTAAATGCTTTGGAGGTGCAAATAAGCCACAAACGTAACAAATTTTATTTTTTTTGACACTCCATTTTTTAACCGTTTGAACACTTCGCACTGTTGTTGATAACATCAATGTTTTTAATATCTAGGGTTACTAGGACATTAAACATATATAGGTATATACTGGCTGAATACTCCAAAAATTGAATTGCTCGTAAAAAGCTTAAATGAATTGATCTAGAAAAACTGGGAGATACGTATATTTTATTTTGAGCTATATTTTCAGAATCTGGTCAGTTTGATCGTGGGTGAGACCAAAAGTTTAAATTTGTCGTACAGTGTTATAAGTTTCTTTGTTTAAAAAATATCGCAATACTACAATTAATACTTATTTTACTCTTATTTGTTTTACAATAAATACTTTTATTGCGACGTTCGTTTACGACGAGAGGGACACAAAATAAAATGTAAACAAACACCTCGTTTCTGATTGGTTGAAACAAATTTGCCGCAACTTTTAAATGTCATGGCGAATCTATGTTTTTCGCCTTAGATGCCAATTTTGACATTTGAGGGGACCACAAAAGTTGCTTTGTTGTAGCAATTCGCCGATGCGGTTACCTGTTAGATCTACCTTGATTGGGCCATGATATGAACTTAAAAACCGAATCAATTTACCGCCGAAACGCCACCGAAAAAAAGTAGTTACGAACAAAGGACACTACCGCAGCACTGAAAGGAAAGGCAGCACAGAAAAAATCTGAATAAAGATGTGGAATCAAAACAGAAAGGCTGACAACATGGTGTTCCCTGGATCGGAAGTTTTGGAACATGCATTCGCAATGGGCGGACGTTCACACACAGTATGTTCAAAGTATTCAAGAGAGTGTGCATACACAATTGAAATGAATTTGGTTGTCAGATAGTCTTACTGGCCGACCTTATGTAGTCCATGGTATGACCAAATAGATTGGCCATGATATGTACCTTGATAGGACATTAAGTGTGTGTGATATCTGGAAACAGTTGTTACCAACTCCCGGGACACTATGTTCTTTCGCCGTGATTACCCCAGCAAACATCAAATTTACATTTGCCCCTTGACTAAAGGTAAAAATAAAAAAACGACATGTTTTGTAAAAATACGACTTTATTGCAAAAATTAAAAACAGTTAAAACAAATATTATTTAAGATTTAAACTTGACAAGAGATAGAAAGTCTGCATAAAACAAACGTCTAAATTTTCCTTCGTCACTATAGGAAGACCGTCTCGTAGGGAAAACTTAGAGTTTACACATTGCCTTGAATTTGAACAAAAAAATTAACTTTATGTGTATCATTATTTCCTTCAAATACAAACTATCACAACGAGTTGTTATACAAAATAATAAGTTCAACTTAAATTTATAGAATATTTAGCTGAATTTGTTGTTTACAATCATTAGAGTTTCTTAATTTTATATTTATAATATATTTACTTTAATTTTGTTGATAAGATTCAATTTACACATTTGTTCTGTTTGTAAAAAAGTAGAAAATATATGCATATATTTGTTTGTAGTTTTCTTAAGACAAAATATTATTTTAAATTTGCTTATTCTTTTACTTATTAGTGGGACGGACATGCACTTTGTTCTTAAATATGTAGACGCGATTTGCTTGTAGTATATATAAATGTATGTATACATAAAATTCGGTATAAAAATTTAATTGACATTTTATAAGGCATTTTGTTCTTTATCCTTGACAAACATTCGGATAATGTCCGACAAGCTATATAAAATCGCAATCGATTATTCTCAAGTAATATTGCTTCGCTTCATCCAATGACTGCAGACTCCTTTAATTGTTGTTGTTTTTTTTATATAAAATCATTCTTATTTTCAAGGCCGCATAATAATTTAAAAAAATGTTGTTCCTATACGATAGGCTGTTTTGTAATATGAAATTCCATTGAGCATGTATATGATACAGTGTCCTTAAATAAGGCCGATTATGTGCTATTGCTAAATACAGGTTCTTTTTGTTAAGAAATCGTGAATATTATTTGATCGATTCAAAATACTACGAGAAATCGAAAACATTATTTTTTTAAAAACAATTTATGTTAACATATGTTGTTCGCCATATATCAATGCCAGTTACCATTTTGTTTTCCTCGGCTTCAGGCGCTAGGATCACCTGCACACATGCAAGATTGTTTCTTCGAAGCCAAACTAATACTAATTCCAAATTTACATTCGTACGCTTAAGTGTGGCGCTTCAAGAAAAGCATATCAAAATAGTGGTCAGTCTAATTGGGTTTTATGTATAAATACTTGTATTTGTAATGGTATTACCGATCGGTAAATATAATGACAATAATATACAAATGTTCAGGCGATATATGGAACGCCTTGACGTCAAACAATGATATGTGTATTAAAGAAAGAGTGATACAAAATAAACATTTGAACATTTATCGAGGGTACGTCTCTAATCGAATTGATCGATACATATTGGATTTGTACTTAATTTTAGTCGATTATAAAATGTGTTTTGTTTCATTATGTATGCATACGAAACGATAGATAGACTCCCTTCGCTATTTAAAAAAAATACAAGCTAAAATCAATGTAAACTTAGATTCGGGGGATAAACGTTTCAAACGCCTCGTAAAAATTAAAATATTTATGTATATACCTAAAAATAATTTAAGACTAAAATTGAACTGCGCTCTTAATACACGCCTCTATATACATAACACACAAAAAGAAGAAAATTACGATATTTTCAATAATGGTTTGCAGATATTAATTCAAGTAATGTTTTTGTAGCTTCGAAGTGGAGACCTAAGTAGATTTAGTGCCAACATATGCTCTGTCAGCATCATCAGCATAAAACACTAGTCGAATCAATATCACCTGCCTGAGTGATAAAAAGAGCGTCATTCGTGGAAAATAATTCAAACTAAAACTAACTTTAAACTAAACAAAACAAAAACGTTTTATAAAAAATTTTACTAAAAACTGGTTGTAGTTACCCTTACTACTAATGACCCAGAGTCGATGCCAGCATGCAAACAGTCCATAGGATCATATGTATGTGCGTTTGACCTTAGTCAGTGTCGACGTCTTACAGGGCAACTCTTTTTCGAGATTCTCCGTAGAATTTTTACACTCGTGACTGCGATCTTTTTCTAAATCCAGGCTGGGTTTGCCAGGATGACAGTAGTGATTGGTGTTCATCAGTAGATTTATATCTTTGCCGTGCTTTAAGCCAAACGTTCTAGAATATAGTGAAAATACACGATTAAGCAATTGAATGTACCAGAAAATATTCCAATGTCTACTTACGGGTTCGCATTAAACTGATTGCGATGGCTGCTGTGTATGGATGGAGGTTTGCAATTACGTTTGGAAACATGAAGCCCTACCACCATGCCAATAATGAAAACTAAAGCAAGTGCCAACGCTCCAAAACCCCAATAAAAGCTTTTCCCGGCTAACTGAAGTTTTTGTTCCTCGCCAATTGCGGTGGATTGAAGGGGGTCTACAAGAAAAATTAATGAACACATTATGAAAATGTTGGGCAAGAGTTATAAAGTGACTTCTAAAGCTTCATACCGTTAACTGAGTTCATTAAGTCATGTGGATCTACAGACTGTAGCGTAATTTTGTTCTCGTCGTTGAAAACATTGAGGAAATCACCACCGACAGCCGTTGGTATTTCTATTCCCGGCGAATTAATATCATTACCGATTGTTGGAATGCCATTAACCGAAGCCACATTCGTGTACACGTGTTTCCTAGCCAGCTCTTCCTCCGGGTTGTGTTGTGTGTTAATTTGTGGATCCACATTATTGTCGATTGGCGCCCCGAAGTTCAGTACTGGGCCATCGGCAATAACTGTGCCCCGGTTCGAAGATTTTGGACACAAAGATTTGGCTGCCTTTTTAGTGCTATTCAGCGATTGGAGAAAAGATTTAGTGCCAAATTTGTGATTAGAAAACGACAAGCTTTTGCACTCGTGTGTCTGTTGGTCCCAAGCGCAGTTGGGATCCTGAAGACTCAGGCAACTTGCGCAGTCTACGATATGAGCACAGTGGTGAAGGGGCACAGTCACAATTGTACCGTCGCTGACGACTAACAAAGTGTTGCTCTTGGACGAAACAACCATTTCCCGCACGGGTATACCCAACGGCAGAACTTGTAGCTCCGATATAAAGACAGTTTTTATGTCGCTCTCATCATCGTATGTTGCACCACTGGAAGCAGTTGGGATGTTAATGAATTTTGTAATTTTACCGTCGTCCGTGCCAGCGTAGATAACGTCATGGAAATCTCCATTCAATGCTTGAACTTGTGGGTCGACGGCTATAGAAGTAAGTCGGTGAAGTAAATGAACCTTCTTTAGTAAAGGACGACCAAAAACTGAGGGCACAGAAGACTCCATCAATGGATGATTTTTCACAAAGTTAACAGCAATGCTGGACAGGGTCCGGGAGTCAGGAACACATTGGCCTGGCCGGGGTTCTGGAACTTGATTCTCTTGCACCGGCAGCCACTGTGATTGACTGTCTTTTTGAGATCTGAATCGTCCTTCAAATGCCTCCATTATATCATCAATATTAAATGCGCACACGGCAGAACCTGGTATAGCATTTACAGATGTAGTGAATATAGCATAAACCAAGGCATTGGGCCCACTCTCAATGACTGGACTTAAAGCTTCTGCAAAAACATGTTTTGTAGTATTATAATTTTCTTGTGGAGATTTAAACACAAAAACTTACGAATTTCATCAAAGTAGAATGGGTAATCTCCGGGAACAGAGCAGTTGAGTCGCGCCTTCAAAAAGGACGTCCAGGTTTTACTTAAAGTGTTACGACCTCCGCGGTCATTCTTACAAACTCGACCAACTCTGGAATATATAGTTTTGCCAAAGTTCATAAATTCCATAGCAATTTCCCGGAAGAAGAACATAACGTATCCGTTGCGTTCGATGGCGCCGACAAAATCAGGTTGATTAAGTTGTTTCAAGTCGTACTGTTCAGTGCGTAGATTTTCGCGATCCCTATAAATCAGTGGATCACCACCCGAGAAATCGGCAACCGTGGCACTATATAGGCTCCCGTCCGCATACGCGTAGGTACTGTTGTGTACGGGACTGTATGGACATTTTCCTTGGGCTTCAACGTCGTCAACAACGGCGTATGTTATTGGAGCATTGGGATGGACCTCGTCCACGACCGGTTCATAATTACGACATCGAGGCTTGTACGAGTTGGTGCCGCAGACCATGATCATGTCATTTGGTAAACGGGCGAAAACTCTTATGTAATTGTGACAATCCGATTCACGTTTGCCCTTAAGGGCACACAATTCCCTATCGGCCGCAGATGACGACCATTCAATGCGGTTGTTTTCACGTAATCCATTTATGCTTATGTTGTAAATGACATCCCTATGTAAGAGACAATTTAGTTTAGTCAAACAACAATAGCAGATAACAGATGTAAATATCAACTTACCTAGCACCGACTAAAATAGTTTTGTCGTCATGATCTAGTATTTTGAAGTAGTCCGTAGTGTTTCCTACTATTTTTGCCAGTATCTTATCTTGCTCTGAAAGTAAGCAAAAAAAAATCAAGTGAACATCATCCGATTTCCTTGAGGCTGCGTCAGTGACGTTCTTCAGCTAATTAAATGTACTTACTAGTTTGCAGATCAGGTCTGACATCAGGCATCCATGCTGACGAGAAATTTATCAAATCTGCTACACAAATTAGCAACAGTAATGTTATACACGTCCGCCTACCCTTTATCAGCGGCCATTGTGCGCCGGGCATATTTTTGTTAAATCTATTGCTACTTATGCTAAATAGAGGCTGCAGTTTTAACATGTTCTAGGGTATGCAACTCACGGACAGAATTTCTCCACAATTAAATCGATTAACAAGACAACAAAAATCCGTAACAGAACTCAAGTACATTGGTGGTCGTTATTCCGTGGTGGCTGTGGCAATGTCTGTCCTTTCCTTACTGATGGGGGTGTTGTTTGATTCAAGTGGTGGGGTGTTGGCTTGTGGGTGTTTGTCAAAGCCCCTCGACCGTTAAACAATTAAAGGGGTAGTTTAGTTAATATAATCCATTGTGCCGGAAAACGTAGAAGTCTCCCTGTTTTCCAGTTTCGCCTCCTTGTTGGTGCTTTTCGTATCAGCAATGCAGGTATGTGTATTGACAGATATTTAAATGTCTGTAGAAGGTACTTCAACTGAACATTACACAGATCCGAGGAATATTAAACGTTCAATCTGCAAAGAATTGTAAAAGTTATTTTTATTTAACTTACTCGATAAATTGGAGCACTGATCATTTCCACTGGAATTTGGTATTTAATATTAATAAGTTATGGCTCTGTAATTTCCTCTTACATAGACTTGGTGCTTGGTTTTATGACGGCGCTTTGAAGAAGCAAGTATCACAGTCCATCAGAAGCAGATCAAATAATTGTACCCCATGATGTTATATTTAAGAACGTTTTCTTTTTATTATAATTATATTTTTGTTACCGCGCTTATGTTTTTCGCATTATTCTGAGCTCTGCTCATTTGACTTCCTTATAGCACCAGGGTCTTAAAACAACTGCTTTGAGGTTGTTTACATTTTGTCAACTCATCATAATTTTCAACGTAAACTTTTATGGCTATTTTGCCAAATAGAACGAGGGCTGCTGCGGTGATGTGTGCCCTTCTTCTACTGCTCTTGCTGACTCTTTCGCTTATCGTGGTGGTAACTTAGGTTGTGGAAAATGTATATATGTATTAGCTGAAACATATCAAACGACCAACTGTCTGTCTCTCGAACGCCTTAAGACAGGTAAGTACAGGCGAGCAATGGAGATTGTGGTGAGCCAGTTGGTTTAGCTAGATTGTGTCTACATGATTACAAAAACAAAGCTGTTTAGTGGGAACAACAACTGCTATTAGCATAAAAGGTATTGTAATATGTGAGGTAAACGAGTCTACTCGAACGCGAAGAGAAATGAGTCAGTCAGAGAGCGGTGACAATGAAAATAGGTGTGTGTGCGTGTGTGTGGACAAAAAAAAAAACACATAATGAACTGAAAATAGTTGTCACAGGATTTTCCCGTAACTACTCGGAATGATACATTGGAAAATTTGATCGGAAATCACGTGCGGAAAATGTTCTAATATATCGCAGGGCTCGACGTAGACTGTTTCAAGTACGTGACAAAGTCACTTTTGATGTTTATCATGTTGAGAACTTCCTATTGTTCAAAAACACGTAAACTAATTATGCGAATGCCTGACACATGCGTTCAAAAGATACCAACAGGTTGGCTTTTATGGAAAATATCACACTTTTAACAATTTCTTGGAACTCAGTGTGATGTGCCTTTAATATTTGCAAGCCTATGGATCAATAAAAGCAAATAAAAAAATTCTTTTTTTACTAAACTTTAGCCAACTACGTTAAATATCCAGTTCCTTCCTTTTCTCCTCCGCAGTATTCTCAAAATAACCTCAGACAATTATGTGTATAGCTTTTGTCTCAGCATCGGATATTAAACTGCAGTGTAGATAACTATAATCTTTTTTCAACCTGTACAGCAGTGTATATTGTGACCAGTGTAACTACTTATTTGTCTTCATAGAACGAACACAGATGACAAGTCAATCAAAACTTTCGTTTCTTTATATGAAATTCAACATTTGTCTGTGCATATACGCGGACAGAATATTAAGAATGTTTATTATTGGTAAGGCAGCCAAACCTGTCAATGTTTAATCATCGACCACCTTATCTATCATTTTTGCGTCTTAAACTTATTCTATACGATTATGGTAATTCTAATTCTCGCATTCGCTCATAAATTTTCAATAACGGTGTAGACTTTCAGAAAAATGCCAGCATAAACAATCAAAAGAAAAAAGTTGGTATACAGTTGCATACCGGTTAAGTGCCTATAAACGCATACCGCTTTCTCCAAACTTTAATAAGCTTAAAAACAAATGATTACTGATTTATAAGAGGCAATAAATTGATCTTGTTTTTTTTTTTTTTTTTTTTTTTTTTGAGATTCTTACGCGTCAAGGAGCTAAGTGTCTCCAATGATATTTTTTTAATAAGGTCCACAAAACACCTCAGTTTTTATGAAAAGTACACAAAACACCCCATTCATATGCTTTATCTCCGACATAGACCGTTTATTTATTCATTTAACTTAAAAAATAGATTTCTATTTAAAAAGGTGTTTCACATTGCGTGTGATAACATGACTGTTTATAATTTGGTTCTCGGAAAAGGTTTATGAATTCTTATCTGCCACTACGAGGAATAAGTGGTTCACCTTTTGTTCTCAATAAGGATAGGACACTTTGACCTTATTTGAAATGGTCATTCTAGTCGGCTTGGAGATATGAGCCTTTCGTATTTGTTAATTAAAGCGTACGGCCGTAACGGTAACTTTTTTAAATATGTTCTGAACATTTTGTTTGAAAACTATTAATATTTTGTCTGTAAAAACGTACAGCTTTCATTTATTTGATATTTTTCGTATTGAAATTTTTCATATAGTCCATATTTTTATTTCTAATTCCATTAATAATTCACAATCAATTACAATCGTATTAAAATAGGAGGTCCTACATTCTTGATCAAATCACGGAAAAGAAGACTACACTGAATTTAAACAAGAATCTCGATGAGTCTTAAGTCTGTCGGTATTGGTTCCATTGAAATAAGGCTGATTGTCAACGATTCAATCTTAGTACATAAAATGTATAATATACTAGGGTTGAATTGTTGAAAATTAGCCTTATTATCTTAGAAATGCCTCTGATGCATTTGTTTAAGAGTAGAAGGGAATTACACACCTTAACTGTGGGTTTATCCGTATAGATTGTTGGAATAGAGAGAAATGTGATTTTTACCTTTTGTTTTATATAAATAATAAAAATAGATTCCTTTTAAAGCAAAAAAAAAAAAAAAAAAAGGTTTTGACGTTACCCACAAAACAATTAAAAATATATAACCAGACTTGTCTGGTGTGATTTAAACTCTCATTTTGTATGTAATAGGGTCAAATCAGTGTTTGTTTTCAAATAGATGTCACAGTACGGGTTTCTGGGCACCCCATTCACACATTCATGAAGAAAACTTGTAAGGTTTTGTTGTTCATTCGATACCCCAATGGCTGTCGCGCTCCCATCAGTTTCCCTCAATAAACAAATATTACAAATCTTAATATTATCTGTGTGTGTGTGTGTGTGCGTGCATATGTGTTGTAAGGAGAAAAGAAGTAGTGAATTGTGATAAGCTTTATACAACGATACTAATTGGGTTACAAACAAATGCACACACCCGCCATCGCCATCATCTCGAACACCAACACAACTCAAAGATTGTATGAGAAATGGTTGAGAAATCTTCAAAATGGTGTTGTGCTGCTACTCGCTGCTGCAGTGTTCACAAATGCTAGAAGCAGCTTAATGATTTCTGTCCGGGATAAATACTCTTAACGGCAATGGAGGGTGGAGGAGGCCATGGTAAAGCTGAAGACGACTATCAAGAGTGTGTGTGTCGTGGAATGAGGAGAAAAGTTGATCAACGGAAGTTGTGCGTATAACCATTGTGTCTTATAAAAAATGTTCTGTTTCTGATATACTAACGAGGGCAGGTTGGGAAGTAAAGTTACATTGATGCTTATATTTCAGTGGTCGCAATTACAAGGTAGGCTAATAATTTGTACGAAATAAAATGAGAAATACTTCATGACAATTCTTATAGGAATTCAGAATGACAACATGAGCAGTAGTTCTGTTCCGTTAAAAGCTTTGTTATGTAGAGTTGATCCTCAACTACATTTTTGATGGATGGAACTACCCCTTTATAAGATTTATATTACTTGTTATATATAGTTAGTGTTTTTTGCAGTAGTAAACATGTGACTTTGTAAATCAATTTTGATATATTTTTGTGTAAACCCTTCTCAATCTCCCAAGCAGATCTTGTGTTTTTACTGAAGTTGTATTTCTAATCTTCTCAAATTGTATTGAATAGTTTTTTTGAGTTTTGGAATAAAACAACATTTTAGTAACATTAGAAACCCTAAGTTGTAAAAATAACTTGATGCTTCATTAATTTTCTCGATATTCTTTTAAATTAATTTGATTAACCCCCTTACCTTGTACCTTTATAATTGTATCACCAAAGTAGCTATGTGCATCCCCCATTAGAGGTGATCAGGAGTGTTATCCTTTCAGAAACTTTCGTGCTAAGTTCCTAGTTGTTCAGTGATTCATGCAATGCACTGTTTTTTTTTTTTTTTTTTTTTTTTGCAAAGTGATAAGGGAAGTGAATGAGTAATATTTTTATTTTTGACTAAAAAGTCCCTCAGCCACAGGCACATGAAACTTGAAAAAAACGATGTTATTACTTATGTACGATCTGTTGAGGGAAACTAACTAATACAGGTATGTATTCTTAATTTGCAACAAGCATTTATTTCCTATAGGTAGTCTTCAAGAAGTTTTAGTTATAATTATTACTTTTAATTTATTATTTTGCTCTACTAAGCAATACAGTCTCGTTTTTATCTATTTACTTAAAAAATGCCTTGTTACCTCTATTTTTTTCCTATTGCTTGTTTTTGTTTTACTTACAACAATTCTTTTAGTAAGTGGTATGATCCTTGATCACATTTTCAATTCCAAAATCAAAAATTCGAAATTCAGAAAAATCCATTATGTATTGTGTATTTTGCGTATGTACTTTTTTCTATTATTCCGATTGAAGATTTTTGTTTAGATCCAACTCACACACACAGAACACACACTCAAATGCTCTTGTTTAAATTATTGATTGCACACAATTTTAAAGAGATTTTGAAACACCACAACGAACTAATTACAAAAGAACACTTGAAGTACCAATATACATACATACATACTTTAAGATATGGCACACAGAACAATTTACAATACTTCTATTTGGTACATGCTGTTAGCATTACTCCACAAGAACGAGGGGGGTAATAAGTATTTCTTCTTTGGATTATTTATTTTATGTTAGAGCTAGCGGTGGTAGAGAATTTCTTGTATTTTTGTCACCATTCAGCTTAGATTTCTCTTTGCACACATTTCCACATTTTGATGCATTTGTACTGGGTTTAAAAAGAAAATACACTGTTCTTCTAATGCACCTGTAGCTACTGTCTGTTTTGACCAGACCAGTTGTATTCATTGTTATAGTGGACCTGTTTCTCACCCTCCCTAGTGTCTTACCAACAAAAACAGACAATGGCTTGAATGTTTGAAGTTTTCTTAGCTAAAGTGGTGGCTGCCTTTACGTTGTATAATGTTGACTTGACGTTGAATTTCAAGTTTTTACTGCTTTATTTTTTTTCTTTTTTTTTTTTTTTTGCATAAATTAACAACAACCAACACAGTATACGTATACGCGATCGTTCCAATATACACACGCCGCCAACACAAGCTATTACCACTACGAACTACGATATAAAGTAGCTTGAAACTGAATCTAGGTTTTATCGGTGATCTTTGTTTCTTTTTGTTTGGACGGACTCTTGAGAGAGACTTATACCTCGTATTTTTTCGTCAAGCTCTTCTCAAAACCAGTTCGTCACACTCAAAACGTCGTAGAAAAGAAAATGCATCTCACATTCACACGGACACACACATTTACAAAACATATTTTATTTATGTAGTGAGCTGCTTCAATAATACCTCCTTGATTTTATGTATGTTTCAAACTTTTACAATTTATTTAGAAAACTAAAAACACCTTCAATTATTGTTTACTTTTTCGTCACATAACAAATTTTGTTTAATCACTTTTATATTTTTTACCTTAATCAAGAAAATTCTTTAAATTTGTTAAAAATAAAATCAATTTCATTCGTAGAAACTTAGAAACTCAAACACACAACAGATTTTTATGTATAAGAAGATTTTGTCATCGATCTGGAGAGACCTACTATTCTTCGAGTGGAAAGGAGAAGGAAGTAAAAATTTGTCTCTTTCTTCGTTACTTCACCCTTTTTCGATCTGGACAGACCTACTATTCATCGAGTGGGAAGAAGAGGGAATTATATCTTTTCCATCTTTTTTGGCAATTCTCAACAACAACTCTTTGAGTGGAAAGAAGAAGGACATAAAATAAAAATTTAAGAAATTAGACAAGACGAACAACTATGTTGCCAGCGTTTATCAATTCGACGGCTTAGTTATTATCGATAACACAACAACGACACAATAAAACCTTCTTCTTTATTTTGGTCTGTTCCAGAACTGCAAGAATGTAAAAGTTTTTACTACTATAACCAATTTTCCCTTTATGATATCGAAGGAAATTGCAAAAATAGCAGATTCTTGCAATAATATTTAATTATTTACTTGATTCCCATTCAAACCACTCTCAGAACAACGATGAAATGTGTGCCATCCCTAACAAATGAGAGCATTTATCGAAAAAATAAATTATGACATTTCAAAATAGAAAAATTAATGATATTTTCAAAAGTCAATTTTGTTTTTTCTCTCATCCGAAGTACGCTTTTTGACCACGAGTTAATTTCGACAGAAAACTGGAAACAAAAAAGGTAATATTTTCAAAATTTTTGTATCGACAAAAAATGTTTTGACAAGTGACTCTCCAACTGGATTTTAAAACAGAAAACATTTGTACACAAAGTTCAAAACAAGAATGACCTAAATGGCAGACCTTAAAGCCCAATACGACAAAGTCGTAAATCATTCATGAATGAAAATTGTTCAGTGAATGATAAAATAAATCTTTGCAGGAATAATTTAATAGTTTTAACAGCTGTCGGACGAGTGGCTTAGAAATGACAGCAGTCTGATGTTGGTTGCAGTTTTTATACCCTCCACCATACTATGTGTATTTTGCCAATAGCATCCATATAACGGTACCTCCCGATATTCGGTACTTTGTTGATTTTAGCGAGATTATTCACCGGAATTGTTTCAAATTCCGCATTTGAAGTTCGTAATGGATACTACATCCTATGATTTTAACAGAATTTTTAGCGGATTTTATTTTTTTTTTAAAACTGCCAAATTTGTACATAATATTATACTCGACATTTTATTTTGTACAAATCTGTAAGTATTTATAAAATGCGTTATATTAGGCTTTTCAGAAACAATTTGTATGTAATTACCGATGGTTTTAGTGTTAAATGTAGGCAAATACGTTTGATTCACTTTTTGAACAAAAATATAATACTATGCGTTTTTTGAATTCACCAGTAATACAAATATTTGAAAAAATAACGAATGGGGGCCATTAAGCCGAAAAGATTCTAACGTTTCGTTGTGCCTTCGGCATGAAATGCAACACTGTTGTGGCGTCTAGCTGTAATATTACTTCTCCCCCTTTCATTAAACTAAATTGCTCTGTCCCAGAACCTGAAAGTGTCTACAATTTTTTACTCCGATAACAATTTTCCCTTTATGTTATCGAAGGAAATAGTAAAAATGTACAGATTCTTGCAGTTCTGGAACAGAGCAAAGGAAAACGTTTTAAAATCTTTTTTTGGGATTATTTGATTTTTAGATATTTAATTCGACCTTTATTATATATTGTTACAATTGTAAATTTAATAAAAAACTAGCTCGTGGTTTTTGTTGTTGCTTTATTATTTATTACTTTCGATATTTCGTCCTCCAACGGAAGACATCATCAGGAACAATACTGTTTAAACATATAACAAAATTTTACAAAATATTGCCAAGCTTCGACGCCGACCTTGTGTTGTTGCCATCTGTTTTGTCACTGCAGCATTCTCTTATTTTATTTTGTTTATTTTTCTGATCAGATGTCTGTAACTGTGTGCTAGATTCTCTGTATCTGTTTTGTAATTTATTCGTTGTGATGTTGGAGTATTCATTATGTGTAGAGTTTCCAACATAAGTCGCTTTTGGTAGTTGTTCTCGCACTGTAGGATTCTCACTCTCTCTAATTCTGGGAATTTTACGTCCACATTTGGCTCACAAGTTCCATGGTAGAAGAATATAGTTAGACGCATCGACGCAGCTGCTGGGACTATGAACTGTCAATCCAATTTTGGAATTGAAAATGTTGAATTAAAAATTTTTTAAACTTGTAAAATTTGTTGAAAAATGCATATCTTTACAACCCACGATTTGTGTCGTATAAGAAAACATATAAAAATGTACTTATATTTGAAAAGAAATTTAAAAATTTTTGACATATCAATACTCCCAAGCGTTGCATCTACCTGTATTTTTCTACCATGAAAAGTTCTTACAAGCACAAAGATCCCCTGCCAAATATTGTAAGTTCTCAACGAACTGTCGAAAAGCTGTGTTAGCAGACAGTTTTCTGTAACAAACTGTTACAAATTTTACTGTACCAAGATACAGCTTTTGCTTCTGATCCTTGTCAGTGCAAAAAATCTTAAAATTTGCCATTTCCACCCATGTTTAATGGTTCAAAATGGCAAATTTTGAGAATTTAAATTTCTAATTAAAAAAAGAATAATGATTTTATGATTTTTAAACTGCTTGAAGTTCATTCATTCAATATATTTTATTTCGTTTTACGTATTTTACATTCCTGTAAACAGAGCAAATAACTTGTTATCTTGTAAACATAAGTCAATTCTCAAAATAGATATATTAAATAGCATATCATTTTGCGAACAAAAATCATTACGTTAACGGTTGCTCTGTTGCTCTTCTTGTACGCTAAGCCATGGCAGAAGAATACAGGTAGATGCATCAACGCTTAGGAACATTGATATGTCAAAAATGTTCAAATGTTTTTTCAAATATAATTAGATTTTTATATGTTTTTTTATATGACATCATTCGGATGTTATTATAATTCGTGTTTTCAACTAGTTTTACAAATTTAAATAATTTTTCATTCAACATTTCCAATTCCAAAATTGGTTTGACAGTTCATTGTCCCAGCAGATGTGTCGATGCGTCTACCTATATTCTTCTACCATGATGCTAAACTGTTTTTAAACTGTTTACCACTGTAGCAGAATCTAAACAAATAAGAAAGTCCATAGTCGAGATGAACTCAGGGAACTGCGGAACGAGTTTATCGAACGAAGCGGATTTCGTTCCGATCGTTCCACTCTCGGAATAGTTCCTTTGAACTAGTTCGTTCCGGAACTACCCAACTCTAATCATCTCGTTTTTGGTGAAGAAGTTTCATCTGAGTGGTTTCCGTTTCGTAATATTTAATATTTCAGTAATTTAAGATTTTTTAACCAAATATAACAGACTTAAAGCGAAATGGTGTTGAAGGAATACAGAATTGCTATGCCGCTGTCGTGTGAAGAGGTATAAATCCTAATATCCACAGCAGTTCCAACAACTCTAAGACATTAACGTTTATTTACCTTTATTTGTTAAGTATCAAATTGGACAACTATATATGATAGCGCGGCACAGTTTGGAGCAGTCTGGCGATGGCGAAGGAGTAGAAATTATCACGAATGAAGCGTGTGAGGATGCTGAATATGGAAAGGGACAATACACTGAAAAGAGGATACACTTATCAAGGTTTGACTGGTTTTTCCTTACCCCTGTGCGTGTGTGTGACGGTATTTTTTTTCTTTTTTAGTCGTTTGCCATACTGGATACAAGCTATATGCCCCCGAGTTTTCTATGTCACAGAAAAGTCGTGGAACTTCTTTCCATTCACAAAGACAGGTGAGTGTAGTTTTGATTTACCAATTGTTACTCATAATATCTTGATTTATACTGATAACTAACAGTGTATCATCTAGATGTTTGCAAACACAGAAAATAGGTGCGTCTGGTTACTCTAAAATTTGTAACAATTGTTACAAATTGTTACTGGAAGTCGTCTGTTTACCCGAAAGTTCTGCAAAAGAGAGCGGTTGGAGAGAGAAATTTTGACAGTTCTTTCAGTGAGAGTTTGCAAATTCTTGCTGGACAAATTTCTTCTTGCAATCACTTGCATCTCTTCTTCTTCTCATTCATCGACATTCAATCAGATGTTTTCTATTGTTTATTTAGTTTCAATTTGAGAACAACGTAAAAGAATGTGAAAAAAAGTAAATATTAATATGTAATAAGAAAATAAAAGACTATTTCCAACATTTTTATTTAAAAAACTTGTAAAATTAGTATTGCTTCCTTTGTTTTAATTCTCCTTATGGGGACAAATTGGTTTGTTTTGACAAATCAGCTGATTAGTTGCAAACTTCTGTAGGAATACCGTCTGTTTACTTTTCGCATTTTCCTTGCAAAAGAGAATAAAACTACCTTACTCTCTCAGAAAGAAGTTGCTGGACAATTCCTGCTGGAAAAGTAACCAGACACACCTAATATAACTGACTTAAAAGGTCAATTGCAAATTAAACACATAAAAAAAACGTAAACAAAAATGTTGACAGTGACACAATTTTAGTTTTTCACTGTGCGTATACGACCTGTTAAATGGACCTTGGACTTGGACCTCTGACGCAAAATAAAGCACCAAGTAAACATTTAGCACAATATAACTATTGAACCAAATATAGTCCTAAACTGTACCTAGTCTTACAAAGTTATTTCATTTTTTCTGCGCACATAGACAATTATTTGTGTACATATTATTGACATGGCAATTAGAAAGTATGGTATAATTGAATTGTTAATGTAAAAAATAAACTATAATTTCAAATTGGCCGACATGTATATAACGGTCAGCATATTGCAAACATATTAATCGAGACTTGTGTCTGCATACATGAATGAAACATAGTCGCATAAACCCGTAAGGAATATATACCTATAATTAATGTACCTATTCAATAAATAATAACACTAACCTATTTTTATTTTAATTTTTTTCTTAAATCTACTGTCAAATTATTACCAATTTTACGGAGTACAGAATATACGGTGAGTGCTATTGGTTAAAAATCTTCTGCAGTTATTCTTAATATTATCTTTTTGTTTTAGTGTTCCTTTATTCCTAAGCTAAATGTTTTTATTAAAACCAAATATGAGGACAACAATGGAACTTCTGAAAATGTATGTAGCATCACAATAACCATTGCAGCAACAGCGTAATTAACACTTAAACTTTTTGCTGTATTCCAGTGTCTAAATTTATCCGAAGAAGACTTAAAGAGACGAGTTATTGATAATGTGGACATTGCCTTCGATGAATTGCCAAACAACAAACATTATAAAAAGGAAGAGGACCCCAAGTTTTTCAAATCAGTAAAGACAAGTACATTACAGTAATCTGTTACAAATTATACAATTCGTTATAATGATTATGTTTCCTTAACTATATCACACAGATCGAGGCGGTTTGGTGGAAGGATGGCGTGAAACGGACAAACCTATAATGTGTTCCTATAAATTAGTTGATGCGTCCTTCGAGGTATGGGGACTACAGACAAAAGTGGAAGACTTCATTCAGCGATCCATTCGCGACGTATTGCTGCTGGGACACAGGCAAGCCTTTGCCTGGATAGACGAATGGTTTGGCATGACTCTGGAAGATGTCCGCGAATATGAACGTAAAATTCAAGAGGAAACAAATAGAAAACTCCGGCAAAGCAATGGTCAAGATGAAGCGCCGGCAGAGGAAACGAACGAGCATGAATTAGATGAAGACAAAAAAGAAGAACACAGGGAAGAAAGTAAAGATAGCGTGTAAAAAAACAAACGAAGAAGATATATTCCTAGCATATGAAACATGAAACTTTATTACACCCAAAGAATATTTTTTTAGATTCAATGTACTCAGGAAATGAAAAAAATACCTATTGACGTAGAATAATTGTAGTCTGTGTTGTAAGTAAAGAGCCTTCTTAAAAATGCAGCTCAAAATCCTAATTCAACTGCCCTTCTACATTACACCGCTTAGAGATTAAATATGTGTATGTCAGTTAAGAAAAATGCATAGCGTATACAATGCACAAATTTACTTGAATAAAATGTATTTATTGATACCTATATATGTATTTCGTTACTGTTATCTGTATAAATAGTTTCAATGTTTTCCCACCGCTGCGTGTCCCAGGAACTTTTCTTGTCTTTAAAATATGATTGGCGACTGTACATTATGGCAGTTTCATCACAATCCAAGGTACTCGACCATAATTTTTGTAGTAATAATAATCGTAACCCAACTTGCCTAATATTAGTAATATCAATGCGGCCAATAATCCATTGACCCAATCCAGGATATGAATTTTTGATTCGTCTTTTGGCTTGCAAACATCTTCGCGAGTAAGAGTCATCAGTCTGGACTTCTTCTCTTCCCCATCTTGTATGTATTTGCAGGTAATATTCCCCGAGTCCCTCATTATATCACCGTATTTTATAACAATCTCTCTAAAGCGCATAGCAAATTTACAGGAACAATGCCAAGGGTTCATACTCAACAATAAGAGATTGGCATTCGCATTATCTTCCAGTGCATTATCCAGGGCGTACACTGGTATCTGGAAATTAGAATAATGTCATTCCACGGATTCTAATATTCCGAAAATCCGATTCGATACTTACCTTCCTCATTTTATTATTTCTTAAACTGAGCAGGCGAAAATGTTCCAACCAATAGCCCCCTTCCAAAACATCTATGCTCTCGATTCTATTATTATCTAAATGCACATCGACAACATAGCGATAGTGAATGTTATTCCGCAACGGCGAGACATCTGAAATCTAATACAAACCCTGAATGGTAGAAGATTAGGTCTGCTATTTCTAACACCTTACCTTATTATTGTTTGCAAAGAACATGGTTGTGTTGGCCGGCAGATAAGCTGGTAATCGATTAAATCCTAAATGCGAACAATTTACTGTGTACAAAGGCATATGCGTTTTTGGAATTATGTGATGCATAATACACGAACAATTTTTCAGGTCTTCGTGGGACTGGCATGCATTCTTTAACGTCTTCGAAAGAGATGAAGGTGATGCAGTGCATAATGCTATAATTGCTAATCGGATGTTACAAAACCCTTACCACTTTATAGTGCATAACTGTCATTACATTTCTGTCTTTGAATTTGCGATCGCCACACGTTAATGTTTGACGATCAGCTACATAACTTGCCCTCTCTGGTATTAGAAGCCACTTCAAATTCCTTGTACAGTTCCATGGGTTACCTTTAAAGCATGATATTGACAATTTGAAAATTATCCATTGCCTTTCGCCATGTACATACTTACCGGACAGATATAGGCTTTCGAATGCCCTTGGTAGTAACAGCGGTGTATCGAGTTGTATCAATTTATTCCACCTTAAGTCGACAATTCTTAAGGGGTGTATTTTCTTAAAAGTCCTTTGTCCGATATGCGATAAATTCGTCCAGGAAATATTTATCATCTGAAGTGAAAGACGTGTCCTCATCGGGGTTTATTATTTTTAATTTCATCTAAACAAACTATCTACCTGCAAATGAAACATTTCAGGGAAATCGATAATGTGTGCCATGCGACTGTACTCAATGGTCAACGACTTAATGCGCGGGAATGCCTGTAAATCGACAACTGGATTAAAATCTCGCTCCGGCCAACCACAAAATATTATGTCTTCCAGTCTGCCCCGATACTTCTGATCGCTATTAAGCAGGAGCGGATTTTTCTTAAAGAACACTACACATTATCCCAGAAATGTTATACTACTCACTTTATCGACTGCAAATTTTTCCAGTTACCGAAGCACCTGTAAAGAATCAGGATTGCAATTAAGTACATGAAGAGAGGGTCTTTACTAGAATCTACCTCAATGCTCCATATTTGTATTTTGTACAGTTTCCAGAAACCAATTCAGGGGATTGTTTCCAATCGAGGCAGGAAATGTTGTGTTGCTGATAGTGTGGCTGATAATCTCCATAGCAAAGTCTATACGGACATGGACATGTTAAAAATAGTTAGTAATTTGATTGAGGACAAGGCCTAAATAGTTGTTCTCTGTATTAATACCAGAAATTTGACATTTTTTCAGATGTGGGGTAGTTTCATTTGTGTTAGGGCTTCTTTTCCCTTATCAACTGTTCTTCAATTAGAGTGGTCTGGACATAATACTTCCGATAGGATTCTAATTGAATCAACTACTCCTCTTTGTAATGTCCATATAAAAATCTATTTTGATAATGCAAAGCGTTCAGCATTGCAATGTGTACACTTATTTTTCTGTAAACAAAATGGACTGGAAATAAAAGTGCTAATTTATCTACTAAAAATAACAAGTAAACATAAACACTCCGAGTTCACGATCCTAATCTTTACGACTTTCTTGACAAGTTTTCAGATTTCGTTTGCCACTCGTCGACAGTTTATTACCAAGTGCTACATTATGTTGTTCTTTAAGAAATCATGTACCTACGTACACATGTATATTTGATGAGCACAAAAGCTGCACGATGAAGCTGCGTACTTCTTTTGTTGACCAAAAAAAAAAAAAAAAAACGTATTGGAACATTTATGAGTTTAGGGATTTGAAAAAAAAAAACCCACAATAGATGATTTTTTTCTTTTTTTATGGCGATGCTGAAGTAACATTTTGCGCAAGAAACAACAAACTTTTAATGGTACCGAACATCAAACAATTTTGGAATTTTAATGATGATGAGATACATACATACCAAAAAAAAAAGAACATAATTTTTATTCCGGAAAACGATGGGTTTTATAAATTCGGCAGTTTTATGGTTTGTTTTCTCTTGCCTTACACATTGTTCTAATAAACGGAAAATCAATGCCACATTTGATGTGTTAATTCGGTCCATTCTGGATTTGTTATTAATAGAAAAGGTGCCCTTGAAAAACGTTCTCAGTGTGTATTGGAAATTTGCAAACTATAGTTTAATGCCCCCAGTGGCCACATCGGAAAAAACATATAAGGTTTTTTGTATTGTACTAAAGTGCTGTATTTTTGAGATTTCAAAATTGAATTGAAATGTGAAGAAAATCTGCGTCAGAAGAAGCCTTCTTAGTCCTCCAAATGAAATAAATGTTTTGAATTTTCGCAATGTTCACAAATGCCAACCCCGCTTATCTTCAGAGTCTAAGCAAATAGTAATTTATACCAACACTAGACGCAGAAGCGTTCGAGTCGACTTGTATTGTGTACATTAATGACGACGTTTGATCCAAGTAATTAGGAAGACAATAAACTCATCAGAAAACGGTAAACATTTCTGGGCGTTTAAAAACTTGTGACGTTTTGCACAAACACATATGTTTTATTTTTGTTACATATCCATATTTGTTTATTTATATTAAACCGGGAGGGGAGACGAATTTTCGCTTAAGATATTTCCGTGTCCCAACCCATTAAAATGTTGAGGTTTAATCTGATCTTACGCACTTTGTCACTGAATATACGATCGCTAGAAAGACAATCACATATGGATTCCTTGGCATTTTACGTCAACGCGTTTCAGGTTGCTATTATTGTCCCAATTAGTTGTTGTCCTTCGTTGAAATGTCTCACAAATCCACAATCATTTTAAATAGGTAATTCAAAGTTGCCTGCCGTTGGCAAACTATCTTCACGTTCGCGTTTCTCTTGACGATTTTATCAGACTTCTGACCGCTTAACAGTTGAGATTTGAACGAAAAGCTTTTATTAACAATGTGAGGAGCTTTTTTTGGGACAATGAAGTGTTAATTTTCTGTTCAAATACCTCCGTCGCCCTTCTGGCAGCCGGCTGAAGAAGAAACCCCATTCGATGCGATCAAAGCTGAAGAAAACAAAACAACTTTTCAAACGATTGTTAATATTTTTATTTGTTGGGCTTGTTCTACAAAAACACACACTTGGTTATCAAATATCTTGGCTGTTTAGCATGCAGCTTCTTGTTGTGTACTTGCTAATACTAATTAGATTAGACCGTTTACAGGTTTTGCATGGAGAGATGTCATCGTGTGATAAAAAATGTTGCGACCATTACTCACTAAAGTGACAAGTAGAGCGAGATATAATATTAAATTATAAATAGCTACGTAGCAACTTATCCATTGAGAGCATAGTTGTAAAATTAAGTTTTAAATTGTACATTTTTCTAATCATTTTAAAGGGGAATAATTTTTCTACTGTTAAGAATGAGGAAATTCGACGTTTTTTTTTTAACCGAAACCAATATTTGTTACCGATGTTAGAGATCTCCGGGAGACAAATATTAACGTATGTATTGCAACACTTAGTCGAGTACATTATGGTTCGAAATACATAAGGGCCATTCAAGGCAGGATATTAAGCAGAAATTATAACAATAATACAGTAACAATAAACAATTTAACACAAAATATAGTTTTTCAAAAAACGGAATGTATGGTAAACACTAACTACAAATAATATTCTAGTGGTATGGTCTTTAGATTCCGTCGTCGTCTTCATCTTCTTCTTTATAAAATCTGATCTTAGAGTTATTAGTTAAAATCGACTTGAAATGTAATTTTCGTAAGAGAACGTGGAAGGGGCTGTACTATTAGCGCGTCTAAAATAGTATATATGAATGTTCCCGTTCCAGGCGTAATTTGGCTCTCATTGCCACATTTCCCATCGGATCGGAGGGCGGAGGAATTCCATTTATTTCACGAGCTGGTTCTTTGTAAAAAATTTCCGTTCGTCCCGACTTGTAACCATAGAACACAGTATCGTACGACCGCAAAACCAAATCGGTTATCTCTTCGTGATTTATCATATCACTGTGCATAGATTCAAGGGTGCTGATTTCAACAGGATTCCACGGACCGTTACGCTGCAGTGCGTCCCATTTAGAATCGATGCACATAAAACTATAGCTACCATCACGTTTTTCGCATTCAACATTTATATTCAGTGTCTGGCTGAGATGAGACTCCATATGGGGGAATTTGGACACACAAATGTCAAACTGAAATGTTTTGCACAGAGGTTAGACATGGAAAACGTATCAACAGAAAGACAAGTAATTACGGACAGGGTTATACTAACCAATTTATGTACGAGCTTAGATTGCTGCGAACATCCCTCTTCCATTACCAATACGAGAGTCATATTTTGCTGGCCGCATATGTATAGTTCGGCTTTTTGAAGACCGTCACCCTGAGTGATGGCGTTAGAAGAAATACTATCCAGGGCGTCAACAGCATCATCACATTTCAAGGAACTACGCCGGCCAATGCATTTAGATGTGTTTAATGGAGTTTGGATTTCAATATTGGCACCCGGAGTAGCATCCCATGCTGGACGTTCATCGTTCAAGGCTAAAACAGAAAGTTTGGCCATTAGTGGGGTCAAGGGTACGGCACCCAATTGCCTGCGTGGCGGAACTGATGCCGTATTTTCCGAAAAAGACTTCAATGGCAGGCTTAAAGCTTTCTTATCGAGTGGCGTTTTGACGCTACAATCCACAGAGGGATCTCGCTCTAGATTTAGATTTCGATCGGGTATGATATTTTGAGTCGGTTTCTTCAGCGATTCGTCTAGTTTTTTTAGTTCATTGTCGAATTCCTTGAACTCTTCTATTAACTGGGCAATTTCTGCATCCTGTTTAGCATCCTCGCTGGCCTCGCCCCATAACTTGTAGTACTTTTCTAAAAACTCCTGGAACAAACTCCGGGAAATGGGTTGTCCGTTTACATTGAAAACCGGATTAGTTGGATCTGTTATTGTTTTAGATGTCTTATTATCATCGGAATTTTCGGAACTATCGTCATCTTCGTCACCGTTCTCGATGAAATCTGGAGAGGCGTCGCCGCCGTTCCGATTAACATCAGTCTTGAAACTTTGTGATATTTGTTTTAGAGAAATCTTTTTCGAAAATGTTTTCAACGAATCGTGAATATCCGTGAGGGAACTTCTTCTTTCTATTTTATTCGGATTGGAAATGAAGTTATGGAAAAACTTTTCAAAATCCTTCTTGAGCGAGTTTCTCTGATTGATATGTTGTACCGTGCTGTTGGTGTGCTCTGTTTTGCCGTTGGAATTGCACTCATCTTCGGGATTCGCACAAATTGACATTATATTGCCCACAGCCAATATCTTGTTCTCGGCCATGGGAGTGGAACACACGCTTGTTCGACCAATGTATTCCGGGTAAGAGTCATTTTCGTCAAAGTTAATCGATGATATACCCGACTCTGGTAATTCTTTGTTGGAATAATTTTTCACACGCAGCGGTAGGTGTGTGGGTCGGTTCACAATTGGCTTCGACCTGGGAGTTGGTTGACAGATCACTTCCTCGTTTACATTTTCAGCCAGAGACAGCGTAGTATTTTCCTCAGGTATGTGCGTAAAAATAAGTGACTTATCCCGTTTCATTTTTCGCTTGCTATATTGGAATGGCAACGCGCCCTGCCCAAGTTGGGTTGTTTGCAAATTTTGGGCCCGTTGAGCCTCTGCCTGCAGTTTTCGATATTGTTGGTTTTCTATATAAATTACTAGCATTGCGACTCCATTAGGTATGTGAAATTCCGTAGATGTTAACTGTTCCGCAGTTGTTCGTATGTGCAGTGGATCGGTAAGAATTATGTTTTTGGTGAGTGAATCGCTGAGTTGAGATGCTACAACCCTAAATGACGGAATCGTGAACTAAGTATTATAATGCTCATGTAGCAGCTGTACAATATACTTACTTATTATGGTAAAGAATGGCACCACCCAACACTCCCTTTGTTTCTTGACAGCACTGTAGTGTTTGTATTGCTTCCAAGAATATATTACTGGCTGTTTTCGGTATGCGCAGCTTGGGTATATTTTGGAAGACGTTTCCACTGTATTGGAGAATCGGAAGATATGTTTCGAATATGTGGTACAACTTCTCCGATAAGTTCTTATTTTGTGATTGCAGTGCAAATTGATCGTAAATGAGCTGCAAATCGCGGTGATAAAATTTCACGAGAGACGACAGCAAATCGGCACGATGTTGTAGAAGATAATCTGAAATATTTCGATCGGTACCCACGGCCTAAAAAGCCGAAAAATATGTTCATAATGCGGCAAAATGTGGAACAAAAAAATACGTACCAAGATAAATCGTCCGAACTCCTTAAAAACAAATTTCCCATTCTGCAAGGCGATAATCCGTGGTTTAAATAAACAGTCTTTTAGAAAATACGATGAGCCCATTAGCTGACCGCATAAAGCTACCTTTTGAGTATCAGAAACCCAACTGGGATGAAAGTACAATACTGCTTTTACAGGATCATCGGCTTCTTCCTTCAAGCATTCGGTGTCATAGACAAACACGATCATTGTTTCCCTACACACAAGTTGATATTTACATACATAGGTGACATTACTAAAATATTTTATTTGCAAAACCTTATGCTACACGTAATATACTTTGGACCAACAACCTCTGCTTATCCTGTATACTATTAATATTCAATGTATTTTCCGTGGCAGACCATCTTTTGGAGTTTTCTCTTCTCCATCTCAACATATTTTTTCGTTATAAAATACAATCGAATGTTTGTTTATTTTTCTTTTTGTGTGTTATCTTTGCGTTCTGGTTTTGTATGGCAGGTTATTTTTTGTTTTTAAGATAATAAAGTATACCTTGCCACGTTACAGTGAAAGTGATCAAGAATCAACAAATTCATAACTGTCATAATATGCATGAATTGACTGTTTTAAACGCATTGTTTAGCATTTAGCATGCTTGAATTTGAAAGCAACTTAAATTAGTTAACTAGAGTAGTAAGTCAACGAACTAAAGCATGTAGACAAAAGACGGAACATTTCGCTTCAAAACATCCTCATACAACTCTAATATATTTGCATTCCAAATTAAGGAGTTAACATAAATTTTGGATATACTGTGGTCGGGTAAACAACATTTTGAGCCGGCAATTTGTAACGCCAATTTTGTAGAATATTTTAATTGTATTATGGCCTGTTTTTGAATGACGATTCTAAAGTGAACTCAAAGGAAACCACACATTCATCGTATGTTCAATCAAATTTTTAATTTTTATCTAATTTGAAAAATGTTCATGGAATGAGTCTTCTTCCGAGTTCACTTTTGAATTATTATTCAATACTGACTGAGGGGAACAGTTCCCATTTGCACATATTGTCCTTCAAGACCTGTGTATGGGCAGGCAGATTAAGAGGAACTCTTCCTCTCCAATTATCAATATAAAAAATCGTTAAAACTAATAAAATCTTTCGGGAAGCGTGCATTGATCTGGTTGTTAAAATCACAAAAATAAAGAGGAATAAAAATATAAAATCAATTAACCTCTTCTCATCATCCGTCAGCAATACGCTGCCCAATAAACTTAAAATTTCCTGATAAAAAGAATCAAAGAAAGGCATTGTGCAAAATAAATTATCTGCAAATAAAAATAATGATTAAACAAAAAAGGGAGGTGCATATAGTGGGGAGTGGCAAATAAACAGGACTAATAATACCAATTTGTTCTTACTTTGCCATGGTGACGAACGGGAGTCTGTGGCTCGCTCACAATTACTGAATCAATCCAACGATGATTTTCCAAAAATATTAATTTAATTATATTTATTTATTTTATTTATAAATAAAATCAGAGAATCCTTCAATGGATTCATTTGTGTATGCGTTGTGAGACAATGGCAAGATAAAGAAGATAAAGATGAAATCAAAAGAAAAACAACAGAGATCTGAAGATCGAAATTGTCGTTCTCACGGTAAAGTGCTCTACCAATTAGCCCAAATCTAAACGTAGCCTCAAAGAGATTATTAATCTATTTGTTTGACTTTTTGATAGATGTTTTCACACATTTTACATTTGACAGCATCATAAAATTGCATGCGACTTGGCAGTGGCTGGATGATTCTTGTTCTACTAAAATAATAAATATTTTCTTCTGTAACACGGTTCCCTAACTAGTTAATGTGCTTATGTGGTATCACCTCCAATTTTGAACTTTTTGATTTCCCTTTATATTTCGTTCCCATTAATTTCTCAAGTTCCGTTTTGATCGCCATTCTTATTTTGATGAATGAAAATCGACTTGTTATCCCTAGCTTTGATGGTATACATTGCATTTTTGCATATAAAATAGATTTGATTGGAAATATAGAATTTGTAAACTATTTGGATATTTAAAAACAAGTGTTTAATCCGAATAATCGGATGTTCTGAATAAAATATTCCATGTGAAGTAATAAGTTCAAATAGAAAAACTTGTGTATAGTGCGCAGTAAAGTAATAATTTTGCAAAGCGTTGACGACAGTCTTCGTGTATTTTCCAATTGTCTGTTCTCCCATTTGAATGTTTTTGTGTTTTTTTTTTCTATTCGAAAAATAGACCAACAAAAATCTCCTAAGGAATTTAATAGAACGCAAAACAAATGATAAGAATCCGGAGGAAGATGGGTCCTCATCAACCACTGACACCGAATAACAACAAGGAATGGATATGTTGTTTCAATCTCCATGTCCTAACAGCAACTATAATGATTGGACTCTGGCATTTGGTAAGTCTTCAAATTTGTAAATAATCAATATTTCATTAACGGGCTTCGGTGTGGGGGTATGGCGTTTTCATTTTTTTCTGGTTTGTTCTTGGTTTTGTTTCACGTACCCCAATTCAGGGTCACGATGGAGTGGAGTTGTTGTATTGCATACGTATGTTGTTATTACCTTAATACAGAATATTTACTCAGCAAAATGTTTAATGTCAAATTTGTTTATGGGATTACTGGTGTATGTGAATCCGGAGAAAATCGTTCGACATTTTACTCTGTACATATTTTGCACATCTTTTCTATGTCTCATTAAACGAATTCATAATAACTCTATTTGATTGTTACAAACAATGCAGTAGAATAGAAACATTTTACTTTGGACATCCGATATAAGGCAATGTGTGTAAAAATTTAATACTTTTTAACTTGTTCATCTCACCTTTTTTAATGTTATGTTCAATAATTTTTAATCACATACGAAAAATTTAAACAAAAAAACAATAGACTACATTTAAGCCATTTTGACTATCTAGTTTTTGAATATCCTCGCTCTAAGCCTATTGGCGGTTATTATGCGTAACCCTCACATGATGGAAGAACTGGAAAACAGTTACGATTACAATGTCGACATGAATGCCCCAGCTTTGCCAACACCCCTGAGTAAAGTTGATCCCCCCTTTGCCTATCGCGATCACTCGCTTATCTACCGCAAACAATACCGTAAGTTATGCGCTAGCAAAATTAAATATCTATCATCTATATCCAAGGGCTTTTTGCATTTCCAGAGAGCTATGACATGGGCGGTCTAGTCTGTACTTGCATGATTGCCATTACAATGATGATGATTTATGGAGCTATAAAAGGAAAACCATCACACCTGCTGCCCTTCTTCTGTCTCCAGTTATTCGACTTTGCCATAACCACGTAAGTGTCTCGCATTTGGTGTAGGACCGCTTTCCCATAAAATTATTTAATTTATTCCTTTTATTAAGCTTGACCGCTGCTGGTTATTTGTGTTACCTTCAAGCTATCCATCGTCTAATAGACGAATCTCATCGTTTGCCGTGGCGTGAGAAGCTCTTGGAGCTGTCCCCTGAAGAACTTGTCATTGTGGTCCTGATTGTTTTTGTTTGCATTGTTTTCCTGAAAGCTTATGCCATCGGCATTGTCTGGCGTTGCTATAAGTATTTAACTTTGAGGCAACAAAGTATGCGCACATTGTTGCCTATGGGCATCTCTGACTTGGCTGGAAGCAGCGTGGGTTCCGAGGAACGGGCATATTCAACTCTATTGCCTAATTACGATGAAGCAGTTGCAGCATATATGAAGCAAGCCCCACCCCCATCTTATCAAGTAGCCATGTCTAATTTGCCCAGGGAGGAACCCAATAATGGCCCCGAAATAAATGTAGCTGCTGGAGCTGACGAAGACAACAATAATGACACTTCAAACAACAACAACACTGTACACATTAATAACAATACGCCAACCATGAGGCGCAACAATAACGTTTCGGGTGACAGTGCAGTGGCCATCGTTGGAGACTCAAATAACGATTTATCGCCGCCACCTTCGTACAATGAAGTTATTATCGAACCAGAATTGCCCACAAACAATGGTCCAACAACTGGAGGAAGTATCCAACATTTAAATCCATCCAGCTCTACTAACGTTCAGCCTAATAGCAATGAAAGTCACGCATAATTCAAGTTCGTGACAGTGACAGGGGTTTAAGCAGTTGTTTTAGTTATGGGTTGTGGTTGAATTTTTCTAAGATAGTCTTCGGTTTGGTAGCTGTGCAGTCGTTGATGAGAAGTCAATCAATTCTATTGGCATCTCATTTTTAACACGAAACATGTTACCGAACTTGTTACTTGACATGTTTGAAACGTTGTTTTAGTCGAATGCAAACCCCTTTTTTGGAACATGTTTTTTCTCTATTTTTATCACTTAGTCTTGTAATTGTGACAAGAACGCGCACCCCAATACATTTAAATTACTACACAAATTATGATATGTTATAAAGGATAACGCCAATATTAGTTACTCAAAATAAAAAAAGACATACACCTCACGTTATGTATTAATCCGAAACGCAGACAATTTTCTACGTTTAAACTCTCGTATAATTTCAATCAATAAACCATGAAATTCCTTTAGCCGTAGTATGCTGTCCAATTCTTAATCAGTATAAATTGCAATCTGCTGCTGTAGTTGTTTCACAAAATTGCAAACAAATTGGCTCTTTGTTTATTTTACATTATTCTTTTACTTACATATATATAATATATATTTAAAAAAAATATTAACTATGAAGACTTTTATGAATGAAGATTACTGATAGACTAATGTACCCTCATTAATCTGTGCAAAATATATATAAAAAATACAAACGGATGTTGTAAAATACACAATACACACGCATATGTACACATCCAGCAAAGTTATTCGAATATTATAGTTTTAATTAATAAAAATCAATGCCACAATGAGGTAGAATATATTCGAGCTTTTCTGAAAGGCTCGAAGATAAAGCTATCTGTGGTTCTAAAAAAAAAACACTTGTATTCATTAATTTCCAATAGGGAAGGTGGTTAAAGTTGAATCGGATGAATCACTATTACTTTGTATTATGGTATCGAATTAAAAATGAACCAAAGCACGACAAAGTGACTATGCCTGATTTTGATAAAATATCATAGAAAAATGCAGCGTCTCGAAATATTTTACAATTTTCTGGAAAATGTTTAAGATTTTGTTGCATATTTCTGTCGAAGGATGTCGTTCTCGATTTAAACTAATCTTTTCTTAGTGAAATACTAACTGGATCGGCTAACTCAATTCGAACACACTCAGTGGGGGCATTCCTTTGTCCATATCATATTTGGCAACGCAGAGATCCCAATTTTTCCCGCCATGCAAGCGTCAGTTTAAAAAAAAATTAATGATTTGGTATATTTTGAATTTGCATTCGATGTATTTTTTGAGACTACGAAAATACGTGTGCAAACTTGAAGGGAGACATCTATCAGGAGAGAAACTCGGCAATTTTTCCTTGTCAACCAACCATTTATTTTGTGCAACAACCATTGTAACTTTGCTACGTTTTTTTTTCACAAAATCCTTCGATACGAATCTTTGTGCGAGCAAAATGCTTAGTGTTTTTGCGTTTAACAAACTCGCTGAATAACAGGAAAAAAGGGAATTTTTCATTTTTGCAAATGACAGACAGTGTTATAGGAAAATACTAGGAACATCGACAAACCAAATTTCAAGTGGTTTAAAAACTGATTTCCCAAAACAAACAATTATTTTAAAGCCAGTTTGAATATAAACATGTTTACTAACTATTCGACTTATTTTGAAATTATCTCCTCTCGGTTCCGTTGCGTTCCTTTTCACATCCACTTTTCACTCTTACACTTTAAAGAAAACAGCACTTATGGTGTCGCTCGCACTCACTGGACTTTTTAGTTTTCGAAGAGAATCTCGTAACAATTTGTTACAGGCTATTGCGTCACCAAAAATATACACCTTACAAATAAATGTATGGAAGACACCAAATTTTCTTTATCTCCATATTCCGCAAAGATAAGAATGTTTTGGTTCGGCCATTTGGAAGATTTGCGCTGTCTTCCAATCAGTGGTGATACCAATTGATTCGGAATAAATCAGAGTTGGGGGGTCATAATTCTTGTAGATCTTATCGTCCAGTCATGATAAGCATTTGCAGAATACAATTGAGGAAGGCCTTTCTAGGAGTATAAAACTGGTGCCCCGTTTGCTCATGGTTGTTAGTTGATTTTCAGCAAAGAATTTGACAATGGTTTCGAAAACTTTATTTGGTCTCTTGGCCGTCCTCTTCTGTGCCCAAGCCGCATTGGGACTCACCATTATCTCGAAATCCGAATGGGGTGGTGCTGCTGCCACTAGTAAAACGTCCTTGGCCAATGGCTTGTCATATGTGGTCATCCATCACACTGCTGGCAACTATTGCAGTACCAAGGCCGCTTGCAGCCAAGAATTGAGGAACATTCAGAGCTACCACCAGAAGACTTTGGGATGGGCTGATATTGGTTACAACTTCTTGATCGGCGGTGATGGCAATGTCTATGAGGGTCGCGGCTGGAATGTTTTGGGTGCTCATGCTACTAACTGGAACTCCAAGGCCATTGGCATCTCCTTCTTGGGTAACTACAACAACAGCAAACCCACTGCTGCCCAAATCGCTGCTGCCAAGAGTCTTTTGGCCACTGCTGTCTCTCGCGGTCAAATCAAATCCGGATACATTTTGTACGGCCATCGTCAAGTCGGATCCACCGAATGTCCCGGCACCAACTTGTGGAATGAAATCAGAACCTGGGCCAACTGGAAGGCTTAAGTAGTTGTTTAATAATTGTAAACCTATCAAAAATAAACATGTTCTTTCAAGCGTAGTGAAGTTTGACTTTTTGTGTCTGTGATAGTTTTTATAACTTTGCAGATTTTGTTGGTTCCTTTATAACACTGTGATGGCATGGCATTAACTACGAAAATCAGTGCGGCGATATAGACATCTTCATCTGCGGCCATCTGGTTGGGGCCCACAATATTTTAAAAGTTAAACTTTAAATGAGCCGCTTCCTCGGAGCTTGGTTTGCTCTCCATTTAATTACGAAATAATTACTCATATTCACACACAAAATTTTCTTCATTCGATTCCTTCTCAGAACAACGATGGAATTGCTAGCTACCATTCCGAGCAAGTGATGGCATTTAAAATGATTCAAAGCATAAATATGTAATAAAATTCTGTAATTTCTCGGAGCAAATGCGATCCTGAATGAATAGTATAATTTTGTTTGCTCTGTGATCCAAGCATCGCTTCTTGTCTGTCCACAAATTCGAATCTGGATACAAAACTAGTAACGAGCTTCTCAAAATTATTTTGTTATTATTCCTAAAAAAGACGACTAGTTCGTGTGAGTGGGTTGATTGCTTGAATTTTCACAACCAGTAATATTGAAATAATGGGTATTGGTTGCGAGACATTTAAATATCAAATATCGTATACATATTCAATACACATAGAACACTTGGCAGTCATGCCCCAAACGACTTCCCACAAGCGGGATAATTAGACAGAGATACTCAAGATTCAATTAAATATTCGTTGTGGTATTGGTTCAAAATCTTCCATGCTGCAGAGGTAGAAGGAGTAGATGTTTGTTACAGGCTTGAATTTAAACGTCAATTAAATGGCTATCACAAGAAGTAAAAAAAAAATAATATTTTCGGCCAGGCCGAACTTTTAAAATCCCCACCATTGGGTAAAAAACTACAAATACCAGAAAGACCGTTTGGATAATGCTGTTAAACTTTTCAAAAAACCATAAAGTGGGTGAGGCCGTTGTATGGGGGCCATACCAAAACGGGAAACTCTATCGACAAATTTATACTTAAAACCATGTGATCTACCAAATCTTATTAAATACCAAATTTGTAACAATTTCGTGAGTAAATGTGACTAGGATTATCAAAAAAGCGAATATCGGTGGGTATCGTTATATGTGCCCTATAGGAAAACGTGGACCAAAATATTCAATGTCCTGTCACCGGAGCTACATCCCATTATGAACTGCAAATACCAATTTTAAGACAAACCCGTGGGAAAATGTGGCAAAAATCATCAAAATACTGATTGTCTGGAGGTACCATTATGAGGGGGCTATACGAAAATGTTGACCTACACATACATTGTTCCGCCACCGGAGTTAGAACCCATTACAAACCACAAATACATATTTTTAGACAAATCCGTGGAAAAATGTGGCAAACATAATCAAAATACCGAACATCGGGAAGTACCTTTATAACAAAAACCTGGACCGATATATCTCATTTTCAATTCCAACTGTTCTAGACACAATACAAATTGTTGTGCCAAATTTTGAAGCTCTACGTCAAATAATGCGGGCTGTATCGTGATTTCAACAGACAGAGGGACAGACAGCCAGACATCGTTAAATTGATTTAGATATTTAAGGATGCTACAAACGGAATGACAACGTACCGTTATATACCTTCCTTTTCAAGGTGGGGGGTAAAAAAAAATGAAAACACATGACGGGGGTATTTGTCAAGTTCTATAGCGACCATTCAAAAAGCTAAACGGTCATGGAGTCCAAAGTGAGAGCTAAACGTCCACAATTTCTATGGACATGAAGATTTTAGTTTTGGCGGACAGATAGAGGAGACATCGCCCGTATTTTATTGTACACAATTCTGTGTTAATACGGATTTCAGACTTTTCCGCCGACGAACTACCTCCTTTACGCATTCTTACTGTCTTTAGTGTCAATTTGCTTCGATAGGATCTTAGAACTTTTAATCCTACGTCAATTAAAGTCCCTTCGGAACTGATGTCGTCAGACACAATTTTTTTTTCTGGGATTCATGTCATCCTGTCCCCTTGTTACTCGTTCAAGGAGGGATAGTAATAAATTTGTCGTTCGGCAGGTTGAAACATTAAATTAAATGGTTTCGGGTGCAATCTTTTGATTAAGAGATATATGTATTCACTAAATTTATTTATTAACAGCGGGCGGAGATAAAAATCTGATAGTGTGCGGTATCACCACATTCTTATTGGGCTAACAACTTCAGTAGCCATGTCAGAGTTTCGTATATAAATGCCGTGGAACGGCGAACCATCATCAGTTGTGTTAATCGACAAGCATAGCAATGGTTTCGAAAACTTTATTTGGTCTCTTGGCCGTCCTCTTCTGTGCCCAAGCCGCATTGGGTCTCACCATCATCTCGAAATCCGAATGGGGTGGTGCTGCTGCCACTAGTAAAACGTCCCTGGCCAATGGCTTGTCATATGTGGTCATCCATCATACTGCTGGCAACTATTGCAGTACCAAGGCCGCTTGCAGCCAAGAATTGAGGAACATTCAGAGCTACCACCAGAAGACTTTGGGATGGGCTGATATTGGTTACAACTTCTTGATCGGCGGTGATGGCAATGTCTATGAGGGTCGTGGCTGGAATGTTATGGGTGCTCATGCTACTAATTGGAACTCCAATTCCATTGGCATCTCCTTCTTGGGTAACTACAACAACAGCAAACCCACTGCTGCCCAAATCGCTGCTGCCAAGAGTCTTTTGGCCACTGCTGTCTCTCGCGGTCAAATCAAATCCGGATACATTTTGTACGGCCATCGTCAAGTCGGATCCACCGAATGTCCCGGCACCAACTTGTGGAATGAAATTAGAACCTGGGCCAACTGGAAGGCTTAATTTGTCCATAAATGTTTGTTATACATTTAAAAAAAAAAAAAATCAATAAAATTTTCTGAGCTATAAAGAGTATGTCTGTATTGTAGTTTGAAACACAGAACCTATTTAAGGACTATATGTATGTAATGTCCTTTTCTCGTGTTTTCCAACGTGTGATCTTCTCCATTGCCAGACAAATTCTTGCATTGTATAGGGACCCACTAACCCCACTAACTCGTTTTGGTCCAAGCGTTGCCAATTTCAATTTGTTGCAATGAAAACGGAGGTAAAATGTTGTCGTCCCCAATTGGGAACGCGAGACATATTTGGGCGAGGAATTTATGTTTTGATTGAAAGAAATGCATGTCGATACAAAAGTTTTCCACACGATTTGCTTGTTTTTGGTTAAATCGACAAATTTCTGATTTTTTTTCCTTTATAAAAGATTTCATTCCACTGTTCCCTAGTGCTAGAATTGAGCCTCTGGTTTGATCCTCGCAGCGACATATCTTCGCTACAGGGCCTTGTAAAATATTATCAATGCTACTTAAAATCCCATCCTGTACCTTTGGCGCGAAAGTTCAGTGGTGGAGGGTCATCTTAGGTAATGTCGAGAAAAAAGTAGATCCTTGAAACGACTTTGTGTCTGACTTACGGACTGGTAAAGAGATTTCAGATAGTTTTCGGCAGACGATAAGTATTAAGGTGGGAAGAAGTCAGCCGATGACTTAAGCCAGTCGTATAAGCGCTTTATGTATTCCCACCTTTAAAACTTGAAAGCGTCATAAGCCTGCGTGAAATGACATAAACTCTAAAACTATTTTTAGAACATAGTTTGGAATGTTTAAAGGACGATGTTTAAACATTTTTCCCAAATCAACTGCAAAAGATCTAATGGATCTCCGTCTCAGCGACTCCGCTTGAGTTGAATATTTTTCATTTCTGCTCTTTTTGAATCTCTACAACTGATGATTTTAAGTACATCCTATACAAATCCTCCCACACCTCGCATCTTTGATTATATTAATCTAAAATAAAAAAAAGTTTTCCAATTTATGATCAAAATCCGAATATTTTTATTGTTTCAAATGATTGCAATAACAAAGCGAACCACTTAAGCCTTCCAGTTGGCCCAGGTTCTGATTTCATTCCACAAGTTGGTGCCGGGACATTCGGTGGATCCGACTTGACGATGGCCGTACAAAATGTAGCCGGATTTGATTTGACCGCGAGAGACAGCAGTGGCCAAAAGACTCTTGGCAGCAGCGATTTGGGCAGCAGTGGGTTTGCTGTTGTTGTAGTTACCCAAGAAGGAGATGCCAATGGCCTTGGAGTTCCAGTTAGTAGCATGAGCACCCAAAACATTCCAGCCGCGACCCTCATAGACATTGCCATCACCGCCGATCAAGAAGTTGTAGCCAATATCAGCCCATCCCAAAGTCTTCTGGTGGTAGCTCTGAATGTTCCTCAACTCTTGGCTGCAAGCGGCCTTGGTACTGCAATAGTTGCCAGCAGTGTGATGGATGACCACATATGACAAGCCATTGGCCAAGGACGTTTTACTAGTGGCAGCAGCACCACCCCATTCGGATTTCGAGATGATGGTGAGACCCAATGCGGCTTGGGCACAGAAGAGGACGGCCAAGAGACCAAACAAAGTTTTCGAAACCATTGCTATGCTTGTCGATTAACACAACTGATGATGGTTCGCCGTTCCACGGCATTTATATACGAAACTCTGACATGGCTACTGAAGTTGTTAGCCCAATAAGAATGTGGTGATACCGCACACTATCAGATTTTTATCTCCGCCCGCTGTTAATAAATAATATTAGTTAATACATATATCTCTTAATTAAAAGATTGCACCCGAAACCATTTAATTTAATGTTTCAACCTGCCGAACGACAAATTTATTACTATCCCTCCTTGAACGAGTAACAAGGGGACAGGATGACATGAATCCCAGAAAAAAAAATTGTGTCTGACGACATCAGTTCCGAAGGGACTTTAATTGACGTAGGATTAAAAGTTCTAAGATCCTATCGAAGCAAATTGACACTAAAGACAGTAAGAATGCGTAAAGGAGGTAGTTCGTCGGCGGAAAAGTCTGAAATCCGTATTAACACAGAATTGTGTACAATAAAATACGGGCGATGTCTCCTCTATCTGTCCGCCAAAACTAAAATCTTCATGTCCATAGAAATTGTGGACGTTTAGCTCTCACTTTGGACTCCATGACCGTTTAGCTTTTTGAATGGTCGCTATAGAACTTGACAAATACCCCCGTCATGTGTTTTCATTTTTTTTTACCCCCCACCTTGAAAAGGAAGGTATATAACGGTACGTTGTCATTCCGTTTGTAGCATCCTTAAATATCTAAATCAATTTAACGATGTCTGGCTGTCTGTCCCTCTGTCTGTTGAAATCACGATACAGCCCGCATTATTTGACGTAGAGCTTCAAAATTTGGCACAACAATTTGTATTGTGTCTAGAACAGTTGGAATTGAAAATGAGATATATCGGTCCAGGTTTTTGTTATAAAGGTACTTCCCGATGTTCGGTATTTTGATTATGTTTGCCACATTTTTCCACGGATTTGTCTAAAAATATGTATTTGTGGTTTGTAATGGGTTCTAACTCCGGTGGCGGAACAATGTATGTGTAGGTCAACATTTTCGTATAGCCCCCTCATAATGGTACCTCCAGACAATCAGTATTTTGATGATTTTTGCCACATTTTCCCACGGGTTTGTCTTAAAATTGGTATTTGCAGTTCATAATGGGATGTAGCTCCGGTGACAGGACATTGAATATTTTGGTCCACGTTTTCCTATAGGGCACATATAACGATACCCACCGATATTCGCTTTTTTGATAATCCTAGTCACATTTACTCACGAAATTGTTACAAATTTGGTATTTAATAAGATTTGGTAGATCACATGGTTTTAAGTATAAATTTGTCGATAGAGTTTCCCGTTTTGGTATGGCCCCCATACAACGGCCTCACCCACTTTATGGTTTTTTGAAAAGTTTAACAGCATTATCCAAACGGTCTTTCTGGTATTTGTAGTTTTTTACCCAATGGTGGGGATTTTAAAAATATTATTTTTTTTACTTCTTGTGATAGCCATTTAATTGACGTTTAAATTCAAGCCTGTAACAAACATCTACTCCTTCTACCTCTGCAGCATGGAAGATTTTGAACCAATACCACAACGAATATTTAATTGAATCTTGAGTATCTCTGTCTAATTATCCCGCTTGTGGGAAGTCGTTTGGGGCATGACTGCCAAGTGTTCTATGTGTATTGAATATGTATACGATATTTGATATTTAAATGTCTCGCAACCAATACCCATTATTTCAATATTACTGGTTGTGAAAATTCAAGCAATCAACCCACTCACACGAACTAGTCGTCTTTTTTAGGAATAATAACAAAATAATTTTGAGAAGCTCGTTACTAGTTTTGTATCCAGATTCGAATTTGTGGACAGACAAGAAGCGATGCTTGGATCACAGAGCAAACAAAATTATACTATTCATTCAGGATCGCATTTGCTCCGAGAAATTACAGAATTTTATTACATATTTATGCTTTGAATCATTTTAAATGCCATCACTTGCTCGGAATGGTAGCTAGCAATTCCATCGTTGTTCTGAGAAGGAATCGAATGAAGAAAATTTTGTGTGTGAATATGAGTAATTATTTCGTAATTAAATGGAGAGCAAACCAAGCTCCGAGGAAGCGGCTCATTTAAAGTTTAACTTTTAAAATATTGTGGGCCCCAACCAGATGGCCGCAGATGAAGATGTCTATATCGCCGCACTGATTTTCGTAGTTAATGCCATGTCATCACAGTGTTATAAAGGAGGCTGCAAAGCCTCCTCTGAAAGTTATAAAAACTATCACAGACACAAAAAGTCAAACTTCACTACGCTTGAAAGAACATGTTTATTTTTGATAAGTTTACAATTATTAAACAACTACTTAAGCCTTCCAGTTGGCCCAGGTTCTGATTTCATTCCACAAGTTGGTGCCGGGACATTCGGTGGATCCGACTTGACGATGGCCGTACAAAATGTAGCCGGATTTGATTTGACCGCGAGAGACAGCAGTGGCCAAAAGACTCTTGGCAGCAGCGATTTGGGCAGCAGTGGGTTTGCTGTTGTTGTAGTTACCCAAGAAGGAGATGCCAATGGCCTTGGAGTTCCAGTTAGTAGCATGAGCACCCAAAACATTCCAGCCGCGACCCTCATAGACATTGCCATCACCGCCGATCAAGAAGTTGTAGCCAATATCAGCCCATCCCAAAGTCTTCTGGTGGTAGCTCTGAATGTTCCTCAATTCTTGGCTGCAAGCGGCCTTGGTACTGCAATAGTTGCCAGCAGTATGATGGATGACCACATATGACAAGCCATTGGCCAGGGACGTTTTACTAGTGGCAGCAGCACCACCCCATTCGGATTTCGAGATGATGGTGAGACCCAATGCGGCTTGGGCACAGAAGAGGACGGCCAAGAGACCAAATAAAGTTTTCGAAACCATTGCTATGCTTGTCGATCAACACAACTAATAATGGTTCGCCATTCAGCTGCTCTTATATACGAACCTCTAAAGAGCCATGGCGCTCGCTGCGCACTTCATATCAGATCTTTATCTCCGCTTCCTGTCAATAAAAATCAACCAGTGAATATATCTTCCAAACAGTATTTGCACCCGAATATATTTTTTAAATCACACACACCTCCCTCTCTGACAAATCATCCAAATTGTCTCATAACTCATTTTGGAGCCGTGCGTATACCTGTTAGTGTCGTACGTACACCCATTTTTTCCGGTACGTTCATTTTGGAAAAGCACATTCAAAGGCTGAACGGAGATCACTTCATTTTAACGGTTGAGTTCTGAGCTCGATGTTGACTGCTTCGTCTATGCACTTGACTCGATCTGATAATAATTTCAGGAAGTTAATGGCCCATGTTGTCACCAGTCCATGAGTGTTTATATCTGTAGAGAGTAGGTCGTTCGACTAGTGGATGCGTTAGAGCCTCTTGTTGACTAAAATACCATTATATTCCAAT